AAATAAAAATAAAAAAGTAAACCCTTAAAAAGGATTAGAGAGCCGGGACTGGTTTGGCTCAGTGGATAGAGAGTCGGCCTGCAGACTGAAGGATTCCGGGTTCAATTCTGGTCAAGGGCATGTACCTTGGTTGCGGGCACATCCCCGGTGAAGGTGGTGCAGGAGGTGGCTGATCAATGATTCTCTCTCATTGATGTTACTAACTATCCCTCTCTCTTCCTCTCTGTAAAAAATTAATAAAATATATATTTTTTAAAAAGAATTAGAGAGAAAATTATAGATGTGGAGGTCAGGTATAGGAAATCCAAAAATAGGCATAATTCGGGACTATGAAGAAAACGAAAATAATGGCAGTAAAAAAAGTGTATCATTCCAATGGATTCACATATCTGGCAACGTTTTCAAATAAAATCCCAGAATGTATTCCAATTATAAAAACCTACAAATGATAGGGAGAAGGGCATGGATTAAGAACAAAGCCACATCTCTCCCTTCCTCTCTAAAATCAATAAAGATATATTAAAAAAAAAAAAAAAAAACAGAACAAAGCCACAGTGTTTAATGATTGTCCACCTTACTAACTACACATGAGAGGTTTTCTTACAGATCCCGGGAAACTGGAGGGTGAAACAAGGCTGTAGAAAAACCAGGGGCCTCCATGGGTCCATTTCTCAGAAAAGTACGTTTTGAGAACAAAGCACAGGACAGGCTTTAATTTGGTTGCTGTACCCGGACCCTGACCCACTCTGGGAGTTTGCCTCAGGAACAGCTGAGCTGTTTGTAGATTAGCCGCCCTTCCATCAGACTCTGAAGGCTGGACTGCAGACCAGACCCTCCCTTTCCCTGTTACACTTGCTGCTCCAAGCTGCATGTAGTTATCTTTTTCCTCATCCAAATACAATCAGCCCATTGGTGATGGGGGTCAGAATAGAATTTACAGGTGACTGACTGCTCTTCCCAAACTATTGGAATAAATATTCATACATGACTGAACCCTGTCTCTGCTTAATTTGGCTCTAGAAGAGACAGGCGGCCTCCGACCCACTGTGTTCAGTACCACAATTAATGACATATAACTCATATTCTTTTACAAAAGTTCTTTGAGCAACACTGAAGTTAGCCAGAAATATTCTTTTCTCATCTCCTTTCCCTGAGCTTCTAACTTGAGCTAATGCCCACCTAAAAGGCAATTAGTGAGTCTATTTTATATGCTCTCTATTCTCTCCTAATTTAAAAAAGTGTATTGTATCTATATTGTCAGAACATGTAATGATCACATACTATCTGTAACCCTTACTTCCACAATTTGAATTTAGGTGTGTGCTGTTTGTGTGTGTTTTTTTTTTTTTAACTGAGGTGAAATTCACATAAAGTTAACCATTTTAAAGTGTTAAACTCAGTGACATTGAGTTCACATATATTTAAAATACTGTGTAACCAGCACCTCTATTTAGCTCCAAAACATTTTCAACCCCAAAAGGAAAGTAGTTACCACACATTCAGTCTTCCCCCAGACCTTTGCCCATTTCCAAATTGGGTTGTCTTTTTGTTGTTGAGTTGTAATTCCATATAAATTTGAGGATCAGCTTTTCCGTTTTTATGAAAAAAGGCCACTGGAATTTTGATAGGGATTGTATTGAGGATGTACACTGCTTTAGATAGTATTGCCATCTTAATAATTATATCTTCCAATTCATGAACATGAGATGTACTCGAATCTTTTTGGTCTTTTTTATTCAGTGATATGTTAGTTTTCAGGGTACAAGTATTCCATTTCCTTTGTTAAATTTATCCCAGCGTCTGAACACGGACATGCTCCCCGCCTGCCAGTCACCTAGCCCTCTGGTTTCCAGATGGTTGTCTCGGTGTCGCAGTGTTCATGCCCGAGGAACTCGTCATTGACTTAATAACTGCCCCGAAGCACAAGAGGCGTGAAGCTGGCAGTTCGGATGTGCCAAAGAGAAGTCAGAGCTTCCTTTAAGTGAAAAGGAGAAGGTTCTCGACTTAATAAGGAAAAATAATTTATATGCTAGGTCTTTAAGATTTCCAGTAAGAACCAATCTTCTATCCATGAACTTGTGAATGAAAAAGAAATGCTAGTTTTGCTGTTGTACTTCTAACTGCAAAGATTATGGTCACATGAAGTGGTAAGTGCTTAGTTAGATTGGAAAAGACATTAAATTTGTGGGTGGAAAACATGGACAGAACACATATAAGCAGTTCTTGGGTTACGTCAGACTCAACGTATCTCCCCATTTATGTTTTTTAAAAAAGTTCCATCATTTTGACTTATGCACATATGTTATTTATTTACAAGTAAGTCAGGAATTGTAATCTATTTAAATTTTTTTTTTTTTTTTTACTGTTCCACTTCGTTACTGTGTGTGTGCTCCATGTGAGTGATGTAGGAGCTTATGTAGGTGGGTTCTTATGGCGGAAATCGCATTACATTGTGCCATAGGAACGGATCTCCGACATAACCTGAGGACCTACTACACATACATACATACATACATACATACATACATACATACATACAGTACCAAACCATTTGGTACCATCTGAGGATTCAGGCATCCACTGGGGATACTGAAACTAAGGGGAACTACTGAAAATAAGGGGAACTAACTACTGTACTGCATGATCCGACTTCCCTTCAACTTGAAAAACCTCCTTTAGCATTATTAGGTTTCCTAAAAATGAAATATCTGACAAGGTCCTCATTTTGTCTTCATGTCCGATAATTTTGCTACATGTAAGATTCTGGGTTTTTTCCTTTCAGCACTGTGCATGTCATTTCATTGCCTCAGGCCTCCACTCTGTCTGTAAATCAACCTTTAATTTTAGTAGCTTTTTCTTATACACGAGTGGCTGTTTTCAAGATTTTCCTGTCTTTTAACATTTTTATTCTGACATGTCTGGGTGTGGCTCATTCCACTTTAAGAATTTATTGATTTTCTTGGTTTCATGTTTTGTTTTGATCAACTTTGGGATTTTTAGGCATTTCTCCTAATAACTTTTCCGCTCACTTTCCTTCCGGCACTCCCATTACACACATGGTGATGTCTCATGCTCCTCTGAAGCTGTTTTTCTTCATTTCCTCCCTCCTGTTCTTTGGATGGCAGTATCTGTATTAATCTGCACCTTTCCTAATTGTACTGCTCAAATGTGGTAAATACCGCTAATGAATTTTTCATTAGTTATTGTACTTTCCAAGTCCAGAAAGTTTGATATGGTTCTTTTTAAAAATAATTTTTATCTCTTCTTTATTCTCTATTTGATGGAATATTATCTTTCTATACCTCCCACATGGTTCTAGTTTTAAAAAATGTACTTATAACAACTGCTTGAAGTTTTTGTATGTTTCCAACATCTGGGCCCACTCAAGGGAGCTCCTTTTGCTTTTTCCTCCGTGTCCGGTCATTTCCTGTTTCTTTGCACACTTTTTAATTTTTTGTTGGGAACTGGACACTTGCATATAGCAGCCTGGGCGCTCATCCCCCCTCCCATGGCTTATTTGTGTATTTTAGAGCCAGAGGTGGACTTACTTCAGTGAAGTCCACTTACCCTGCAGAGAAGCTTCTGGTGGGCGTGAGCTGTAGCTCTTGACTCCCCTCTACCCCAGTGAGTGTCAGCAGGGCCCTCTGTTGTTCACTTTCCTGATCTCCTTGTGAGGGGCTTAGTTGACCAGCTTCTACTGTTACACCCACTAATTCTAGCAGACCATTCCATTGTTTCTTACAAGTCCTGGGGTATATATTGCTGCAGTTTTATCCAATTAAAATCAAGCACTTGTTTTTGAGGCCCGTTCCAACCTTAGGGCTACTTGGCTGCACGTTCATTACTGGGGCAAGCCTCTGTGCATTTGCCCGTAGCTGGGGTGGGAACGTGGCCGTTTTCTGGGAGCGATACCTGTGGTCTTTCAGGCAGAGCAGTAAGTGGGAGCCCCTAGTGTCTGCTTGCCTCTCTTGCATAAAACCTCCATCCTAGTCACTGCTGTCCCAGTTTAAAAGTAAGCCAGTTGTTAATCTCAATGGGTTTGAGTGAGCTGGGCAACAATGATTAGGAAACAGTCCGCTTGGTCTGCCATTCCCAAGGTTGATCTGTTCCCCAAGTGGGGCCTGGGTAGAAGAGAAATGGGGCAGTCTGCTCCTCTTAGGGAGAAGCTGTGGGCTGAGATTGGGAGCTGGGGGGGAAGGGTATGGGGTCATGGCTCAAACAGCAGAGACTCACCTTTCTTTACCAAGAGTTAGTAAGAATTTCTTGAATAATTATTTTTGTTTGCTTTATGCACTTATGACAATTTCAGAGACTTTAATTTTTAAAAATATAGTGTTTACAAGTTATAGTTGTTTCAATGAGTCTGTAGATCTTCTCATGTTGCCATCCTAAAAACACTTCCTGATTTTTTAAATGCATGCCTTAAAATAAAGCATTCAGGACCCTTGAAATATACGCTCACAACCTGAAAAATTTCTCCTCTGCCATCAGTTGATTCAACATCGACATGCAGCACACAGAATAAATAAGCAGTTCTTTAATAGTTATGCAAACATATTCCAGACATGAAGTGTTTATCATTCATTTACAAGTGCAGTCTGTTACACCAGTCACTGTTACTTGACCTGTTGTATAAAGTAAATAATGCATGTGAATTAGTCCTGAAATAGTTCTTTGAATTGTTTCCAATCCAGTGAATTAAAAACACAACTGTGAATGGTATAAAGGCGTGAAAATCATATTGTGATAAAAGCAATTGCAAAAATAGAGAATTCAGATCCCACCCAGATAATTTAAGAACTCAGCAGTTTCCCTCAATTTAAACGTGAGCTCCACACAGAAAATATTAGATGTCTTTCAATGTGATGCAACTGTATAAAACTAGAATATGACCATTAGGAGACCAATGTATCAAAACCAACAAAAAAACTTAGAAAACACATCTAATTCTAAAATAAGCAGAAATAAAAAGACAATTTACAAAGAATTATAACTGCTCCCTAATCATCATCATCAGAGTCCGAATCATATTTCTTTCCTCGGATAGTTTTTTTTTCCAGCTTTGTGAAGTTTGTTCCAATTTTCTTTTGGCTCTGAAATGGTGGCTCCATTAAATTTCCACTGAAAATAAAGCAAATATGAAAATCACTTATTCTTTATGATTTAGTACAAAAAACATATTTTTTTCTCTCATTATAACATATGAGAGTAAATTTTTCTTTAAAAAGCTTGTGTCAAGAAAGAGGTATATTTATCCATAATGTTGGTTAATAGTGGTAAACTTTACTTTATACTACTAAATGTTTAAGATCAATGTATTATTTTCTCTTTTATCATTAACATTTCACAGGATGCCAACAGAATTTCTGACTGAAAAGCAAAGAAGAAAACCAAAGGTTTTTTCTCATCTGTTTTGGATATGCTGAACCTTTCACAGTGCAAAGGACATAAAAAAAATGCTGCTGTATTTTGACAGCCTGTTATGACAGGTTCGAATATAAACATTTAATGTTTAGATTTTTACAGACATCACCAAAACTCATGGAAGTAAGTTATTATCATAACTTCATATTATATCATAACTTATCATATTCAAATCGGATTGGTTTGAAACTCTTTTTCAATGATGCTTGAGAAAGATGCTTGAGAAATGAAATATGACAATTTCTTTTTTCAAAAATATCGGGGAGTTACCTAGCACCTAGATCTTGTTTAAAGTTCTTTACTGTTGAAACTTTTACATGTCTCTCCCCCCCCCCCCCATTGACCTCCCTTTTCCCTCTCCCACTCCCCCCTATTGTCTGTGTCCACTGGTCATGCTCATATGCATGCATACAAGTCCTTTGGTTGATCTTTTACTCCCCCCCACCCCCCCAATCCCCTGCTTTCCCTCTGAGGTTTGACGGTCTGTTCAATGCTTCTGTCTCTGGATCTATTTTTTAAAAATATATATATTTTATTGATTGTTTACGAGAGGAAGCGAGATAGTTAGAAACATCAATGGGACAGAAACATCAATCAGTTGCCTCCTGCACGCCCCCTACTGGGAATGTGCCCGCAACCAAGGAACATGCCCTTCACCAGAATCAAACGCGGGACCTTTCAGTCCACAGCTCGACGCTCTATCCACTGAGCCAAACTGGTTTTCGCTCTGGATCTATTTTTGTTCACTGGTTTATGTTGTTCATTATATCCCACTAATGAGTGAGATCATGTGATATTTATCTTTCTCTGACTGGCTTTTTTATTAGTGCCCTAACCTTAGATTGAACCCGCAACCTAGGTATGTACTCTGAATAAGAATTGAACCTGCAACCTTTGGGACGATGCTCCAACCAACTGAGTCACTGGGCCAAGGCTAGATCTTGGCTTTGAAATATCACTTGCCACTGAAAGGAACCATGGCTCCTTGGAGAAATAGCCAATTCTAGGGAGAGTACATGAGTGCCCCTAAAACATCTTATTTGTACCAGAAAGCAAGAGCTCAAACACTATGGGGACATGACCAAAGGATATAGATGCCAGTATGAAAGGAGCTCTCACTGCTCTAACCTGGGGCAACCTGAACTTCAAATAACAGCAAAAGAATATAACCCATTGAATAAAATAATCTACAGCCCATTCTAATAGAAGTAAACAAGTAAAAATTAACGTGAGATATGGAAAAGTTCTTCCTTAAATCACCATTTATTTGGTCTGGTAGACAACTGGTTAACCAGTGCTCAGTTATTCTCACCAGAAATGAGGCAAACCATCACATGCCTCCTGATATGGTGCACTAAGAAGGAAGAACACATCACTTCTATGATATACCTGTGAAAAAATGCATAATCTGAATCTAAACCTGAAACATTAGACAAACCCGTTGGGGATTGCTCTGTAAAATAAATAGCTTGTACTCTTCCAAAACACCACAGAACTGAAAAGCAAATGAAGGGTAACGGGTTGTTACATGTTAATGAAAACTAAAAACAAGTTAACTCAAAGCAGTGCATTTTCTTATATGTAGGGCATTATTAAAATTTGAATAAGGTCTATAAATTACCTCAAGTTCCTGTTTTAATAACTGTACTGTCATTACATAAGAAAATGTCATTGTTCGTAGAAAATATACACAAAAAGTATGTAAAGGGAAAATATACCTATAATTTCTACTCAAATGATACTGAAAAAAATATATAAATTTAAGATAAAGCAAATATAAAGTGTTTAAAATAGGGAACATGAGCTGAAACCGGTTTGGCTCAGTGGATAGAGCGTCAGCCTGCGGACTAAAAGGTCCCAGGTTCGATTCCAGTCAAGGGCGTGTACTTGGGTTGCGGGCACATCCCCAGTAGGAGGTGTGCAAGAGGCAGCTGATCGATGATTCTCTCTCATCGATGTTTCTAACTCTCTATCCTTTTCTGTAAAAAAATCAATAAAATATATTAAAAAAAATAAAATAAATAAAATAGGGAACATGAGTGAAGGGAATAGTAGCATCATTTATATTATTCCCAAATTGAAGTTTGAAATCATTTCAAAATAAGTAATTTTTAAAAACATTAATATTTTATTTGGTATCAAGAAAATAATACTTAAAACTCCCAAATCAACTTCTACGATGCAGGAATCATTTAGACATGTGTAGGAAAGATTCAGAGGAAAAGGGGTAGAGAAGAGAAAAGGCGAGAGGACTTCTATTTATTGAAAGGCACAATGACTGTGGAATGACAACCAACTATTCTTGCAAATCAAGAACAGGCTTTAGATGGGACCGGTTTGGCTCAGTGGATAGAGCGTCGGCCTGCGGACTGAGGGGTCCTGGGTTCGATTCTGCGGATTGAGGGGTCCTAGGTTTGATTCCGGTCAAGGGCATGTACCTTGGTTGCGGGCACATCCCCAGTGAGGGGCATGCAGGAGGCAGCTGGTCGATGTTTCTGACTCTCTGTCTCTCTCAATTCCTCTCTGTGTAAAATCAATAAAATATATTAAAAAAAAGAAAAAGAAAAAAAAAGAACAGGCTGTAGTAGCTGGTTTGGCTCATGTCCGATTCCTGTCAGAGCACAGTTGCAGGCTTGATCCCCAGTAGGGGGCACGCAGGAGGCAGCTGATTGATGATTCTTTTTCATCACTGACGTCTCTCTCCCTCCCTCCCTTTCTCTCTCTCTCTCTCTCTCTCTCTCTCTCTCTCTCTCCCTCCCTCCCTCCCTCCTTCCCTCCCTCCCTCCGTTCCGATCCATGAAATTAAATATATATATATATATAAATAATAATAATAAAAGAACAGTAACAAAAATGAACAGGCATAGAGGCCCTGGATGGTGTTGCTCAGTTGTTAGAGCATCAGCCCACACACCATACGGTCATACGTTCGAGGACATACTTGGGTTGCAGGTTTGATTCTGGTCCTGGTTTGGGGCATGTGCAGGAGGCAACCAATTGATGTGTCTTTTTCTCCCTCTCTCTTTCCCTTACCGCCCCCTCTCCCTCCCGTCTAAGAATCCATGCAGCCCTGGCTGATGTTTCTTAATGGTTAGAATGGCCTGCTTACTGAAGGTTACAGGTTTGATTTCTAGTCAAGGGCATGGACCTGGGCTGTGGATTTGCTTTCTGCCTCTGGTTGGGACGTATGTGGGAGGCAACCAGATGATGCGTCTCTATCACCTCAATTTTCTCCCAGCCTTACCCCCTCTCTTTTTCCCCCCTCCCTCCTCCCTCCTTCTCTTCCTCCCTCCCACTTTCTCTCTGAAAAGCAATGGGAAAATATCCTCTGGTGAAGATTAATAAAAAAAAGAACAGGAACAAAGGGTAAGATGATATGCTATAATTCGTGGAATTTGATAAATTATTTGTCTGGAGAAATGGACAAAGAGATGAATGAAAAAAGGAAGTTGGATTTTAGATGGTTTTCAAAGTGAGACTGTTACCCAAATAAGCAATTTAAGCTAAGCACGGAAATGAGATTCTGTAAATCTAATGTTTGAAAGTAAGTCACTATCAATTTGAGTAATCTGGTTTAAAACAGGGAAAAGTTCATTCCTGGTATCATTTTGAGCTTCCAGATTACATGGAATTAGATGCAATAGGATCTGTTAGGCTGAGAACTTTTATAGCTAGGTGCATTCCAAGACTCAATTTTATCCACAACTGATTTTTGCTGTCAGGTCATGCTAATAATGAACACTTTAAGAAATATGCTCTTCCTTTGTGGAAGTTTTTCTACATGTCAGCTAAAAGATCTTGATTCCATAAAATAAATGTTCACATAAAACAATCTTCTCTAAAAATATCACTGAAAATGTGAATTAAAATAAGTCTTTTGTTAAAAGGTACCTGTAATTGATAATATCAGAGCAACCAAGCCTCCACTCTAAAGTCTCCGTGGTGAAGTCATCTGTATTTCCCAGGTCAGTAAACCCAGTGACGTAATCTTGCGTTTTCCCATCTTTCACCAGTGCTAGTGTGGGGATGACTTTGATCTTCAGTCTCTCGCAAAGGAAAGGTGCCTTTTCCACATTCAGCTTCAAAAATTTGGTCTCCAGGTGTTTCTTGGACAATATCGCTAAATGTTTGTCTAGTATTTTACACCTGTAAATAACAAAAAGAGAAAATCAAAATCCAAAACAACAAAGTTCTTTTTAAAGAGGAATGTCATTCAGTAAGGCACACGTAATTTTACAGTTTATCTGTTTGAGTCTCATACTCGGGTAGCCAACTGGTGCTGTGTTAGGTGCCCCCACTTCCACCTCAGAGCAGCTGCCCGATTATGCGAGGCAGAAAAACAATGCAGTATTCTAAGAAGTCAGATTTGCGTTAGTGACATCTATAGAAAACATTCAACATAAGCCTTAAATTGTAAGTGCTTCACAAAGTTATGTTCGTGACAACAACAAAAAATTGTAATTTCTTTTATGCATGATTCCTGGTATCTTATACAGGAAGCTTGAAGGGTGACAAATCTAAACTTGATGGACTCAGAGGGACTCTCAGAATTAGAAATGTGCACCCGGTGCCATATGTGCAAGTCACCAGGAAAGACTAAGCGGTGCCCCTGGGAAGGAACATTTCTAGCTATGCACCTCTGTCAGCGAGAAGCATAGTAAAGTAAGGGCTGTAAATATGGGCATTATGGTTTTAGAAAATGAAAATATCAGCAGCAACTTTCATTAAGCCATCTTCTACTAAAGAGAATAAAAATGACATTTTCTTTAAAGTAGAATGTATTTAAATTGGTCAATCCTCTAGTGTTTCTGAAACAGACTATTGTAATATTCTTTATTTTTTAAAATATATTTTATTGATTTTTTTACAGAGAGGAAGGGAGGATAGAGAGCTAGAAACATCGATGAGAGAGACATCGACTAGCTGCCTCCTGCACACCCCCCACCGGGGACGAGCCCGCAGCCAATGTATATGCTCTTGACCGGAATCAAACCTGGGACCCTTCTGTCTGCAGGCTGATGCTGAATCCACTGAGCCAAACCAGTTTCGGCATAAGATTCTTTTTGAGCAGTAACTTTTCTCCATTGGTATTCTTTACATCAAACTTTTAATCAAATTCTCCGGGAGTGTGGCTGGGAAACATGCAGGTGATGCTCATGCCCAATACAGATAATGCCTAAGACTCTAGATGCTTCAGAGTTTTGTTTTGTTTTTTTTTTAGATATATTTTTATTGATTTCAGAGGAGAGGGAGAAACATCAATGATGAAAAAGAATCATTGATTGGCTGCCTCCTGCACGCCCCCTACTGGGGTTCAAGCCCACAACCGGAGCATATGCTTTTATTATAACTGGGAATTGAACACAGGACCCTTCAATCCACAGACTGATGATCTATACACCTAGCCAAAGCACTGAGGGCTTTTGTTTTTTGAAACAGTTGTTTTTACTAGGCTTTGGGGTACTCCTTGGTTGTAGCTTTTCCTGAATTAGGTTTGGGCTTAAGGAATTTCTGATAAATTTAATATCTCATCACTTTTCTTCTGAATGTATCTTTTCATATATCATCCTGCAGTGCAACAATGTGATTTTAGTGAAAATGGTAGGAGAGAACTAATTATTATTATTGTTTTTAAAAATCTTTTTATTGGTTTTAAAGAGGAAGGGAAAGGGAGAGAGGGAGAGAGAAACATCTGCACGCCTCCTACTGGGAATGAGCCCACAATCCTTGCATGTGCCCTAGACTGGAATTGAACTTGGGATCCTTCAGGCCACAGGCCAATACTCTATCCACTGAACCAAGGTGGCTAGGGTGAGAAGTAATTAGTAAATGGTTTTGAATAAAGCTCAAAATAAAGGATAAAGAAACCATTATGTGAGACATATGTTCTTGAACATTTGTATATAAATCAACTCCATGGTTTTATTTGAGTAATAGGGAACATATTTTATTTGTTGCCTTTTAATTATTTTTATTACTCAAAAAAGCTTCATTTTTCTTGTTTAGCTTTTTGACTCGGCGCTTGTGCCTTCAACACGCTCACGATTTCCTGCTCCTCAAAAAGGCAAGCATGTTTGATCCCGTCACGGACACATTTAGCACACGTGGACGGACCACCAGCCCCGTTAGACAACCTCCCTAGAACCTCAGGTCCACCAAGCGGGCCTAGCCCCGGGCCACATGCAGACTGTGGTGCTCCCCTGCCTTCTGGGTACACAGGGGAGCGGTGCCAGCACCAGGGGCTCGGGCTGCCTGTTTTGTCAGAAGCTGTACTGTTATCGCCCGGTTGGTATGTTACACACTGGGCCACTCTGAATTCTTGAAGAAACCATCCCTGGAAGAGCGGGAATTTTTAAAAACACTTTCATTTTTATTGACTTTAGAGAGAGAGAGGAGGGAGAAGAAGTAAGAGAGAAACACTGATTGGTTGCCTCCTGCATGTACCCTGATGGGGATTGAGCCTACAACCAAGTATGTGCCCTGACTGGAAATCAAAATGAACCTATTTTAAGTAAGACTATGTATAATTTTTCAATTAATCTATCTTTTAAAAATAAGAAGCTGCAATCATGGTGTAGTTAAAATAGCATTAGGCTTAAAACCTCTTATCATTTAGTAACTGAATGACATTAGTGAGCCACTTAGTCTCTCCACACATGAAGCATGTACCCACTTACCTCAGGAGGTCACTGTGAGTGTTCCGGGATTTTACACATGAAAGTGTACAGCCTATTATGTGCTAGGAACTTTGATATATATATATACATACACAAATGATTCAAATTTTGATTTTTCAGTTTTGTTTTAAGATTAGTGCTCCTGGTGCTACACTGTGTATATATCCATCAAATATATTTACTGTGTGTCAGCCATTGCTGCTCTAGGGCTAGGAATTCAAAACAGAAGGGTGCATATACAGGCAAACTCTGCCGTCATAAAACAAGCTAGAGGTGAAAACATCTCATAAACAAGCCAGCATATGGCATCAATCTTACAGACTGATATGATGTCAATATAGCACTCGTCATCAACACCAGAGGTTGGCGACGTAAGGAAGATGAATGCCAATGGGAGATGACAGCGTACCACATGGCCGAGGGTTTCCCTGATGTCCTTTACCTTCTCTCACTTCCCCTTAGTGCAGGGGTGGGGAACCCTTTATCTGCCACGGTACATTGGATATTTGTGACATTACTCATGGGCCATACAAAATTGCCAACTTAAAAATCAGCCTGTTGCCGAGACCGGTTTGGCTCAATGGAGAGAGTGTCGGCTTGGGGACTGAAGGGTCCCGGGTTCGATTCCGGTCAAGGGCATGTACCTTGGTTGCGGGCATATCCCCAGTGGGGGGTGTGCAAGAGGCAGCTGATTGATGACTCTCTCTCATCGATGTTTCTAACTCTCTCTCTCTCTCCCTTCCTCTCTGTATAAAATCAATAAAATATATTTTTAAAAAAAATCAGCCTGCTGTATCTGGTCAAACATTTAATTAACTCACCCCTAATGCCTTGGCAGAGCCAGACCAAATGATTTCTCAGGCCTCATGTGAGATGTTCCCCACACCTGCCTTAGAATACTTTCTTCATTTTTATATTTTTAGTCAATAAGTCTCAAGCAATCAATCTATGAAAGATGTTAATTAATAGGCAACTTGTTGGGTGGTGAAACTAAGACAGGTCTATCTCAAGAAAAGAAAAATCTCAAATAAATAATCTAACTTTACACTTAAAGGAACTAGAAAAAGAACAAAAAAAGAAAATCCAAAGCGAGTAGCATGAAGGGTAATAATAAAGATCAGACGGGAAATAACTGAAATAGAGTCTAAAAAAATAATAAAAAGATCAATAAAAGGGCTGGTTCTTTGAAAAAATAAATAAGATTAACAAACTTTTAATCAGACTCATCCAGAAAAAGAGAGGACACAAATAAAATCAGAAATGAAAGAGGAAAAGTAACCACATATACCAAAGAAATACCAAGAATTGTAAGAAACTATTATGAACAAATTGGGCAATCTGGGTAAAATGGATTCATCCTTGGAAATATACAGTATTCCAGAACTGAATCAGGAAGAATCAAGACCATCTGAATAAACAGATTACAACTATTATAGTAAAACTGAAGTAGCAAACAAAACACCCAATAGCCTACCCAGTTTGATTCAGTGCTTAGAGCATCGGCCCACAAACTGAAGGATCTCAGGTTTGATTCCGGTCAAGGGCATGCATCATGGCTGCAGGCTCAATCCCAGACTCCTGATTAGGGCACCTGCAGGAGGCAACCAATTGATGTGTGTCTCTCACACTGGTGTTTCTCTCTCGCTCCCTACCACTCTCTGTAAAACTCAATGAATAGAAAATATCCTAGAGTGAGGATTAACAAAAAGAAAAACAGAAAAATACCCAACAAACAAGAGTCCTAGACCAGCTGGCTTCACAGATGAATTTTACCAAACATTTAAAGAACTAACACCTATATTTCCAAAACTATTCCAAAAAATTCAAGAGGAGAGGAGACTCCCAAGCTCAAATTACGAAACCAGATAAAGACACGACAAAGAAAGAAATTATATGCTAATATCCTCCATGAACATAAAACCTAAAATTTTTAATTAAAGCAAACTGGATCCAGCAATATAGTGTAAAAGATTATATACTATGATCAAGTGAGATGTATTCCAGGATGCAAAGTTGGTATAATATACACAAACAAAGTTAATGTGATATACCATATAAACAAAATGAAGGATAAAACCACATGATCATATCAAAAGGTGCAGAAAAAGCATTTGATAAAAATCCAGCACCCACCTATAGTAATAAAAGTGTAATATGCTAATTACACTGGACAGCCGGACAACCTTCCATTTGACCTTCTGGACAAAGCCAAGGCTGCAAGGGCCGAGCGCCTTGCATGAATTTCGTGCATTGGGCCTCTAGTTTATGATAAAAACAAAACAGCTCAGCAAAACAGAGAGGAAATATACTTCAACATAATTAAGGCCATATATGAAAAACCTACAGCCAACATCATACTCAATTGGCAAAAACTAAAAGCATTTCCTTTAAGATCAGGCACATGACTGGGATGTCTGCTTTCACCACTCTTACTCAACACAAGTTCTGGAAGTCCTAGCCCAGCAATCAGATGAGAAGAATAAATAGAAGACATCAATAACTGGAAAGGCAAAAAATAAAGCTGTCATTATTTGCAAGTGACATGATACTGTATATAAAAAACCCTAAAGATTCCACCAAAAATTACTAGATTTAATTACATGTAATAAAGGATGTAAAAGATCTATACTCAGAACATAGTAAGACACTGAAGAAAGAAACCAAAGAGACAAATAAGTGGAAACATACACCCTATTCATGAACAGGAAAAATTAACACAATTAAAATGTCCATAGTATCTAAAACAATATAGATTCAACACCAATTCCAATCAAGATACCAATGGCTATTTCACAGAAATAGAACAAATATTCCAAAAATTCACATGGACCCCAAAAAAGGCTCCAAACAGCAACAGTGATCTTGGGAAAGAAGAACAAAGTTGGAGGAATCACCCCACCTGATATCAAACTATACTACAAGGCCATAATAATCAAAACAGCACGATACTGGCATAAAAACAGACACATTGATCAATGGAACAGAATAGAGAGCCCAGGAGTAAATCCATGTCTTTATAGTCAATTAATATTTGACAAAGGAGGCAAAAACATACAATGGGGCAAAGGTATTTTATTCAATAAATGGTGTTGGGAATATTGGCCAGATATGTACAAAAAAATGAAACTAGACCACCTTCTTACATCATACACAAGAATAAGCTCAAAATGGATTAAAGACTTAAATATTAGAATCCAAACCAAACTAAAACATTTTTGCACAGCAAAGGAGACCATCAGAAAAATGAAGACAACCCAATGAATGGGAGAACATATCTGCCGAAGATTTATCTGATAAGGTGTTAATATCCTAATTTATAAAGAACTTACAGAACTCAACACCAAAAACCCCCCAAACAATCCAATTTAAAAATGAGCAAAGGACCTAAATGGACAGTTCTCCAAAGAGGACATATAGATGAGCAATAAACATATGAAAAGATGCTCAATGTCACAAGTCATCAGAGAAATGTAAACTAAAACCACAATGTCACCTCACACCAGTTAGAATGGCTATCATCAATAAATCAACAAACAACAAGTGTTGGGGAGGATGTGGAGAAAAAGGAACCTTGTTCGTGCACTGTTGGTTAAAATGCAGATTGGTAGATTGGTGCAGCCACTGTGGAAAAGCAGTATGGAGTTACCTAAAAAAAAAAAAAAAAAAAAAAAAAAAAAAAAAAAAAGGAAGTGCCTTATGATTCCATTTCTGGGAATTTATCTGAAGGAACCCAAAACACTAATTCGAAAGAATATGTGCACCCCTATGTTCACACGGCAGCATTATTTACAACAGTCAAGACAGAAGCAGCTCAAGTGTCCATTAATAGATGAGTGGATAAAAAAGCTGAAGGTACCTTTACACAGTGGAATACTACTAAGCCATAAAAAAGGAAATCTTACCCTTTGCAACAAAATGGATGGACCTGGAGAGCATTATGCTAACTGAAATAAGCGAGTTAGAGAAAGACAAATACCATATGATTTTACTCATATGTGGAATCTAGTAAACAAAATGGAACTAACAAGCAAAATAGTGAGAGACTCACAGAGACTAGGCTGACAGCCGGGATGGGGTGGATGTATTGAGCCAAAAAAGAAAAAAACCCTCATGGACAGGAATAACAGTGTAGTGACTGCTGGGGGTGGGGAGGGGGTAGGAGGAATGTGGAGGGAGGTGGAAGGAGGTAGGGGAGGGTAAAGGAGGATAAATGGTGCTGGATGGAGACTTGATTTGGGATGGTAAACATAACACAGTGTACAGGCTACATGCTGTAGAATTATGCACCTGAAACCTGTATAATTTTGTTAACCAGTGTCACTCCAATAAACTCAATAAAAAGAAAAAGGAAAATAAAAAAGTAGAAAAATTTTTGTTGCACTGATAAAAAATGTAAGTGTACATTTCTAACGTGTTTTTAAAGTTAGTAAATATATAATTCAGAAAACAGACATTAATATAGAAATATTCTTGACTTTCAATAATGTTCACTTATACTTGTATATGCAACTGGTTTTTAATCTTTAAAATAACAATTGCTTAACTTTAATGCACAGACTTCTAGTACAAAGAAACAACTTAGAAAGTAGTTCCTTTTATTGTTCTTAATTTCTGTCAATATATTCCTATTCAAACACCTCTCCATGTTTGAGAAAGTTACTGAAGAGACAACGTTACCTGAATGTGGAGTCTCTGTAGAAATGGCAAACCACATTTTTACTCTCCTTAACTTCTTGAAAGAAGTCTCTCTCACTAGGGATTTCTCTGTATTCCCCATGTCCTTTTGAAAGCCATTCCTGATTTGAAAGAAAGGGAAATGTTACACATTTGAAATTATTTCTTTTAGTACCAGTTTACAGTGGGTGGACAATTCAGCACAATACAGGTGAGGCAGAAGTTTATACTTGTGAATGTGACAGTTTATTTTTGTATTTAATTAGTGTATTATTTTACATAGGAACTATAAGTTATTTTTGCCCCACCCTGTACTTTGTAATGTAGTTGATTTTATCCTGTAGAGCAGTGTTTCCCAAACTTTTGACAGATGTGTACCCCTTCTATAATTTTCGTAATGCTGAGTACCCCTTGTACTCATGAGAACGTAGAATTAGGCGCAGCTAAGCACGGTGCAGTGCATACCCCCACCAAACTCTTCCTGTTCCCCTGAGGGTACACGTACCACACTGTGGGAAACACTGCTGTAGAGAAAGGAATTCCTTTCAGTGACTTACTTTCCCAGGTTTCTAGTGTCCGTGCAAAAGTAGTGTGGGTACTATCTTCACAGCCCGGCTCATATTTATGACAATTACCTGTCTTGGTAACTTAGAATATGTTTTAGTAGAACTTTAAAAATAAAAATTTAGACTCATGAGACTTAGAATGTGCAATCTAATTTCTCTGTATTCAAATTACTAAAATCAGAAGCATTTGATTCAAGTTACTAAAAAGCTTTCATAAATAATGCTCATGAGATAAAGCCAGTTTTTGGGGACAGGGAAAGAAAAAAGGGGGGGAGGGTGTTACTGCAGCTCTGATGCTCAGGGGCCCTGCTTACTGTCCATGACCAGCAGGGAGAGGCAGGAACTCCCTATACTGGTGGCCAATGGGCAGTATCCTAGAAGCATTGTCTATCAGTGTCCAGAAACAACAAAGATCTCACAAGTCACGTAATCCAACTTCCCAAACCAAGATGTCAACCCTTATCAGCATGCCTGGCAGGCCTTCCAGCCTCTGACTTTCCTGTGACAAGAAGCTTCTCCGACAACGGGCAGCCTGTTTCCTGTCCAGGCCATTAGTTTTAATAAAAAGGGAACTGGGCTCGCAGGCAGAAGGCCTGCGCTTGAATAACGGTTCTACAGCTTATCAGGCTATGAATTCTAATAACGTTTCTGAGCCCCAACCTCCTCAGGTGTAAGTGGAGATCATGGAGCACTGACCTCACTGAGCAGTTGTGAAAATAAAGACACTCAACATGAAGATAAGTAAAACAGTGCCTGACACATGTGCCTAGGAAGCATTTATGTATGCACTAGTACTAATTTTTAGAAGGTTTCTCACACTGAAGTACTCGATATCTCCAACTTCAGTCCGTGGATCCCAGCTTGAACCCGAGATTAGAAAGAAAAGTTCTAATCTTTTCTTTGGCCCTTCAAATAGCACATCTCACCCATGTCCTCCCTTCTCTACACTGAAATCTCCATTTCCTTTTGACCGTTTCTCACATGAAACAGTATCTAGACTTCCTCTTCTGGCTGTCCTCTGAACACAGTCTGATTCCTCCATGCTCTTTTAAAACGTGGCAGAGGTCTGAATGCAGCCTCCAGAAGGCCCAACTAGCAGGCGGCAGGAACGCCATCTCCTTCCCTCCTCTGCACTGAAGCTGCAGCAGCCCAGGCGCAGGATCCATGTCACACCGCTTCCCTGGAGCTGACGCTCAGAAGGCCCAGAGACCTTTGCCTTACGTGACATTTCTTCGGTAAAGCTCCTATAAACAGTTCCACCTCTCAAATACAATTCCTTAAAGTGATATGTGATATTCATGATTCCTTTTTTTATTTGCCAATGACCTGTGCACTTAAAACAGTATTTTTGTTTATTAAAATAGAAAATAATGAACAAAATGTTTGGTGGGCTCATCCTATTTCTTACCTTGTCCTTCTGCTCTTTACCTACGTCCTACGTCTCTAGCTGCCACAGGAGGGGGTGCTTGGCTGACTAAGGAATAGTGACTAACACAGGTCTCTTAAGTACTTATGTCCCTGTTTACATTGGTTTCCCCAATATCTTCGTGAATCAGTATAGTAAATCAACATTACTATACAATCTACACTCTTCCAAAAAGAATGGCTATAAAAACCATTAAGGCTTCTTGCCTATTTCCTCAGAAAACTCCTAAGAAAATATGCTAACAACAACAACAACAAAAAGATCTATTAAAATGCAGTGAAGCCCAGCTGGCGTGGCTCAGTGGTTGAGTGTTGACCTATGAACCAGGAGGTCATGATTCAATTCCTCCTGGTCAGCGCACATGCTGGGGTTGCAGGGTGGATCCCCAGTAGGGGGCATGAGTTACTCCATGACAAATTCATTTTAAATTGATTTGTATATTAATAAAAAAAATGTCTAAAGGCTGCCTGCTTTAATTGTTTTTTTTTTAAATTATAAATAGCAGTCTATTGTTTACTGCTGGACAACTTATTTTAAGACATTGAATATGTTCCTTACTGCAAATCAGGTAGATACAGAGTTCTACCAAAATACCCTGTGTGACAACTTTTTCCCAGTTGAGCATTAGCAATGATTTAACGCTTATGTCATTGGCTCTGAGCATGCTAACCTATGACAGGCTGGCTTCACTGCCCAAAGGGAACCACTGCCTCCACACATCCCAGCTCAGAAAACGAGCCTGGGCGCATTTGTTTGACTTGACTGTAGACTAATACACTGAGCAGGCTGGTTTTGAATGTGCCTTTAAAGCTAATTTTTATCCAGCCAAATTTTTAATAGTGATAGGTAATTTGAGGTAAAAAAAGAAAAGAAAAGAAGAACACCTGAAAAATGAGGCCCTGTAATGTAACTACTGGCACATGTGCACATTTGCGAGGCGCACACTGTTAAGTAAGTTCAGAAAGCAGGGCAGGGAGGTTACTTGTTTCTGCTGCTGAGCTTTCTTTAGGGCCTTAAGTCTCTTTTCTTTGAGGAGTTCCAGTTCATCCTCGTCCATCTGGTCCATTTTCTGAATTTCAGCATCCAAACGTTCTTCCACTAGTTTAGTGGTCTGAAGCAACTGATTTTCCAGGACTTTTGAAAACATGTCGGCAGATGTATGAGCTTCCATTCTTTACAGTTCAGCCTTGCTGCTGGGGAGAAGGTTTACAAAGTTAGAAATAATAAAGTGCAAATAAGTAACGTTTTCTTTCTTATTTTAAAAAAATTCAGCAAGTGCATACTTCGTAGTTCACAAAGTGTTCTACTGACAATCAAGCACTTCAGGAAGTTAGGCTTTTTAAGAGATTATAGTCACAGCACTCAAAAAACGATTCAGAGCAAAGTTTAGGTGCTCCTGATTTAGTTTTTGTCTTATTATATGAGACCAGAGAAAAATGAGTAGGTGGGAGTTATAGTAGTTGGAATTATAGCTAGTGATATATATTGACATTATTCTTTACCAAAGAAAGAGAAGCAAAATACAAATGACCGAATTGTTGTAAGGTTGTACACATACACAGAGATACCAAACTTCGCTTTAACAGAGCAGAGTTGAGCAAAAGACTCTGCTCATGATTTCCATCTCTTTAACTCCTCAGAAAGGCAATTACAACTTATGTAAAGAATGATGCCTGGTGTTCCCTAAGCATAGGTTTCCATTCCTTTTCTCCCATTACCTAACAAAATCTATGAGGCCACAAGATTGATATTGGTATTGATTTATTGACACTCATAGTGTTCTTAGCTTTGATGTAAAACAATGTAATAGTCTATTTTTGACTTTTCCATTACTCTTCTATGTAAGATAGGCTTTTGTAAACATATTCTAATTCAGATTACAAAGGAAGATCTCAATTACATTGGTTTTAAAGAAATGTCCTGCCCTGGCCCGGCAGCTCAGCCCCATACAAAAAGGTTGCAGGTTCAAACTCCTGTCAGGGCACTTACAAGAAGTAACCAGCGAACGCATACATAAGTGAAACAACAAATGAATGATTGTTTTTCTTTAAAAAAAAAAAAAAAAAAAATTAAAAAAATTCTTTAAAAAGAATGTATTATTTTCCACCAGCAACAATCAGATGAAGATCTTTGTATGTAGACCTGGATTACTACAGAAATATAATTTATAAGTTTTCTATCAAAGCAGGAGGCTGTTGCATCTCAACTACTTACATCCATCTGCAAATACGAAGGAAGCACTTTTAAAAATCTGAAGGAGCCCTGACCGGTGTTTCTAAATAGTTAGAGCTTCAACCTGTGCACTGAAAGGTCCTGGGTTTGATTCCTGGTAAAGGGCACTGCAGGATTGCAGGTTCGATCCCCATTCAGGAGGCAACCAATCGATGTTTCTCTTTCCTCCCTCTCCCCTTCCTTCTGCTCTCTCAAAAATTCACTGGAAAGAGTATCTTTAGGTGAGGATTAACAAAAAAAATCTGACTATACTGTGATGTCACCCACCAGCTTCTGTGGACTGAAGATAGTCTTCCTGCAAACTTCACTTTTGATTCCTTCTTCTCCAAAGAAAAAGCAGTTGAAATGCACATTCAGTTCATCTTTATATCTCTAGAGCTAGCAATGTCAGGGGCACAACAGGTGCTCAAAAAGTATTTAACTTAGGCCCCGGTGTGGCTCTGTGGATAGAGCACTGGCCTGTGGACCGAAGGGTCCTGGGTTCATTTTGGTTGCAGGCTCCTCCCGGGCCTGGGCGCTGCTCAGGGGCAACACGCAGGGGGCAACCAATCAATGTCTCTCTCACATCAATGTTTCCCTCTCTCTAAACTCAATGGAAAAATTAACTTTGAATGAACCAACTGTTAGTTCCTCAGTGCTATAAAATTTATGTAATAAAAGAACTTTACATTCCCCACCTCCCAAGAAAAATGTCAGGGAGATTGTGACTTTACAGGGGCTAGATGAGGCAGAAAACTGAATACTAAACCCTGACTTGCTTGTCAGAACCTGTTGCCAGGGGCATATAGAACTGATACCGACACAATGGGTCAGAGGCTGCCTGTCACTACTTGAGCCAAATTAAGCAGAGGCAGGGTTTAATAATGAATGATCGTTTATTCCAATAATGCCAGCAGTTTGGGCAGAACAGTCAGTCACCTGGAAATTCTGCTCTGACCCCTGTCACCAGTGGGCTGATTATATTAGGACTAGAGGCCAGGTGCACAACATTCATGCAGGGAGGAGTGAGGAGGGTCCCTCAGCCCAGCCTGCACTCTCTGGCAATCCAGGACCCCTCGAAGAATGTCTGACTGCCAGTTTAGGTCCAACCCTGTGGGATCAGGCCTAAACTGGCAGTCAGACATTCCTCTCGAAATCTAGGACTGCTTGCTCCTAACCATTCGCCTGCCTGCCTGATCGCCCCTAACCACTCTGCTTGCCTGCCTGATTGCTCCTAACCCCCTGTCTCAGCCCCCAGGGCTTCATTGAACAATATTCTGGACATCATTCCGGATGAAGCCCTGGGGGCTGAGACAGAGGTGGTCAGCATATTACGCTTTTATTATTATAGATGATGAAAAAGATAACTACGTGTAGCTGCAAGTGTAACAGGGAAAGGGAGGGTCTTGTCTTCAGGCAGGCCTTCAGGAGGTCTGATAATAAGATGGCATCTTTTCTTTCTTTTTTTTTTAAGCTTTTATTTCTTTATTTTTAGTTAATCCTCATCCGAGGATATTTTTTCCATTGATTTTTTAGAGAGTGGAAGAGAGAGGGAGAGACAGAGAGAAACATCGATGTGAGAGGCACACTGACCGGTTACCTCCTGCTTGAACCCCAACCAGGGCGGGGAACCTGCAACCAAGACATGTGCCTTTGACCAGAATCGAACCCGAACCTTTCAATCCAGGACCAACGCTTTATCCACTGAGCCAAACCGCCTAAGGTGGCGAGTCTTCTGCAAATAGTTCATTGGGACTGGAGAATGATCAGCATTCCTGAAGCGAACTCCCGGAGGGGGTCAGGATCCAGGTACAGCAACCAAATCAAAGAGTCCTGTCCTTGGTCTGTTTTTAAAATGTATTTCTTCTTACAGCCCTGTTTTTCTTGCAACACATCCTATAGTTTCCCGGAGTCTGTAAGGCTCCTATCTAGAGTAATTAAACAACTGTGGCTCTATTCTTATTAAGTGCCCTTCCCAATTTTATGATGAATTCAGAATTTAATGCTGGGATAATCTGGAGCAGAAATGACTAACAAGGGCTGCTGGGGAGGGGGAAGGGCAGGTGATGGTGTTTACCGCATCGAAAGGAGTAAGGTCAGATGGTTTAGCAATCCTGATGACTCTATTCTTTAAACCACAAGCAGTTGATTATTCCATTTTTCAGTTCAACTGGGAAAGGACTTGTTCTCATATTATCTTGCCACTTCCTTGATCCGCCTACAGGCATCAACCCAAACAACCAAGAGTCCTCCGCCTACGTACCTTCCCCAGGTATCTTCCCCAAAGTCTCCGGCCACTCCCTGAGCCTCCCCGGAACAGAGGAGGGCAGAGTTCAGGTGGCCCCCGCCTTCAACGCCTCCCAAGGCGCAGGCTCCAAAACTGTCACCACAGCACCTGCACCGGCACCGGCGCCGCGCCCCTCCCCCGCCCGGAGGATGCTGAGCCGCAGTGCGTCCATCAGCACTGGGCCGCGGTGCCCGTTTTTTTACACCATCTCTGCCTCACCTGAGCTCTCGGAGACACCTGAGAAGTGACGGACCAGCGGCTCCAGAAGAACAATCCACCCGACGTCAGCCTCGCAGCAGCGGATGATGGCCACGAAGCAGTCGTCACTTCCGCCTCTAGATGGACTGAGGCGCGATTGCGCTTTACAGGCTGCGACACTGGAGGAAGTGACGGCCGAAGAAGGCGGGCGAGAGGCTGGAGCTGACGTGTGTGCCCCGCCCATTTCCGGTCCAAGGTTTAAACAGCCCAGAAGGCGTGGGAGCAAAGTATGCTGGGAGTTGTAGTTTTTTAGTGCTTAGTTGGAGTTGTCGGTAGGCTCTGGACCTCAGTAATGTTATGTCGGAAATAACATTGCTCAGGAGTGACACTCCAATTTCGTTTCCATCCTATTGAACATGTTAAAAAGTTGAATTTTAACATACAACATGATTAGTTTGTATGTAGTTGACACTCATAATGTCACTGACCAGATCCAGTTATAGCACATTTTCACCACCTTCCTAAGTTCCCTCGTGATGTCCCTAACACAAATTTTTAGAACTTGTTTTAGTAAACGACTTATTTGGAGAACTTAATTCGTGTGTCCTTTTATTTATTTTTTAATGATTGTACGTGCTTCCCAATTCATGGAGTCACTGAGAAGGGAAATAAATCCAATTTTGTCCTGGATTTATTTCCCTAGGGAATAACCAGCGCGCTTATCTTTGATTCATTGTGATTCTTCACTGAATTTCGAGCAGCTGAGACAAAGGTGGAAATATGGAAAGGAAGCCCAGCTCAATCTAGTTCGGCTTCCGACAGGGCTCCAATTCTCCAAGTCTGCGTCCCCCGGCGGCGAGGGGCCTACTTGGGGAATTTTCAGCCTCATTGTCAGCCTGTGGGTTCTAGAACCTGGAAATCTCGCGGGCGTCGATGCGCGGCGGATGCTTGCGGGAAGGGGGCGCTCGGGCTCCGGCCTGGCCGGCGGGTGCAGTGGAGACGCTCTACCCGAAGGACAGCTCTCGTTGAGCCACGCCCTGCGTCCGCACGCCGCGGCGGCGGAAGATGCGCCTGCGCACTGCGAGCCCACACCATATGTGCCCTGTCTCAGTGCGCGGGTCTGTGCGGAGCCGGGTGCGAGCGGCGGCAGCGCGGGCGAGCGGCGCGGAGTGGAGCCCGAAGTCGGCGAGGGGAAAGGGGATCTGTGAGAGAGCGAAGAGCGGGGCTGGGGCCGCGAGCGCCGCTGTCACGCGATGGGGAAGAAGCAGAAAAACAAGAGCGAAGACAGGTAAGTCAGTATCTGGTCCGTTCGGCAGCGGCCGGTGCGGCTCAGGGAGTCGCACGGGTCCCACCGGTTGGGGGTGGACCGGGGTGGAGGCTCGAGACCGGCCTCGCAGGGCGCCGGGCCTGGGCCCTGAGTGGGCGCCGCGGGCCCGAGACCCCAGTCCCAGGCGGGCGCGGAGGGCCTCGGCGGCTGGCGAGTCCCCAGGCAAGACTCAGCCCACCTCCCCCGCCGCCCGGCCGGGAAAGGGGTCCGGCCTGAGGAGCGGGCGGCGGCGGGCTCCCGGCGCGGCCCGGTGGTCGGGTTCTGCGGCGCCGCTCTAGGCGGGCTCAGGAGTTCTCGGCGCCTTTGTACCTGCGAGGACGGGGGAGCGAAGGGCGTGCGAATCGCCACCTGTACCCGCGTTTCCCCACTTTTGAGCCTCTCAGGTACGTCGGAGGTGTCTTCCACTCACCTCCCTCTTCACTTCATCTAATTTGTGAGGTAGAGTCCTCAATTATTTAAGGGCTGGCTGTCCAGACTCCCTGCTTTTCGCTCTCCTTCCGGCCAGTCTTTTGATGATTTCTTTGCTCTCTAGCACCTCCCCCAAGAAAGGAGGCGGAGATGGAACCAACCAACCAGGGGCGCTCCTTTCTCGTCACTTCGGAGGCTTTGGGGGGAGGGAGCACCCCGAGATTTCGGTAACTTCTGTGTCACATTAGATTCTTCATTGAAAGAGTTTACTTCCTGGGAGGGAACATCAGTTCCTTTTCGCTTTTGTACTAGTGTGCCGCTCACCAAACTTAGTTCAAATACTCGGGGAAGAGGGGGGAGAGTAAGGTAAATTAAAACAGAAACAGCATCATTCTGTTGTTTCATCATTCTGACTCAAAACGGACCTGCGGCGTTGAAGTTAAAATAAGATCACTAATTATAAGTTGGAATGCTAGGTCGTTTCCTCACCTAGCACTCATCTAGTTGATGAGTGGAATTAAAAGATACCCAGGCGAGGCTTGTTTTTCAGTTAGAGCTCCACTGGAGGAAGTTAATTGGCTTGACTTATTAATCAAACAGGATACGTACAAAAAAAAAAAAGAAAAAGCTGGGTGATTTTAGTGGAACAAAATTTCCCCACCTTTGCTAGGATGTTTTGATGCAAGGGATTTTTTTTTTTTTCTTTCAACTGTGTACACAAAATAGGTGAGGATAAAAAGCTTCGTGTACTAGGTACCCAGCTTCACCCATGATTATCACATGGTCAATCCTGTTTCACCCACCTGTTGCATATTTTATTTTTTTAAATATGTTCTTATTGACTTCAGAGAGGAAGGGGGGGGAGAGAGGTAGAAATATCCATGAGAGAAGCATCTTTTGGCTATCTCCTACACATCCCATGCTGAGGATCGAACCGCAACCTGGTCATGGGCCCTGACCTGGAATCAAATTGTGCCCTGGTTCATAGGGCAACACTCAACCACTGAGCAACGACTGCCAGGCCTGCCTTGTTGGAGATTATATATATATATATATATATATATATATATATATATATATATATAATATTTTTATTGATTTCAGAGAGGGAGACAGAGAAACATCAGTGATGAGAGAATCATTGATCGGCTGCCTTCTGCACGCCCCCCACTGGGGATCCAGTCCGCAACCTGGGCATGTGCCCTTGACTGAAATCCAGCTTGGGACCCTTCCGTCCACAAGTCCACACTATTCTTTGAGCCAAACCCGCCTTGGGCCCTTGTTGGATATTTTAAAGTAAACCTCAGAATCTGTTCATGAGTAAATTCTTTAGGTGTATTTGAAAGATAATACTTGAGGGGAAAAACCTGTTGAAACAAAACAAAACACAACTGCAATGCCACTGTCAAACCTAGGGAATATTTACAGTGTTTTCTTAAATATTATCAAGTATGCAGCCAATTTTCTAACTTCAATGATTCTCTTATTTAAAAAATAAATTTTAAGTAGTTGGTTTGGTTCAGGATTACAGAAGTCTTTTCTTTATTTTTAAAAGTACATATAATATATTGTTGTTTCACTTACAGTTTTTATCTTTCAGACTCACAATAGAGAAAATATTCAGAGGGGTGAATTTTACTGTTTATTTTTAGAGGAAATTGTGTCTCTTATTGATTCATAAAGATTTTCATGGATGATACAAAGTTTAAATTGCAAACATTGGAGCCTGTTGTTAAAGGATTGGTTTGGAAGTATAGAAGGAATGCTCCTGTTATTTGGGGAGTGTTTTTGTTTTGTTTTGTTTTTATCCCAGCTCAGACTTACCTGTAGTCTTTATTTTTTGGCTTACAATGAAAGGAAAGTGGTGGCAATGTAACTGAAAAGGTTTTCTCATGTTTTTCTTCATGGGTTCCTTTGCTTGATGCTGTTCAAATGGTATGTAATAAGTCCTAGGGTTTTGCAGAAACTCCTCCTTGATCAGAATTGCTGGGCCTTAATACTTTGTTCCACATTAGATATTTTGGAATGGGGGAAAGAAGTTTCACTGCTTTGTTAGTTTACTTTGACATTTTGTATATTTAAATAGTACCGACGTATGTAGTTTTATTTTTCTTTGCACATGCTATAGCATTTTTCTTTTCTTTTCTTTCTTTCTTCCTTTATTTATTTATTTTTTTAACAAATTAAAGTCAAGATCCTCCAGCAAAAAAGATGGACTTGCTCAGTTGATAGTATATTTAGGTATTACCTGGTTTTCCCCTCTTGTATAAAAGATCTCCACTTTTAAAGATTTTACATTCATCCCACCTCTTCCCTAACCAGGCTCTCTTAAGTAGAGCATGTTTCTGGCCAGGTAGAATTGGGTGAGAAATGAGCAGCTTATTAGATACAAGATACTAAGCTACTTTTCAGTTCTTGTAAAGAGCATAAATTACTTGACTGTTTCAATTTTTATCTATCTACATCTACATCTACGTATCTATCATCTAGCTATATAAAAGCTTAAGTGACCATTATGACCAGAGGACTGGATGATCAGACTACTGGGTGGTAGCTATGATGCGCACTGACCATCAGGGGCAGACTCTCAACGCAGGAGCTGCCCCCTATTAGTGCACTCCCACAGGCAACCTCCTGTGGCTAGCAGACCTCCCACAGTCCCTTCCCCTGGCTGGCCCTGATTGGAACTGGGCGAGATGGCCCCAATTGGCCAGGAGGGAACATTCCCATGCACAATGTCGTGTTCTGGGCCAGCCTGACCACCCCTAACCACTCCCCTGCCAGCCTAATTGATGCCTAACTGCTCCCCTGCCAGTCTGTTTGCTCCTAACTGCCCTCTCCTGCAGGCCTGGGTTCCCCCCAACTGCCCTCCCCTGCAGGCCCGGTTGCCCCCAGCTTTCCTCCTCTGCTGGCCTGGTTACCCCAAACTGCCCTTCCCTGCAGGTTTAATCACCCCCAACTGCTCTCCCTTGCAGGCCTGATCCCTCCCAACTGCCCTCCCCTGCTGGCCATCTTGTGTCCACATGGGGGCAGCCACATGGTCAATCTGCATATTATTCTTTAATTAGATAGGATAGAGGCCTGGTGCAGGGTTGGGGGCCAGCTGGTTTGCCCTAAAGGGTGTCCTGGATCAGGGTGGGGGGTTCTCTTGAGTGTGGGGCAGCCTGGGCGAGGGGCCCGTGGTGGTTTGCAGGCTGGCTATGCTCCCTGGAGACCTAAGCAGAGACCCTGGTATCTGGGATTTAATTATCTTTTACAATTGAAACTTTGTAGCCTGGAGTGGAGCCCAGCCTCCTGCTCGATCTGTGGGGATAGCCATTTCTGTTGGGATTTATTTATCTTCTGTAATTGAAACTGTGTAGCCTTGAGTGGAGGCCTGGGCCCGCCAGGGTGTCTGGAAATCTTGGCTTCCTCCATCCCCAGGGAAACCTAAACCTCCCTCCTGCTCATTCTGTGGCTGCAGCCATATTGGTTGGGGTTATTTTGAATACTCGCTCCTGATTGGCTGGTGGGCGTGGCTGGTGGTTTAGCAGAGGTATGGTCAATTTAATATTACTCTTTTATTAGATAGGATCATTGGCTTTCAGACCTCACTTTTGTAATAGCAGTATTCCCATAGGTGTCCTCCTATCTTATATACTGTGTTTCTCCGAAAATAAGACATCCTCCGAAAATAAGACCTAGCGCATGGAAAGATAAGACATCTCCTGAAGCCAAAACCAGTTTGGCTCAGTGGTAGAGCGTTGGTCTGTGGACTGAAAGGTCCCAGGTTAGATTCCGGTCACGGGCATGTACATTGGTTGTGGGCACATCCCCATTAAGGGGGTGTGCAGGAGGCAGCTGGTCGATGTTTCTCTCTCATCGATGTTTCTAGCTCTCTATCCCTCTCTCCTCCTCTCTGTGAAAAATCAATAAAATATATTATAAAAAAAAAAAAAAAAGACATCCCCTGAAAATAAGACCTAGTGCAACTTTGGGAGAAAAAATTATTATAAGACACTGTCTTATTTTTGGGGAAACAGGGTAAAAAAGAGCTAATATGCATGCCATGATGCCCTCACACCATCAAAATCCATTACCAGGAGGCTGCATGCGTGTGGAGACCCAGAGGTGGTCCCGGTGCTTCTGGTTCTGCCAAGCAAGGCCAGGGGCCCCCCTGAGGCCACGCCTGCCACTCAGGTGCCAGGGCAGGGGGATCTCACCGGACTTGAGGCTGTGTTTCCTACCTAGTGGGGCTTGATGGGGTGGGGCCAGCCGGGTCTTGATGTTACCCAATAGGGGTGGAGCTCGCTTGACACTTCTGTTATAATGAAAAGGCAAATAGCAATATTAAAATATTTCCTCTAATTCACCTCTAAAGTGCATGGATTTTGTGCACTGGGTCACTAGTATAATGGAAGCTTAATATGCAAATTGATCATCTGGTGGAATGACCTGTGGAACATCTGATTACTATGACGTGCACTGACCATCAGGGGGCAGACACTCAATGCAGGAGCCAGCGGGGAGAGGGAGGCGACTGGCAGTGGCAAGGTGCAGGGCCAGTGAACAGGCGGTGCCAGGCTGACCAAGGCGGGTGCCAATGGTGGCCCCCCAGTTACCCTGCCAGTCGCCCCACATTACTGGCCAGTCCTAGGGACTCTACCAGTGCACAAATTTTGAGCACCGGGCTTCTACTATAAGATATTTGGTTTTTCTATTTCTGAAACTGATAATGAGCACAAAGAGCCTGAGGCTCCCTGTCTCCTCTAGAGCCAAATTAAGCAGAGATAGGGTTGAGTCGTGTATGAATATTTATTCCAATAGTTTGGGGAGAGCAGTCGGTCACCTGTAAATTCTGTTCTGGCCCCCGTCACCAGTGGGCTGGTTGTATTTGGATGAGGAAAAAGATAACTACATGCAGCTTGGAGCAGCAAGTGTAACAGGGAAAGGGAGGGTCTGGTCTGCAGTCCAGCCTTCAGAGTCTGATAACAAGGTGACTAATCTTCTACAAACAGCTCAGCTGTTCCTGAGGCAAACTCCCAGAGTGGGTCAGGGTCCGGGTACAGCAACCAAATTAAAGCATGTCCTGTGCTTTGTTCGCAAAACGTACTTTTCTGAGAAATGGACCCCTGGAGGCCCCTGGTCTTTCTACAGCCTTGTTTCACCCTCCAGTTTCCCGGGATCTGTAAGAAAACCTCTCGTGTGTAGTTAGTAAGGTGGATGATCCTTAAACACTGTGGCTTTGTTCTTATTACATGCTCATCTCCCTACCACCCCACTCTCCATTAGCGTGGTCGTCTCATATCTATGAAATTAGTTTTATATGGAATGTGTCTTGCTGCTGAAGTTATTTTTCTTGGCTTATATTTTCTCCTTACGGATTTTGGCTTGGAACCCTTTCGGGGAAAAGGGTTGTTGGTTCTCTTCTGTAACTGCTTCCTGCTGATGTGGAGTGGAGTCCTGGAGTCCTCCCTGTCTGACAAAAGAAAGGAGGGAGCCAAAAAGTGGAAAGCAGTTTTAAGTAAATCCTATGGACCGTCCATGTTGGCTCTATTCTTTTTTTTTTTCCTTATTTTTTTATTGAATTATTATCTGTGTACATATCTTACCATTGCCCCCCCTCCCATACATACCCTCCCTCCCCAGAGTTTTGTGTCCATTGGTTGTACTTATATGCTTGTATACAAGTCCTTCGGTTGATCTCTTATCTTCCCCAGATCTCCCTACCCTCCCCGCTATAATTTGACAGTCTGCTTGTTGCTTTACTATCTCTATATCTATCTTTTGGTTCATCAGTTTGTAATGTTCTTTATTATCCATAAATGAGTGAGATCATGTGGTGTTTCTCTTTCATTGACTGGCTTATTTCACTCAGCATGATGTTCTCCAATTCCATCCAGGTTGCTGCAAATGATGAGAATTCCTTCTTTTTTATGGCAGCATAGTATTCCATTGTGTAGATGTACCATAGTTTTTGGATCCAATCATCTGCTGATGGGCACCTAGGCTGTTTCCAAATTCTGGCTATTGTAGATTGTGCTGCTATGAACATAGGGGTGCATATATCCTTTCTGATTGGTGTTTCTAGTTTCTTGGGATATAATCCTAGGAGTGGGATTACTGGGTCAAATGGGAGTTCCATTCTGTTTGCACCAGTCTGCATTCCCACCAGCAGTACACGAGGGTTCCTTTTTCTCCGCAACCTCGCCAACACTTGTTTGTTGATTTGTTTGTGTTGGCCATTCTGACAGGTGTGAGATGGTACCGCATTGTTGTTTTGATTATGTTGGCTCTATTCTTATTCTATGTCCTTCCCCATCAAAATTCATTTAAACCGTAAATTTTGTAGAGCAGTCCCTGAAAGTACAATTCAGTACTGTTTTATTTCAGTTTAATTAAATTTCTGTCATTAGGTTTCAGGTATTGTTCTTTGGTGAAGCTAATGGTTGTTTTTGATGATACTATAATTGAAATTTCTTTAGTCTCGAATCTAAGTTTCCATCACAAGGATATACCACTTTTTTTACACTGTCATTAGATGATGACATTGGGGTGGTTTTACTTTTTGGCTGATATGAATTATATTGTTATAAAACCCCCACACATGTTTTTGGGTGGACATATGTTTTCATTTCTTTGGGGCATATAATACGTAGGAGTGAAATTTCTGGATCATAGTGTATCTCTGTGTTTAACTTTTTCAGAATTGCTAAGCAATTTAACTGTTTTCCATGAACTTTCAAAGCTGCTGCTCCATGTTACATTCCAACCAACAGTGTATTAGAGTTATAATTTCTCTACATCCTCATTAACACTTATCAACTGACTTTTTGATTACTGTGTAGTAGCCATTCCCATGAGTGTGAAGTGGTGTCATATTATGATTTTGGTTTGTCATTTCATGATGGTTTAAAATGTTAAATGTTGTGCTTATTGGGTATTTGCATATCTTGTTTGGAGAACTGTCTATTCAGTGCCTTTGCCCATTTAAAAAATTTATTTATTTGTTTATTTATTAAAAATATATTTAGTTGATTTTTTAAAGAGAGGAAGGGAGAGAGATAGGGAGTTAGAAATATCGATGAGAGAGAATCATCTATCAGCTGCCTCCTGCACACCCCCTGCTGGGGATGTGCCCACAACCAAGGTACATGTCCTTGATCGGAATCAAACTTGGGACCTTTCCGTCTGCAGGCCGACGCTCTATCCACTGAGCCAAACCGGTTTCCGCTGCCGTTGCCCATTTTAAAATTATTTAGGAATAGGAATTTCTTTATATGTTCTGTATACCAGTCCTTTAGTCAGGTATGATTTGCAAACATTTTCTGTCATTCTGTGAGTTGCCTTTCTTTTCTCCCATTGGAGGTTTTTATTTCACTTTCTTGGTGCGATCACTTGACTGGCCTAGGCCTCCCCCTACCAGGCAATCGATCAGGGGGACCCCCAAATCTATTGCTCTGCAGAAGGAGGCCTCGCCTATCCACCATAGCGTCGCCAGCTGGGTAGCCTGGTCCTCCCTCTGTGGCCACCAGCAGGAAGCAGCTGATGAATGTTTCTCTCTCTTCTTTCCCTAAAATCAATAGATACGTTTTTCTAAAAAGTTTCTCTGTAGGTGAATATGCTAGATTATTTTACCCTCAAGTAACATTTAGATCTTCTTTGTTTTCATTTAAGTGCCAAGGATGACATTGATCTTGATGCCTTGGCTGCAGAAATAGAAGGAGCTGGTGCTGCCAAGGAACAGGAGCCACAAAAGTCCAAGGGGAAGAAGAAGAAAGAGAAAAAAAGGCAAGACTTTGAGTAAGTATATTTAAAATATATTTGCTTCTCATTAGCTATGGTACAAGATTCACTTATTAAGCTATTTCCTTGCCTCAAATATATTTTAATCTTTTCTAGTGAAGATGATATCCTGAAAGAACTGGAAGAATTGTCTTGGGAGGCTCAAGGCATCAAAGCCGACAGAGAAACCGCTGCAACGAAGGTGAAAGATGGTTGTTAGCCAGCCTTGCTTCCTAGTGCTTCCTTGTCTAGGGAGCTGCTTTTAGGACAGATAAAATATCGTATAAATTCTGATGCCAATAGGGGGAAAGCAAGTTTTAGGAAAGAAATAATGTCTTTTAAAACCGTTTACAGATAGAAAGATGCTTTACTTAAGATCTAAAGATATTTTGGGATATGTTGCCTGTTTATAAATTGAATATGTTTGGAGATAGAACATTTCCTGTCTCCACCTTCAATTTCTTATATATATATATTTTTTTTCAACATTTGCATTTGGAGAGGCTTCAGAACAATGGGAAAGTGATAGGTATTTCCTTTTATTTCCACCCCCCTCTTAAACTTCTGTGCCACTTGAAGAAGCTAGTAAATGTGGATTGTGATTATTGCTGGCTTTGGAGCACCTGGATTCTGACATTGGCTGTGAGTGTGAGATGTGCCGGAGGCCTACACTAGCTTTTATTACTTAGTTGAGGTTTATATCCTTATAAAAAAGGCTATTTTGAAATTATTTTGAGAATTTTTTTCATGTGTTTTTAATGAAGTATGTGACTGAGGAGTTTCAATTATTTATTTTAAAACAAAATATAACTCTGTTAATATTTCTAACGATGGAAATTTTTTAGCCAACAGAAAATAATGAAGAAGAATCCATCTCAAAACAAGATAAAAAAAAGAAAGGACAGAAAGGCAAAAAAAGTTTTGATGATAATGATAGTGACGAATTGGAAGATAAGGATTCAAAATCAAAAAAGACTCCAAAATCCAAAGTGGAAATGTACTCTGGGAGTGATAATGATGATGATGATGATTTAAAAAAACTTTCTAAAAAAACTAAAGGGAAAGCTCAAAAATCAAATAAGAAGTGGGATGGGTCGGAAGAGGATGAGGATAACAGTAAGAAAATTAAAGAGCGTCCCAGAGTAAATTCTTCCGGGGAAAGTGGTGATGATTCAGATGAATTTTTGCAGTCTAGAAAAGGACAGAAAAAAAATCAGAAAAATAAGCCAGGTCCTACTGTAGAGAGTGGGAATGAAGATGAAGACTCCTTCAAAATCAAGACAGTGGCCCAAAAGAAGGCAGAAAAGAAAGAGCGAGAGAGGAAAAAGCGGGATGAAGAAAAGGCAAAACTACGGAAGCTGAAAGAAAAGGAAGAGTTAGAAACTGGAAAAAAGGATCAGAGTAAACAGAAAGAGCCTCAGAAGAAATCTGAAGAGGAAGATGGAAAATCCAAGGTGACTCCTGATACGGGAACAGCCCCTGCCTTTGACGAGAAGGGAGAGATGCCCGCAGCCACCGAAGGTTGGTAAGATTATCGCAGGAAAGGCAAAAGGCTTGGGTTCCTATTTAATCTATGGTTTGATCATTAGACCCTAAGTCATTTTCTTATTTTGTGGTTATAAAGAGGATTAATTGTAAGAAAGTCTTTAAAAAACTATACCTATATACTCTTTGAATTGATGTTGATATAATACAAAATGTCTTTCAAGTGGTTTGTACACAGACTAGGATTTTTATAGAATTTCACTGTGATAAACAATTTTTTGTTGTTGATAAAGAGTGGAAGTTGCCTAATGAAAATTTATTCTTTCCTGATGATAACTTGGTGTCAGATGATAACTGAATTCTTTTCTGTTTTTAAATTTCTTTATAAAAGTTTTTATTAACTTTAAAGAGAGAGAAAGGAGAGAGAAAGAGAGAGAGAGAGAGAGAGAGAGAAAGAGAGAGAGAGAACATGAAACAGAGGGAAACATCTATTAGCTACCTCCTGCTGCCCCTTACTGGGGATAGAGCCCACAACCCAATTGAAATTGTCACCTTTTGGTGCATGGGACGAGGCTCAACCAACTGAGCTACCCGGGCCAGGGCTCTTTGCTGTTTTTAAAAATCCAATTCAGCCTGTGAATAGAAAAGGAAAACATGCTGAAATTAGTTAACATCTTTAAAACCGGTGTTTCCCAAACTTTTGACATATGTGTACCCCTTCTATAATTTTCGTAATGCTGAGTACCCCTCGTACTCATGAGAACGTAGAATTAGGCGCAGCTAAGCACGGTGCAGTGCATATCCCCACCAAACTCCGGTGCAACGTGTACCCCCACCAAACTCTTCCCGTACCCCCGGGGGTACGTGTTCCACACTTTGGGAAACACTGTTAGCCACTTTTTGGTATCATAACTAATTAACAAAAAATAAGCTTTATAGTTTTCTTCTCTTAATCAGAATAAAAATAGTTACAGATAAAATAATTCACATAGCTTTAGACTAGTAAGACTTTTAATGGAAAAATTGACATAACTTTTTTAACCACTTGAAATAATATCTGGACATATTTAAAGAGAAACACCATAAAAGTTGCTTTATAATCTTTAGCTTTCTAAGCATAATACTGTAGACTTTTTAAAATATAATTACCTATATTTTTATGTTTTGTCCTTCTTATATCTTAAGATTGGCTTCATTCACATTATTCCCATCTTACAGAAGCAACATTAGCTAAGAATTAAGGCAGGAATTCAGACACTATGGGTTAAGAGCTATATTAGATATAGCATATCTTCTTTTTTTAAATATAGATTTTTTTTACAAAGAGAGGAAGGGAGAGGGATAGAGAGTCAGAAACATTGATGAGAGAAATATCAATCATGAGAGAAATATCAACCGGCTGCTTCCTGCACACCCCCTACTTGGGATGTGCCTGCAACTAAGGTACATGCCCTTGATTAGAACCAAGCCCGGACCCTCCAGTCTGTAGGCAGACGCTCTATCCACTGAGCCACACCGGTCAGGGCGATAACAGCATATCTTCTCTCTGCTGACAAGATCTTGCTCTCCTCTTGCATCTCTCAGGACAACTCAGCAGCATCAGCGCTGCAGGCTTCTAAGGAGGCTAGCTTGGTGATTCTATGGTGTTCTAGGTGCTCAGGTTCTCCTGTGCTCTTCTGGTTACCTTGATGCCTTTAGGCTCTAGCCTGCTGCTGGCACCAGCGGCAGCCCATTATGGGGTTTGCTCCTCATTGCCTTAGGAAACTTTAAAACAACATTTTGTCTATTCTCTTTTGGTAGATGACAATGAAGGAGACAAAAAGAAGAAAGATAAGAAGAAAAAGAAAGTAGAAAAGGAAGACAAAGAGAAGGAGAAGAAAAAAGGGCCGAGCAAAGCCACAGTTAAAGCTATGCAAGAGGCTCTGGCTAAGCTTAAAGAAGAAGAAGAGAGACAGAAGCGAGAAGAGGAGGAACGCATAAAACGGCTTGAAGAGTTGGAAGCCAAGCGTAAAGAAGAGGTATGTTTTCGTACAGTGGCTGACATTGACATTGCGTTTAACTTAAAAATCTCTTCTCAATGAAATATCTCTAACCCTCTGAATCTATTGTCCAGATTTAAATAATAAGATGAAGAGGTACAGAAAATTCTACCTTTATTTTCTGAGGTACAGACAGGTATTGCTTATGTATCATTGCCAAGACATAGTCTATTCTCATGAATAATCATTATGTATGCCCTGGCTGGTGTGGCTCAGTGGTAGAGTATCGGCCTAAGCACTGAAGGGTCACTGTTTCGTTTCCTGGTCATGGACACCTGCTGGCAGGCTTGTTTCCTGGCTTTGGTTGGGAACATGCAGGAGGCCACCAATCTATGTTTCTCTCTCTAATCGATATTTCTCTCTCTGTGTCTCTTCCCTTCCCTTCTACTTAAGCTAAAAATCAGTGGAAAAAAATATCCTTGGGTGAGGATTAGCAGAAAAAAAAATTATGTACAACATTTAAAATATTTTCATTTGGAATCCCATAACAAACTTTGCATGTATCTCAAAAGCTTTGTTTGAAGTTTGGGATTTTTACATTTAAATTTTATAATTGATTAAGCTAGTACAATTTTTGTCTGATATACTTTTATAGGAAAGATTGGAACAAGAGAAAAGAGAAAGAAAAAAGCAAAAAGAAAAAGAAAGAAAAGAACGCTTGAAAAAAGAAGGGAAACTTTTAACTAAAGCTCAGAGAGAAGCCAGAGCCAGAGCTGAAGCTACCCTTAAACTTCTACAAGCTCAGGGTAAGTAGTATTTTTCATTGATGGGAAGGGTCTAGATGCTTCTCTCATGTAGCTGTGTCTTTATCTTTACAATGGTCAAAATGAAAATTCATTTGTACTAGAACAATAATGATAGGTGATATAATTTCCTTATTTAGGGATGATTTTTAAACTATATTAAAATTTTATGTGTAAATGATAGTGTGTGTATAAAAACATGGTTATTTTTTTGTCCCCCAAAATAAATGAAAATAGAGAATATAGTTAAAGGAGTCCTCATTTACCCATCACTCAGTTTAAACAATGCTCATTAAATACCATTTTTGTTTTGTCCTCCACCACTTTTTCCCCCCCTGTAATATTTTAAAGTAAATTTCAGATATCATGTTATTTTACTTTAGTATGTATCTCTAACAAGTAAGGACATTTTACTTCTTATTTTTTTATATTTTATTTTTTGCAGAGAGGAAGAGAGAGGGATAGAGAGTTAGAAACATCGATGAGAGAGTATCATTGATCAGCTGCCTCTTGCATACCCCCTACTGGGTACATGCCCTTGACCAGAATTGAACTTAGGACGTTTCAGGCCTCAGGCCAATGCTCTATTCACTGAGCTAAACCGGTTTTGACCATTTTACTTTTTAACATAAGTAGAGTATATCTTCTAACAAAATTAATTCCTTGATAGCATCTGATTTTCTGTCCATTTAAAATTTTTCACCATTTGTCTCCAAATGCCTTTTATAATTAATTAAAAAAAAAAATCAGGATCCAGATGAAAGCCATAAAACAAGCTTTAAAACATTTGAAAGAATTAAAGCAAACACAATAAAAAATAAAACATAATTAAACTCTCTGGCTGGTGGCACAATGATTAGAGCATTGGTCTACACATTGAAGGGTTGTGTGTTTGAATCCTGATCCAAGGGACATACCTGGGTTACAGGTTTGATTCACAGCCTTATTGGGGCGAGTGCAGGTGTCTGTCAGCCAATCGACGTGTCTCTCTCATATTGATATCTCTCTTCTCCACTCTCCCCCCCTTTTCTGGCTTTTTCCCTTTCCCTCTCTAAAAATCAATAGAAAAAAATACCTCAGGTAAGGATTGAACCAAAAACACACACACACACACACAACACCAACAATTACATTAGAAAAGAATATTAGAAATACATTGAGAAAAATCCAGAAATATTCAAAAACTAGGTGGAGGGGAGGGGCCTCTCAGCCTAACCTGCACCCTCTCTAATCTGGGACCCCTTGGGGGATGTCTGACTGCTTGTATAGGCCAGATCCCGGGGTTTGGGCCTAAACCAGCAGTTGGACATGCCTATCACAATCTTGGGCCAATGGCTTCTATTCAACTGCTTGCCTACCTGGTCTCCCCCAACTATTATACTACCCAGGTGGCCTAATCGCCTCCAACTGCCCCACCCCTGCCCCCCACACCAGCCTGGTGGCCCTTAACTGCTCCCCCTGCCTGGTTATCCCCAACTGCCCCTTCATGCTGGCCTGGTCACCCCTCAGGGTCCCCCCTCCAGCCTGGTTGCCTCACACAGCCTGCTGTTCAGTCATTTGGTCGTCCTTCACTAACCCCCCTGCCAGCCTGGTCGCCTCTCACAGCCTGCCTGTTCAGTCGTTTGTCCCTCACTAACCCTCCTGCGGACCTGGTCATAGGTAGCCATCTTTGTGAGGACATGAGGTTTAATTTGCCTATTAACTCTTTATTATATAGGATTAAGCAACACATTTTATTTATTTATTTATTTAATATATTTTATTGATTTTTTTTTTTTTTTACAGATAGGAAGAGAGAGGGATAGAGTGCCAGAAACATCGATGAGAGAGAAACATTGATAAGCTGCCTCTTGCACGCCCCCCATTAGGGATGTGCCCACAACCAAGGTACATGCCCTTAACCGGAATCGAACCCAGGACCCTTCAGTCTGCAGGCAGGTGCTCTATCCACCGAGCCAAACCGGTTAGGGCCAACATACTTCTTATTGATCCATGAGTCCAAGAAGAAGTCTCATTGAGAATTAGAAAGTAACAAAAAGATACAGCACAACAAAATTTGGAAGATGTGTCTAAAGCAATTTTTAGAGGGAAATTTATAGCATTAAAATGCTTCTTTTAGTAAAAGAAGAAAGATTGCACATCAATAACCTTCTGTTTCCCATCCTACAAACCAAAAATTAGAAGAGCAAAGTAAGCAGAAATAATGTAATGGGGGGAGGGGTGGGAAGAATCAATAAACCCTGTCTGCTCTGTGGCGGAGGCGGTAGTCCCTGCCTCTCCGCTACCTCCACCTCAGCCTATCTCCTGGCCGGTGGCGTTGGCAGGAAGGGGGACGGTAGTTGTAGATGCCAGACCCTGCCTCACAAGAAGTTCCCCAAGGGTTCACAGTCTCACTGTTTAGGGAAAGTTTATGCTATAAAACTGAAGGCAGTTAATGGGTGAATATGATCAAACTTCTCTACTAAGTTCTCAGCCTGATAAGGAAAATCCCTTGTCAACTTAATGAAGCATTCAAAGAAGACATCTGACTCTTTTCAAGCTGAACTTGAAGCTTATATCAAAGTGCAGAGAGCCAGAGGCTTAGAACCAAAGACAGATGAGAGAGGACTATTTGGAAACCTGTAGGGACAAAGAGGAGATTGATTTCAGACCCAGGTAGAGAATGTTTGATCAAAGACTCCCAACTGAAACCATCCAGACCCAGCCGAGGTCATGCAGTGTTACTTCAGTGGCTACAGCTCATGACAGCATGAGGTACTGTCAATTCACCAGGGCCTGTTTCTCAGAAAAACCAGCACCCTATTGAACCCTAGTCATCAAGAGTATAATTATAGCTCATACAATGTAGAATCTAGACTTTACAAGCACCTCTCAGAAAACAGTACCAGTACCCAAAAAGCTGGTCACAAACGGATACACCAGAAGAGAAAATGGCCCCCTGAAGACAGAAAAAAAATCAGAGGAGCAGCAGCCTGAGCATAAGAGGAAAAAAGGTGGTAATAGGAAATAGGTTTAGACAAACACAAGAGCATCCAAAAAAGCAAAACAGGTAGAAGCAGGATCAGTACAGAGAAGCTTAATCAAAGGGAGAGAAAAAGATGGATCAGTGCAGAGAAGCTTGGTCAAAGGGAGAGAAAAAGATGAGATGTAACCTCTAAGAAAGGACCGTAATCACGGAAAAGGGAAAGAGGAGTAGGCAGCGAAAGGGCAGAGGGGGAAGTGCTCTGGGACCAGTCTGTCCTTGGATTTTGAAGCTCTTGGGTTGATTCTCCTGAGGTTAAATTGGAAAATCATTGAGGTTGGCTTTCTGATGTTCATGTTCGTAGCACTTTTCTCATGGAAACAGGCACTTTCACTTCCAACAAAGGCCAAGTGAACAGAGTATTTAGGCCTTGACTGGGTAGCTCAGTTGGTTGGAGTATGGTCCCAATAAGCCAAGCTTTCAGGTTCGATCCCTGGTTAGGGCACATATGAGCAGCAACCAATGAATGCACAAATAAGTGGGACAACAAATTGATGTCCCTCCCCCCCCCCTCTCTCTCGTAAATTAATAAGCCCCTAAAGTATTTAGTATGCTTGATAATACCAACATGAAAATTAATTTTCTTCATTTTCTAGAAACTTCATTACTTTTTTCTTGCATGTAATGTAATTTCCCTTAATGAGAGCAGCTTTACTTTTACTCATCAAACTGCTGTGATGATGGAATTATTTTCCCCTTGGGAAGTCATTTTGAATTGGAGGATTAATAGACTTTATAGAATCTATTTCTTAATTGGGTTTGTTTTAATTTGGGGTGGGGTATTTTTATATTCATTAGTTTTCTCAATTTACATTTTTTTCCTCTGCTAGATACATGTTTTTTTTAAGTTCTTTATGTATTATAGATTGAATAATGAAAAATGAAATACATTAAAGTTATCTTAAGTTAAATATAGTTTTAAAAGTTTCAAAGAGTATAAAAAATTCATTTATAGTAAGTGCTTATAATAAAGTTCTAATTTCTAAAAAAAAAAAAAAAAAAAAAAAAAATGAAGCCAAAAACCAGTTCTTTGGAAGTATTAAAATGATGGTAAGGAATAAATGAGTAATTCTATACTCATAAATTCAAAAACTTAAATAAAATAGGGCCATTCCTTTCTAGATATAAACTATCAAAACTCACAAAGAAACATAACCGGGACAGTCCTATATCTACTGTAGTCCCCCTTTAAATGTGGAGGATATATTCTAAGATCCTCAATGTTGCCTAAAACTATGGAGTAACAAAACATACTTATGTTTTCTCCTACACATACATACTTCTGATAGTTTAATTTATATATTAGGCACAGTAAGAAATTAACAAGAACAAAAAGGAAAAATATAACAATATTAACTATAATAATTATGTGAATGTGGTCTAAAATTAAGACTATAAAGAGATAACACTACACATTTATTAGAATACATAAATGAATAAATTAAAACATCTGTTTTAACCACATGCTGGTCAGGATATTGAACAATTGATAATCTCATACATTACTAGTGGGAATGCAAAATTGTAAAGCCACTTTGGAAAACAGTGGGCAGTTGCTTAGAAAATGAAATACATATTTACCTAATGTGCCATAATTTCCACTCAAATCTTTACCCCAGAGAAATGTTCACACAAAAACCTCTACATACAAATATTCATATCAGCTTTATTTATAAATATTAAAACTTAGAAACAACTCAGATGTCCTTCAAGTGACTAATAAAGAAAGGAGCTGTTCCATCAATACAATGGAATGCTACTCAGAGTAAAAAGAAATGAGGTATTGGTACATATTATAAAACAAAGAGGGTGACTCATCCCAAGATGACAGCAGCCAGACTGTAAGGTTCATTTCTGTGACATTTGGGAAATGCAAATCTTTGAGGATGGAGAACAGGTCAGTGCTGCCAGGGGCTAAGGATGTGAGCAGGATTTGCTTACATAGAACCCACAGAGTGATGGAATTTTTTGCATCTTCATTATGATGGTGGTTGCATAATTACATATTTGACAAAAGTCTTAGAACCGTACACCAACATAATGGAATTTTATTGTATGGGTAAAATTTAGAATGCCTTATATAAAAAAGAGGTTTTTCCATGAATGCTCTTTGTTATATTTTAGGGTATGTATCTCTGATGTGAATAGAATGTTATTTGTTTAAGTACTATCTCTTAGGTGACATACAGGTTGGTATAAACCTGAAATTTTCCATTATCTCTTAGGTGTTGAAGTGCCATCAAAAGACTCTTTGCCAAAGAAAAGGCCAATTTATGAAGATAAGAAGAAGAAAAAAACGCCACAGCAGCTAGAAAATAAAGAAGGTTTGTAGACAAAATAGTCTCATTTAGAAACTTTTCCCCCCACACTTTAAACAGAATGTCTTTTAAAAAAAGAAGTCAATTAATCATTACAACTTGAAAAAGTACTTGCGTTTTAAAAATCTAGATCCTACCCTATAAATAACTTTAAATTTAATTTAATTTTTTAATCTTTATTGTTGAGAAAGTCTTAGAGATGTCCCCACCTTCTTTTTCCCCTTTGTGCCCCTTCACTGGTTCCTGCCCTGTCCCAGACTTTTGCCACCTTATTGTCTTTTTTTTTGTCTGTGTCCACACATATATATAAGGTCTTTGGTAAACCTCTTTCCTTCCCCCTTCTTTCTGAGATTCTTTTGTCTGTTCCATGTTTCCATGCCTCTGGTTCTATTTTATTCATCATTGTTCATTAGATTTCTTGATTGCTTACTTTGATTTTTACATTCAATTGTTGATAATGTATTTATTGCCATTTTATTGTTCATATTTTTTTATTTTTCTTCTTTAAGAAGATCTCTTAATGTTTCATTTAATGCTGGTTTGGTGGTGGTGAACTCCTTTAGCTATTTTTTGTCTGTGAAGCTCTTCATCTGACCTTCAATTCTAAATGATAGCTTTGCTGGGTAGAATAATCTTGTTTGTAGATCCTTGCTACTTGTCACTATTTCTTGCTACTCGCTTCTGACCTGTAAAGTTTCTTGAGAAATCAGCTGACAATCCTGTAGGTAACTAACTGCTTTTCTCTTGCTTTTTTTTCTTTTTGTTAAATATATTTTACTGATTTTTTTATAGAGAAGAAGGGAGAGGGATAGAGAGTTAGAAACACCAATGAGAGAGAAACATCGATCAGCTGCTTCCTGTACACCCCTTACTGGGGATGTGCCCGAAATCAAGGTACATGCCCTTGACTGGAATGGAACCTGGGACCCTTCAGTCCACAGGCCGACTCTATCCACCGAGCCAAACCAGCTAGGGCTCTCTTGCTTCTTTTAAGGTTTTCTCTTGGTCTTTAACCTTTGGCATTTTAATTATGATGTGTCTTGGTAATGTATATATGCATATAAGTCTTGGTGTGGGCCTCTTTGGGTTTGAAACTTTATGCTTCCTGCATTTGTGTGTCTATTTTACCAGGTAAGGGAAGTTTTCTGTCATTTTTAAAAATAGGTTTTCAATTTTTTGCTCCTCCTTCTTCAGGTTACCCCCATGATGTGAATGTTGGTATGTTTTAAGTTGTCCCAGAGACTCTTTACACTATCTTTATATTGGATTCTTTTTCTTTTTGCTCTTTTGATTTTTTTTTCTTCTTCCTAATATTCCAAATTGCTGACTTTGATTCTCAGCGTCCTCTACTCTATTGTTGATTCCCTGTAAATTATTCTTCATTTCAGCTAGTGTATTCTTCATTTCTGAATGGTTCTTTTTTATGTTGCTTATGTTCTCACTAAGTTCCTTGAAGTTCTCACTAGGTTCCTTGAGCATCCTTATAACCATTGTTTTGAATTCTGTATCTGGTAGTTAGCTTGCTTCCATTTTGTTTAGTTCTTTTCTGAAGATATTCTGTTCCTTTGTAACATGTTTCTTTGTATCCACATTCTGGCTGCTCCCTGTGCTTGTTTCTATGTATTAGGTAGAACTGCGGTGGTAGGCGTCCTGCATGGCCCAGTGGCTCAGCCTCCCTAGTCACCGAGCTCAGCACTTAAGGTGTTTCCCTGTGTGAGCTCATTGCACTGTCCTGTTGTAGTTAAACCTTGATTGTTGTTGACATCACTGGAAGGGATTGACCTCCAGGGAAACAGCTGTGAGGACCAGCTGTGACTACAGCAGAAAAACTATGTGCAGGAGACACCCCTGTGGAGCAGGACTTGCTTCATTGTGGCTTTGGTGCTCACCAAGTGCGTCCCTTGAGTGTGTCACTCATGGATGAGGTAGGGTTGTAATCTGGTGTGGTCTGAATCTGACCACTGAGTGCACTGGCTCTGAGATCTCCTGGGAGGTTCAAACTCAGCTGTTGCCTGTTCCCCTGCTTGGCCAACTTCTGTACCCCTCTTCACCCCTCCCTCCCCTTTTTCCCCCCTCCCTACCCTCTCCCAGTCATGAGCTACAGAACTATCTGTAAATTGCTGCTCCCTGTGTTGGGCTTGGAGGTGCCCAGGAGAGGCCAAATTGTGAATCAAGGCAGGTTGCTGCTGGTGCCAGGCCTGGGGCCACTTACAAGAGGTATTAGGCATGGTAAGGCCAGCTGCTGCTTGAGAGGTTTTAGGAAAGTCTGAAGCCTAAGTCACCACAAGCCATTTCATGTGGAAAAGCTACTGGAAACAGTTTGGGTGGGCCTGCAAATTGGGTAGGACCAGATCTCAGGGAATCACCATGGTGGGCAGACAGGTCTGAGCCAGATTGATCGACACTCAGATATGGTGCCTGATTGTTGACTCTGGTTGGGGGAGATGGGTCAGCAAAGGAACAATGACCTCTGCCAGCACTTTTGTCTGGGAGAAATCTACCCCCTGTTCTTGCCCTGATGTCAGATAATTTAGGTCTTCCCCCTATGTCCCTGCATCCTTTCAAGCTGCTGTCCCACATCTGGAGCTCAGAGGGAGTGGGTCTGAATAGTGTGCTGGCCCTTTTAAGAGGAATGGCGGGACTCTATAATTCTTTGTTCACTCAGCCACAATCCCAGCTGGTTTTTTCAGCCTGAAGTTACGGAGACCTCTTCTCAGCACTGAAACCCTGGGATGAGGGGTCTGATGTGGGGCTGGGACCCCCTGGCTCTTCATGGAGGACCTCCACAGCTCAGATGCTGCCTGTTCCGCACCTCTCCTCCTCCCAGTCTCATTGTGTCTTCTACGTTAATTCTCTAGTGGTAGGACTTCCATTCGGCCAGCTTTTAGGGAGTTCTGAAGGATGTTCTGTAGTTTAGTTGTAATTCTGATGTGGTTGTGGGAGGAGGTTGAGTACTGTGTTTACCTATGCTGCATTTTTGACCTGCCCCCTGAATAACTATTCTTAACTGGAAAGTACAATTATCATTTTCTTTTTTTTCCTCAATCTTCTACTTTCTGTAAAATATATGACTGATGCTTAAACATTTTTGAACACGATAAAGAATGTAGGTTTATACTAATGATTTTTATTCAATACTTAACAGAGTATCCTATCAAAAATTATATAGTAAAAAATATTAATTTGGTTTCTGCCCTTCAGTATCTGAGCCAGTAGAATTCAGTGCTGCTGTAGAAGTTGTGGAACAAGGCGCACCAGAAAAAGAAGAGTCACCACCTCCTGTTGAGCCAGGCCAGTAGCTTTGACTAATAACTTCCTATTAAGTAGCATTGATGTGTCCAAAATGTCATAGTAGTTTGGGGAAACCAGATATCTGGCAGGGTGGCCTATTTTTAATAGTCCTTTAAATCTTTTTTATTTTTTTTATTTCCATGTTGCAAAAGTGTAAAAGTGAGCCTTGAGTCAATTGTGTGTCTTTTTGTAGAGAAAAATTTTTGTAGAGAGGATAGAAGTTTTTTATTTCCTCTGTTTTTGTTGATGGGTCAGAGCTGAAGTTCTTTAATCTTTCCAAAGAAAAATTGGAAGAATTTTTAATTAGAACTTTTTAAGTCATAAAAGTTATTATTTTTAAAATCTTAGAGGTCAGCCTCTGATTTAGTGTTTGTGTTTTTAGGTTGTAAAAAGTCTCTGGTTTTCTTTTCCTTTTTTTTTTTTTTTTTTAAGATAAATATTGTTCTAATTCATGAGACTAGATATTGATAGGAAGCCACAGGCTAACATAATATATATTTAGTAAAATCAAGAGATTCTCAAGTGTTCAAAGACAGGAATGGAAGTAGAAATATTTGAGGATGTCAAGACTGACTATCCTGGGTGGGAAAATTATTGATAGTCCCTTCCCACCTCCCTCTTGGTTCTCAGTGTAAAATATCATTTGTTTGGGTACATCTCAGCTTAGCATAAGGAAACTAGAGAAATTCCAGTTGACATGCTTATAGCAGTGCGGGGTTGTGGGTGATATCTGTAGCAGTAGAAAGAAGAAAGAATTGTAAACTGGAAGGAGGCTGCTTCGGGCGCATGTTTTTCACTTGTTTCTTCCTCCCCAAGAAGTCTTATGCAAACTTCCTGGCAAATGATGATTTTTCCAGGAAAGAAGATACTACATGTGCCCTCATTTTTTGAGAATAATTTTGCCTAATTGGATTTCAGTAAAAGTGTCATTGTTGTTAAGGACAGTATTAAATTTTTAATATTCAAAATAATACCCTTCTGACCATTTTTGAGTTGTAAGCACAAAAATCTATTCTAATTTTCAACTGGAGTAGAGATGTAGCTTCATAATATCCAATTATATAATTTATGTAGTATTTGTTATCTATATAGGCTAAAGAAAAACAAATTATAAAGTTTAGTTAAAAATCAAAAAGTATATGTCTTCAAGAATAGAGTGTGATCATGTGCTCTAGTGTACAGGTTGGGGCAAGAGTAGGTTTACAGTTATGAGTAAATGAAGCAGAGTTTATTCTTTTACTAGAGGCCTGGTGCACGAAATTTGTGCATGGTGGGTGAGGTCCCTAGGCCTGACCGGCAATTTAAGCATGAATGTTTGGTGTGGATCCCAGTTCCCCGTGTGCCACCTGAGTTATCAGACCCCATTCACACTGCCTTTACCTGGCGCTGTCTGCTCACCTGCTCCACCATCTTGCTATGGTCCCGCTCTCGTCGGGGCCTGCAGCGTCTCCACTGCCAGTTCCATGTTGCTGACGCCTGCCATGTTCCACACTTCCCCTTGGTGGTCAGCACTCATCAGCGAGTGGTCAAACTCCTGGTCGAACTGCAGGTCGAGGGGACAATTTGCATATTAGGTTTTTATTATATAGGACTATTATTTACTACTTATTACATTTTTCCATACAAACAACTGTAAACTTAATTTTGCCCCAACCTGTATTCAAAATACTAGAGAATTGGGAGTCATCTTACCTAAAAATAGACAAACATGTAAATTGACCATACCTCTGCTGTGCCACCAGCCAATCAGGCGTGATATGAAAATTAATCCAACAATGATGGTGGTTAATTTGCATACACAGGGGCTGAGTGATGGGGGCGGGTGGGATGCTTGTGTCCTTGCAATGGCGACAGAGCAGGCATTCTGCCCTACTCTGGGTCTCTCAAGGCCTCTGGGCAGCATGGGAAGGCGGGGCTGGAGCCGAAAGAGGTGGCTCCAAGGCCTGGGCAGAAAGGAAAGGAAAGCCCATTCTAGCACGAATCTTTGTGCATCAGGCTTCTAGTTTAGTAATAATAAATTATAACATGTTAGCTATATTGAAAATTAGTCCCAAAGATAATGAAATTGTATTTTTTTTGCATAATAAAACATTTATTTTTATGTCAGCATAATTTTCCACTTTTTCTATGTCTTCAATAAAAACTTTTATTTACAGAAGAGGAAGAAGAAACTGAAGAAGCTGGATTGGATGACTGGGAAGCTATGGTCAGTGATGAGGAAAGAGAAAAAGGTGAATAGCTCATAAGCACTTGTTGATAAATCCCGTGGTTGTTAGAGATGTTTATATTTAAAGGAATAGTCTCCTGATAATGACTGCTATATGAGCATTCCCAAGGACAGAGACCAGTTTTGCACTCTCTGTTGCTATGGTTCCTAAATCCTCATGTGGATCCTATTTCATGAATAGGTGGTTTTTCAACTATTTGCAAGATAGTTGTCTGGGATTTAGAATATAGTTTTTCAGAGTGATAATGTTATAAATGGGGTTAAGTTATTAGAGCTAGATAACAAAAGGCCCCTTTAACTTTAAATCTAATACAAATAGAAATAATAGTATATTTCCTAATCACTCTGAATGAAAATTGTTGTGTTTTTTTTTTTTTTGTAATTTCTATCCTTTATTACTAAAATCAACTTTTTAAAGGTTTAATTCTGCTGGCTTTTTTCCTTTTTGAGATGGATATTTGTCTCATGTTTTTTTTTCTATTTTTCCCCCCATATTTTTAAGATTATGAACTTTTCTTTAAGCACAGTTCTAGGTACTAATATGTTGCTTTTTCTAAATTTACATTTAGATATATGTTAATTTTACCTATGATTTATTTAGAAGCACATTTCTTAATTATATAAATAAGGATTTTCTAATTCTTGTTACTTCATTGGATCAGAGAACATACATAGTTCTGTCCTTTGCAATGGGTTGAGAATTTACAACCTAGCAAATAGTTGATTATTGTAAATGTTTTATGTGTGATTGGGTGTGCTTGATTGTCATGTTCACCGTCTTTAGTCAAGTTTGCTGATCTTTTATGTTGTTCTGAGTTTTTTTTTCTGGTGTGCTTTTTCTTTTACTAAGTGAGGCGTTAAAATCTCCCACCATGATTGTAGATTGTCTATTTTTCCCTGAGTTCTGCCAACTCTTTGCTTTCTATATTTTGGTGTTATATATATTATTAGGTGATGAATTGACTCTGATATATTGTTTGTTTATATTGTATTTATTTTATACTCTTTAAATTCATTTTTAGTGATGCTTTTTGCCTTAACAGTCTACTTTATCTGATTTTAATTAATACAGTTCCACATGCTTTGGTTTATGTGCTCTTTTTCTATACTTATTATTTTTTCTGTATCCTTAAACAGCCTATAGTTGATAGTTTTATATCCAGTTTGTCAGTCTTTATTTTTTACTTACTGCACTTAGCCCATTATACCTAACATTTGTTGTTATTAATGAAATACAGTATATTGGTTTTATACTCATCTCACTAAATCCTTCTTATTTGTTTTGTCTGTGTGTTTCTTCTCTTCTTTCTAACTGTACTTTAGATTGTTGGGTTCTTTTTATTAGCATTTTTTCCTCCTATTGGAAGTTGTGTACTTTTTCATTTACTTTTAATGTTATCTAGAGACATTTAACATAAACCTTTGAACTATCATTGACTAATCTTACCATCTTCCCAGGCAATGTAAAGGCCACTATATACATGAATAACATTTAATCAGTTCTCGATTTATATGTCATTGTTCTCATTTGTTTTAATTCTCTATTTTAAACTCATAATACCATATTATTTTTTATAGTCAATGTTTATTTAAATTTACCTAAATTCTTAGCTTTTTGTTGGGCTTAATTTCTTCCTACATCTCTGACCTTTCATTTGGGGTTATTTCTTCTTGCTAGAAGGACTTTAGAATTTCCTTTAGTAGAAATCTATTAGTGAGACATTCCATTTTTGCTTTTCTAAAAAAAAATTTTTTTAAATTTCATTCTTAAAGGGTACATTTACTGAGTGAGGAGTTCTTTGCTAAAATTTTATTTTATTTAATCCTTTAAAAATATTACTTGTCTTGGCTTTTATTATTTCTGTTGAAGATTCAACAGAAATAAATTTTTCATGTGTCTTTGGTTTTTAGCAGGTTAATTATAATATAGTAAGGGTTGATTTCTTCTCATTTATTATGCCTGTAGAGCTTTATAAATGTATGGTTTTATATTTTTATCAGTTTTGCAATGTAATTAGCCATTATTTCCCCTCAGGTATTCTAATTATGACTAGATAGACCTTGTTATTATATCGTTGCATTTTATTTTTTCCACGTTAGTGTATTTTCCATCTTATTACACCTCTGTGGTTTATTCTAGTTGTTTGCTCATTTTTAAATTTAAATTTTTTTTTTATTGATTTTAGATAGGGAGGAAGAAAGAGAAATATTGATTTGTTGTTCCACTTATTGATGCATTCATTGGTTGATTCTTTGTAAGTGTTCTGACTGTGGATTGAACCCACAACTTTGTCATATCAGGACGATGCTCTAACCAAAGCAGCTACTCCACCAGGGTTAGATTATTTCTTCTGATCTATCTTCTGATTCATTAATTTTCTATTCAGGCTATTTTTCTCTTCTTTATATTTCAGTTTTAGAATTTCTACTTAACTAATAGTTTTATTTTTTAAAGATTTTAATCTTATCTTTTGTTCCCTGTATGTTAAAAGTGTAGTTGTTTTTTAATTTTGCCTTTATGACTTCAATAGAAGCCCTCTGGGTATGCTGGCTTTCCTCATGAGAATTGTTTTCTCGTGTGGTTTGTTATTTTATATATTTTTATAATATACCAGAGACCCGGTGCACAAAATTCATGTCCTGGGAAGAAGGGGGGTGGGTGTCCCTCAGCACAGCCTGCACCCTCTCCAATCAGGGACATCCCTCTTATAATCCGGGACTGCTGGCTCCCAACTGCTCCCCTGCCTGCCAGCCTGATCACCCCCTAACAACTCTCTTGCCAGCCCGATTGTCCCCAACTGCCTTTCCCTGCCAGCCACCTTTGAACACATGGGTGAGGCCATCTTGTGTGAGGGTGTGAGGGTCAATTTGCATATCTCTATTATATAGGATAGGTATTATACTTGTAAAAGTATAGAAATACTTTGTGGTCAAGGATTATTTTTTTCATCCTCCAAAAAAAAAAGTCTTTCTACCGTGTTTCCCCGAAAATAAGACATCCTCCGAAAATAAGACCTAGCGCATGGAAAGGTAAGACATTCCCTGAAAATAAGACCTAGTGCAACTTTGGGATAAAAAATTAATATAAGATGCTGTCTTACTTTCTGGGAAACGGTACATCTACTAGTAGTGAACTAGGGAATAATAAAACACTAGTTAATTATTCCAAATGTAGAATTCAGAGAACCCAGAAGTGTTATGCTAAGAATGAGGGGAGGTTCTGTTTACTGCCTATTCATCCTTACTGGTAGGGTGCAGTTTTTCAAGTTTTACCTCACAGTAAGGGTGTTAGCTAGTGTTCATCTACCTTGCCTTCCCTGAATCCTTGTTAGGCCTGAATTTCCTATGCCCTGAATCACGAAGGGGCTAGAAAGCACTGCTCGGCCTTTGAGCTGACTTCTCCAGAATTTCACACATAAACCCCAAGGGAGAGGAATACCAAGTATTGTGTTCATCATCCTGGGTTTCTGTCCTCTTGTATCCTGGCTTAGTAATATCTTTTTAATTTGATTATGCATGGATTAATGCTTTACATTTTCACTGTTAAACAGCAGTCTTTATCGCAGCATGTGGATAAAGACTTGTTTGGAATTAAAGATATAATCTGCCTTATTTATCTTAAAGGTCTCTATTATGTTGATGGAATCTCATTTTTAATTTTCATTTATTATAAAATCTCTTGTTTTTCTGAAAGAAGGCAATACAGTGCATATAGAAGTAAAAGAAAACCCCGAGGCAGATGAGGAGGAGGAGGAAGAGGAAGAAGAAGAAGAAGAAGAGAGTGAAGAGGAAGAAGAAGAAGAAAGTGAAAGCAGTGAAGGTGAAGAAGAGGAAGAAAAGGTGTTAGATGAGAAAGATTTGAGGAAAACATTAGTTAAAAAGCCAAGTAAAGAATTGAGCTCAGATTCTGAATATGACTCTGACGATGATCGAACTAAAGAAGAAAGAGCTTATGACAAAGCAAAACGGAGGATTGAGGTATTTATTATTCCCTTTCTCTTTGCTCCTTTGCTCTGCAGTACTCCTCTGTGGTCCTTAGAACTGCATTCTACAACAGAGGCTTTTATTTAACAGCATTTTTAAAAATATCGTCACAGAATAGTATTTTGACCAGTTTCTGTAAGTCAAGACAATAGTAGATATGACACTGTTCTAACCAAAAGATCCCAGGCCCTTACCCAAGTCAGAACAGTGACTGCTTCATCATGCTTTACTTGTGTTCTCAGAATTTTAGTGTGCTCTTCAAGTGATGGGTTCTAGGTATGCAGAGGTATTCTGAGCTTATGTCCTCTACTTACAATCATTAGTTAAGTGTCTGTGTTGCATATTTAAGTTAGTGTGAGGCATCTGATCATGTAAGTTTGAATCTGGTGGGTTAATAAGGCTTCTCTTTTATTAAAGTGCACATACCTAGGAGACTTACTCTTTTTTCTACTCAATTCAGCAGATTTCAAGAGATAATGTTCTTAAATTATGTCAGCTTGGCATAAACAACACACTAAAAACTAGTTTAGTTTGCTTGAAGAGGCTAAGGCTAAAAACTATCTTAGCTTTATCTTTTCATGAATTATTATAATAAAAAAAATTATTTTTAATACCTTTATCAGTTTTTGCTATTTTCTTCTGTAAAGTCTTGATAGGTATACATTTCTGAATTTCAAAAGGGCTAATATTGTGCATGGGAAGGAGGGGGGTTGTTCCTCAGCCCAGCCTGCACCCTCTCCATTTCTGGGACCCCTTGAGGGATGTCTTGACTGTCCGTTTAGGCCTGGTCTCGGTAGAATTGGGCCTAAACGGGCAGTCGGACATCCCTCTCACAATCCAGGACTGCTGGCTCCCAACTGCTTGCCTGCCTGCCTTCCTGATTGCCCCTAACCGCTTCTGCCTGCCAGCCTGATCACCCCCTAACCACTTCATGCTAGCCTGATTGATGTCTAACTGCTCCCCTGCCAGCCTGTTTGCCCTCAACTTCCCTCCTCTGCTGGCCTGGTCACCCCTAACTGCCCTCCCCTGCAGGGTTGATTGCCTCCAACTGCCCCCCTTTTCAGGCCTGATGCCTCCCAACTGCCCTCCCCTGCTGACCATCTTATGTCCACATAGGGGTAGGATATTTGACTACATGGGGGAAGCCATATTGTGTGTTGAAGTAATGGTCAATTTGCATATTACTCTTTTATTGGGATAGAGGCCTGGTGCAAGACTGGGGGCCAGCTAGTTTGCCCTGAAGGGTGTCCCAGATCAGGATCAGGGTGGGGTTCCCTTGGAGCATGAGGCAGCCTGAATAAGGGGCCTCTGGGGGTCTGCAAGCCGGCCATACCCCCCAGTGACCCAAGCTGAGGCCCTGGTATCTGGGATATATTTACTTTCTACAATTGAAACTTTGTAACCTGGAGCAGAGTCAAGCCTCCTTGGTGGAAACCGTTTCTGTTTGGATTTGTTTACCTTCTGTAATTGAAACTTTGGCCAAAACCAGTTTGGCTCAGTGGATAGAGCGTCGGACTGTGGACTGAAGGGTCCCAGGTTCGATTCCGGTCAAGGGCATGTGCATTGCTTGCGGGCACATCCCCAATAGGGACTGTGCAGGAGGCAACTGGTCGATGTTTCTCATTCATCGATGTTTCTAGCTCTCTCTCCCATCCCTTCCGCTCTGTGGGAAATCAATAAAATAGCTGAAACCGGTTTGGCTCAGCGGTAGAGCATTGGTCTGCGGACTGAAAGGTCCGAGGTTCGATTCTGGTCAAGGGCATGTACGTTGGTTGCGGGCACATCCCCGGTAGGGGTGTGCAGGAGGCAGCTGGTCGATGTTTCTCTCTAATCGACGTTTCTGGCTCTCTCTCCTTTCCTCTCTCTAAAAAATCAATAAAATATATTTTTTTAAAAAGAAAATCAATAAAATATATATAGAAAATAAATATAATTGAAACTTTGTAGCCTTGAGTGGAGGCTTAGGCCCAAGGGCAGGCGAAAGCTTGTCTTCCTCTGTTGCCAGGGAAACGCCTCCCTTCTGCTCTCTGTGGCTATAGCTATCTTGGTTGGGTTTATTTGCATACTCACTCTGATTGGCTTATGGAGCAGAGTGATGGTTAATTTGCATATTATTTTTTTATTAGGTAGGATTAGATAGAATTAGGTAGGTTATAGGCCTGTGGGGGCCAGCTGGTTTTCCCTGAAGTGTGTCCCGGATCAAGGTGGGAGTTCCCCTGGGGCATGGGGCGGCCTACTTGAAGGGCCTGTGGTAGTTTGCAGGCCGGCCACGCCCCTCAGCGACCCAAGTGGAGGCCCTGGTATCAGATTTATTTAACTTCTATAATTGAAACTTTGTAGCCTTGAGCAGAGGCCTGGGCCAGCCAGGGTGTGCAGTAAGCTTGGGTTCCTCCATTGCGGGAGAAACCCAAGCCGCCTCACTCCATGGCCACAGCCATCTTGGTTGTGTTAATTTGCATACTCACTCCTGATTGGCTGATGTGTGTGGCTTGTGGATGTAGCAGAGGTTTGGTCAGTTTGCATATTACTCTTTAGATAGGATACTGCAGTGAACAATCACTATTAGACACCTGCATCTCTGTACTTGTCCTTCATTGCTCCAGGACAGATATTGAGAGGTAGAATTTCCAGGTTAAAATTGATACTATATTGCTTTACAGAAAATTTTAACACTTCACCAAGTATGAGAAAGAGGACATTTTCGCTCAAATCAATCCCAGGGTCACAGTGTTCGCATTCCAACAGTATGTACTGTGAAGCTCCTTTATTAGTAAATACTCACATGTCACTTTGACATTCTAAAACTTTTTCCCCCACTTTCTACAGAAAGATCTCAGTGTCTAGTGGTAGAAATGAAAGTAAAGAGTTTCTACAAAAATGGTTTTTAGATGGAAATAGTGTTGTGATACTCTAGAGTCCAGAAGAAAGTCTTACCTCATTTGAGTGGCAGCTTTGTTGTGCATTAAAGGTTATCATTTGAAAGAACTGCTGAGCTCTCAGAAATGAAGTGTTTAGGTAATGAAATACTGCAGAAAATGCATTGTGGTTCAAGGACAGACTTTCTTATGCCCTGTCACACATTAGGAGGTAGGAAATGCCTTTGGGAGGCTTACATAAACTTGGTAGGTTTTATAATGTTTGCACATTGGACAAGGTTTTGAAATAAATGGTTTTACAACTCTGAAGTTCTAAAGAAATATTTAGGATGCAAGAGCATACCTCTTTTTATATAACCTCCACATAAGTTAGAGATTGTAGGGTATAGTAAATGTGACAGGAAGATCCATTTCTTTTCTGTTTATTCTATTCCATTAAGTTAGCTATGTGCACAAGTGTCTCCAAATTTGAGCCAACACCTTACATTGAGCTTATTCATATTAACAGTGCTACTCTGAAACCTGAAAGCTACTCTGACGAGGTTTATTCTTACCCAAAGGTACTGTGATGGAAATTAAATTGTGAAGCTCACCTTGTAAAATGCAGTTACATGTAGTTAAATCAAGAAAGAACTTGAATGAGGTGGCGTTCTCTTGCCAAGGCAAAAGGAAAATAATGATCAGGTTTGCAATGTTATTTCTGAGGTTTTTTTTCCTTCCTAGAAACGGCGACTTGAACATAGTAAAAATGTAAACACAGAAAAACTGAGAGCCCCTGTTATTTGTGTACTTGGACATGTGGACACAGGGAAGACAAAAATTCTAGATAAGGTAAGAAAGTGCTGTTATGCACTGATACAAGTTTTAAAACAAATGAATGATGCCTTATGAAAAGTTAATACAGACCATGGCACATATATGCAGTTCTCGTTACAATAAATATGTTACTACTTCCTTATCGTGTTTGCTTCCTTTTGCATTTTGAAATACAAATCTGAATCTGCTGTCTTGCCCCAGCTCCGTCACACGCATGTACAGGATGGTGAAGCAGGTGGTATCACACAGCAAATCGGTGCTACCAATGTTCCCCTCGAAGCTATTAATGAACAGACTAAGATGATTAAAAATGTAAGTAGACTGTATCTCATATATTTTAATATATATATCTTTATTGATTTTTTACAGAGAGAAGGGAGAAAGATAGAGAGCTAGAAATGTCAATGAGAGAGAAACACCGACCAGCTGCCTCCTGCACACCCCCCACCAGGGATGTGCCCGCAACCAACGTACATGCCCCTGACCGGAATCGAACCTGGGACCTTTCAGTCCGCAGACCGATGTTCTACCACCGAGCCAAACCGGTTTCGGCTGTATCTCATATGTTTTAAAGATGTAAGCTATTTTCAAACAGAAAAAAAGAACAGAATAGTATAACAGACCTATATGCTCACCATTCATAATTATTATGTATGCTATTTAGTCCTATTTTGCTTCAGAACTTTCTTAAGCAATAAAACATTAGATATCGTAGGACCATCATATTCCATTTCCTTCCCTCTTACTCCAGGAGACCATCACTATTCTGAAGTTAGTACAGCCTCCCCTCCATGTTTTAACATTTTTACCACCTATCTCCGTGGTTAGAGCATTGGCTGTGCATTGAAGGGTCTCAGGTTCAATTCCTGGTCAAGGGCATGTACCCGGGTTGCAGGTTTGATACTCGGCCCTGGTTGGGGCTCGTGCGGTAGTTGTTATTATTATTATTATTACTATTATCTCTCACATTGATGTGATGTTTCTCCTTCTCTCTCCCTCTCCTGCCCTCCCTCCCTTTTATACTCTCTATAAAAATCAATGGGGAAAATATCCTCAGATGAGGATTAACATCAAAAACATTTTTTTTTAATTTCCTCCCCATCAAATTATATATCCGATTAATTCCATATACGTATTCCACCTTGCTTATTTTCTCTGTACTGGAGATATTCCATCTACTTATGCTGCATATAACACAATAAAGAAGATCACACAAGATTAATGAAAAGCGTAATGAATCATGATTTAGTGTAGACACCCTTTGTGTCACCGATGTTAGGAGAACGGAGTTTTGCCAGTTCCCTCGGAAGCACTCTAGTCAAAGTCTTCTTTCTGCCTTCTAAAGTTATTATACCTCTAGCTTTTATTGTGTGAGTGGTTGCATGATGTTGATATTCCAGTCCCTTCAACCCATCCTTATTGGATTGCTTGTAGAGAAACTCTACTTACTCTACTGCTCTGTTACTATGTAGAGGAAAGGCAAAATAAGCATCTTATGCTTTACCAGCTTTCAGAATAGTGACCATTTTGGCTTGGTTTTATGTTATAAACTCTTGGATTTAAATTTATTTACTGTGTTTTAATCCATTTCAGTTATATCTCGCTGAGATGGTTCCATCTTTGCCCTGTGGTTGGCTCCTGAGTGTCTTTGATACAGTTCTGGTGGTCATATTGGTCTTTTGTTGCATCCAGGCAGTCTGGTGTAGCATAATGTTCCAGACTTTTCTACATATAATTCTGTCCGGACCTGCAACTGCACCTTGCAAATAATTCCCCAGTTCCAATGTCACCGAGCAGGTCAAATGGTAAATTTAGAACTGAGAAGCAATAAATAACTGACACACAGCATATTTTACTACATTTCAGGATCATCTCCTTTGTCTCTTAATTAGTCTTAGTTTAGTGTGTAGTTGGTCTCTCCAGTGTTTGTTTTGTGTGCTTGTGTTTTATGAAGCTTGTTTTTCCCCCAGATTCCTAAGGAAGAAATAATGGCAATAATATTCTTTGAGTTTTTTGAATATTGAAGAGTTACTTTGTGGCCATCACTTGGCTACATACAAAATGCTTGGTTCACATTTTCTTTCCTTAAGTATCTTAAGTTACTCCAGTTTCTTCTCACATAAAGTATTGCCCTTCAGGTTTGATCACAAGCTGGTTTTCATCTTCTTATAAGATCTTTTTTCATTTTGATGTTGCTTCTGGGTCAGTTTTCCAGTTGTGGCATCTTTCATTTCAGTATGCACTTTAAAGTCTTTCGTTTAGGACAGTTTTTTTGAATTATAGTTTTTCAAATTTGTAATTTACTTTTGTTATATTTTACCTGATATTTCTATGTCATTGGGGAATTTATTCCACCAGTTTTCAAAATACACTTAACAGCTTATTCCAGCAGTTTCCAGGACTTGAACTTGAAGCATATGGTGATCCCTCCTTTGGAAAAACTGCTGCTGGAAACTGTTGTTTGCAATTCTCTGCTAATTTTAGGTAGTCCCTTGCTCTGTAAGTCAACTTTGTTATTTTTAGACAGTCTCTTATTCTGTAAAATAAAACTTTGTTTTTTAGTTTTAACAATAGAAAAGATAAAACTTTAGGGGCTGATATGCTGATACTAATGCCAGGTGTCTGTATAGATATGATATGTACTCAAGGTTACAAGTTGTCTGTATAGATATGACAGGTGTTTGTTAGATATGATATATACTCAAGGTTACAAATTGTCTGTAAAAATGACTTACTCAAGGACCTGAAAAGATACAAAAAGAGAATGCTTCCTCCTTTGGGTGTTCAGAATTTGACAGAGGTAATCTGCTCTGAACCTGCTTGCAATAAAGATGACTTTTAACTAATTGGCTCATTAAAGTGTCTTGTCCAGCTTGCTGATTTTCAATACAACAAAATCTGATGTTATATTGGAACATAGATGAAGAGCATGACTTATATTAGACCTGTATTAAAGTTCTCCGGATGTTCATATGGCAGTTATAAATGTTTGTATTCCCGATGCTGAAGTGGAAGTGATTATGGTGCTCAATGAACATTGATTCAGGATCAACAGGATGCAAATTTGAAATTTTTTTTACATTTGATTCATTCTTTTAAACTAGGTCAGGAGATAAGATTTTGAAAAAATAATGTGAATTGTCAAAAAGTATAGATAAAGTAAAGCCTGTTTTGTGTGTGCGAGAGATTTATTGATCAGTGCTCCATAATGGCTGAAGAGAATGTTCCTCAGGCCCCTTGTAATGCGTCCCTTCATTTACTCTTTACTATTTTAGGTTGACGTGGTTCATTGTCTTTAACACATACTTGGGATATTTTTCAGAGTTTAGAATTGCTATAAAATTGGACCAGAGAAATTTTCCAGACTTTGAGAACTTCGTTTTATGTGTCAGCTTTTTATAATCACCCTCAGATGATCATTCTGTCATTTATTGCTTATACTCTGTTCAGAGAATATTAACAAAAGGCATGTTTTCCTTTTTTTTTGTTTTTATTTGTTTGTTTGTTTGTTAATCCTCACCTGAGGATATTTTTTCCATTGATTTGTTAGAAAGGGAGGAAGGGCCGAAATCGGTTTGGCTCAGTGGTAGAGCCGTCGGTCTGTGAACTGAAAGGTCCCAGGTTCGATTCTGGTCAAGGGCCTGTACCTTGGTTGCAGGCACATCCCCAGTAGGGGTGTGCAAGAGGCAGCTGGTTGATGTTTCTCTCTCATCGACGTTTCTGGCTCTCTGTCCCTCTCCCTTCTTCTCTGTAAGAAATCAATAAATATATTTAATAAAAAAAAAAAAAAGGGAGGAAGGGAGAGGAGAAACATTTATCTGAGAAATATCTATCAGTTGCCTCCCACACATACCTGACGGGGAATTGAACCTGCAACACACCACCTTATCGTGTATGGGATGGTGCTCTAACCACTGAGAATACCAGCCAGGGTGGGAATATTTACTTTTTTGTTTCTTTCTACAAAACTCCTTTTGATACTATCGAAAATATTAACTGTTAGGCTTTGCTGGTTGACTCACTGTTTTTAAAATAGATTATTTAGAAAAGGAAGTGATGATAGTTTCAGGTTTTCATGGCAAACTAATTTTTGTAAATACACTGTTATGTTTTGGTTTCCCTAAGCTCTCCATCTTCCCCATCTTTTCTAGTTTGACCGAGAGAACCTACGGATTCCAGGAATGCTGATAATTGATACCCCTGGGCATGAGTCCTTCAGGTAAGAGCACATTGAGTCTTTTGTCATCAAGCAAACTGCTGGAAACTTTGAGTCTGAAAGTTCAGTCAGTGAAATCTCACTCATCCCGAATCCTTGAGTAGTATTTTGAGATTTGTGGTTTCTACTACAGATCTCTAGCTACTTATCTGATAACTACCAGTCCTCTGTGCCGCATTGATTTTTTTTAAATATTTTTTTTTATTTTTTACAGAGAGAAAAGGAGAGGGACAGAGAGCTAGAAACATCAATGAGAGAGAAATATCAATCAGCTGCCTCCTGCACACCCCCCACTGGGGATGTGCCCGAAACCAAGGTACATGCCCCTGACCAGAATCGAACCTGGGATCTTTCAGTCTGCAGGCCGACGCTCTATCTACTGAGCCAAACCGGTTTCGGCCTGCACTGATTTGGATACTTGTTTTTTTTTAATCTTCATGCAAGGACAATTTTTCCATTGATTTCTAGAAACAGTAAAAGGGAGGAAGGTAAAGTGGGTAGGGGGGTTGCTAAGAGATACCCATCAGTTGGTTGCCTCCCACATTCACCCCTATGGGGCTGGGGAACCTGCAACTGAGGTACATGCCCTTGGCCTAGAATTGAAACGGAGAACCTTTGGTCAAAGGGCTGATACTGTAACCATGGAGCAAACTGGCCAGAGTATTTTTCTCTCTAAAAATACTCGTTATTTTTAGAGAGAAACCTTTTCTACTCGGAAGAACAAGTCCTAATACATTCCTGGTCTACCTCCTGTGAGACTCGTTGCAGATGGAATTTTATCTTGTAGCCTCTTGGCCATATTCCTTAGTGCAAACCCCCCCAAAAAAACCATCAGTAAAATTGGCAGAAATATTGGAGTTATAATACTTTGGGAACTAACTCATTCCAGCTGGTGTCAAATATGTGTTTGGAAAGAGAATGGCTAATGAATGGCACTTGAATTTAATGCATGTACTTCATTTTGTTCTTTTGTTTCGGTTTTACAAAGAAATTAAAATTTTAAGTTTCTTTAAGTAAAATTTTATTTTAAGATTTCTATCTACACATCTTTTTCCTTCTTTTCAACAGTAATCTGAGAAACAGAGGCAGCTCTCTTTGTGATATTGCCATTTTAGTTGTTGATATCATGCATGGTTTGGAGCCCCAGACAATTGAATCTATTAACCTTCTGAAATCTAAAAAATGTCCCTTCATTGTCGCACTCAATAAGGTAAGCTCTGCTTTTGAAAAATTAAATTGTAAAAATATGCTTCTGCCCTAGCTGATTTTGCTCAGTGGATAGAGCATGAGCCTGTGGACTGAAATGTCCTGGGATCGAATTCGGTCAAGGGCACATGCCCGGGTTGCAGGCTCGATTCTCAGTGGGGGGCGTGCAGGAGGCAGCCAATCAATGATTCCCTCTCATCATTGATGTTTCTATCTCTCTCTCTTCTCCCATCCTTTCTGAAATCATATTTTAAAAATGCTTCTTTTATTTTAATATAACTTTCATGTAATAATCTCCTCATGGTAAGTTCAAAATGAATGACAAATTTACACACACACACACACACACACACACACACCATTTCCATATTCCCAGAACGTTCCCTCATGTTCTTATAGTCAGTCTGCCCCTTCTTCAACCCCTAGCAGAGATTGATCTGCCACTATAGACTCGTCTACCTGTTCTAGAAATTCATGTTAAAGGAATTTTGTGTAATCTCTTCAGTCTGGCATTTTTCATTATTTATGTTATTAGAGAATTGTCCATATTGTTGCATATCTCATAGGTTGTTCCTTTTTATTTCTGAGTAACATTTTATTATCTGAAAATACCACACTTTATTTTCCCATTGAAGGTCATTTGGATTAGTTCTATTTTAGGTTATTTATTAATGAAGCAGCTGTGAACATTTGTACACAAGAATTGCCGGGTCATATGGTATATGTATGTTCAGCTTTGTGAGAGAAGGACACATTTTCCCCAAAGGGATGTACCAGTTGTTTACATTTTAAGCTACAGTGGGGTGTCTGTTAAGCTAGTGGGCTCATTTTTAAATTGGATTCCTTGCTTTCTATATTGTTGAGTTTTAAGCGCTCTTTGTATTTTGGATGCTAGGTCTCTATCAGAGATGTTTTTCAGACATTTTATCCCAGATTGGCTTGTCCTCTCTCTGGCTGGCTCACTCTCACAAGCAGAAGGGAGCTGGAGCTTGTCCTCTCTGTCCTGGCCTCTGCTTTGGTGCCGAATCTGAGCAGTTATTAGCATAGTCAAGGGCATCAAGGCTTTTCCCTGTGCTGTAGGAGTTTCTGTATTTTACATTTAGGTCTGTGATCCATTCTGAGGTGATTTTTTGTGAAGGCGGTAAGGTCTGTATGATGCATGTGGGTGGTTTTCCAGCACTGTTAAAATGTCAGACTAATAAGCCTGAGCAAGGTTATTACTGAAATTACCCTGGCTTAGGATCAGTCAGTGGGCTTGGTCATGGTATATTGTTTCTAAATTGCTAGATTTGATTTGCTCTTTAAAAAAAAAAAACATTTCTATTGATTTCAGAGAGGGAGACAGAGATAGAAACAACCATGATGAGAGAGAATCATGGATTGGCTGCCTCCTGCCCATCCCCCTCTGGGGATCGAGCCCTCCACTTGGGCACGTGCCCTTGACCGGAATTGAACCTGGGACCTTTCAGTTCGCAGGCACCAAGTCAAACCGGCCGGGGCTGATTTGCTCATTGTTGTTGCAGAGTTTTGTGTTCATGAGGGCATTGATATGTAACTTTTTTGTTCTGCTTCTGACTGGTTTTAATATCTAGGTAATGATGGCCTCCTCATACAGTTAAGTATTTCCTCCTTGGCCTGGACAGTTTGGCTCAGTGGATAGAGCATCGGCTGGGCTCCTTGTTTACACTTTTCTTTTAGTGAAGACAATGGGTAGCTTCCAACAGACCTTGTATGCTAATTTTACTACCTTTTTGTCATTTCTGGGCTATTTCCACTTGCTGGTTTTTCTCTTAGTGGCATTCCAGTTGGCCTACTTTTTTATATTATCTCCCTAGACTCAACTACTTTAAAAAACTATTAAGTCAGTTTTGCCTCTGTACCCATTTATCACTTTTTTAAAAAATGAGGGAAAATAGGTTTTATTAAACATATTAAATCCCAGTTTGAGCAATAGAATAATTAAACTGGGCTATTCTCTGAGAATGGGAATGATTACTAGTATTTTTTATTTTATTTATTTTTTTTTGGTATATAATTTTCCTGGTGATGCTGTTTGCTGATCCTTGTTCCTGTCTGCTATTGATACAAAACCATTTTGGAATTCCAGCATGTGGGGGGGGCTGGGTCATTCTGGGGTCTCATCTCAGCAAACAGATGGTCACCTCTCAGGTCTCAGTGGTTTCTAGTTTAGGAGGGATGCAGTTCAGCAGGTTGTCAGGGGCTTTTGGTGAAATAAAATATGAGTAATTCACTCTCTGGATAAATATAATTTACATGAGGAATTTTCTGGAGCATTTATTAACCTTTTTAAATGTTTTCTATGAAAAACTCTTACAGATTGATAGGCTGTATGATTGGAAAAAAAGCCCTGAGTCCGATGTGGCGGCCACTTTAAAGAAGCAGAAAAAGAACACAAAAGATGAATTTGAGGAGCGAGCAAAGGCTATTATAGTGGAATTTGCACAGCAGGTAAGAAAGCTATCCATTTCAGTGTGAAGAGGCTGCATGTGGAGCAGTGTTTTCTTTCATTGCCTTGTCAGTCACTGACACTGGTTCTGTTCCCCCATTCATGGAACTAAGTGACTTACTCTTCCCCTTGCTCCTTTTCCTTTGTAAATCAGAAAGTGCGTATTTCAAAGATCTGTGGGTAGTTTTAATGTTTAAATTTTAAAACTGAGTTAACTTGGGAACTTTTTCTAAAACAATGAATGCCTCAGGATATGCATGACCTTTTCTTGAGTGTTCCTGACGGGTTTCAGGATTAGCCATTTGCTCAGTCGGGTTCTAGTTGGGGTAAAGCGTTCCTCCTCTGGAGAAGGCCCCACAGTTTGGCCTGTGGGTGATTTTGCGCTTCATGTCTTTAGGGTTTGAATGCGGCTTTGTTTTATGAGAATAAAGATCCCCGCACTTTTGTGTCCTTGGTACCTACCTCTGCTCATACTGGTGATGGAATGGGAAGTCTCATCTGCCTTCTCGTCGAGTTGACGCAGACCATGCTGAGCAAGAGGCTAGCCCACTGCGAGGAGCTGCGGGCACAGGTGATGGAGGTAAGGTCAGCCGTCAGGCGATTGTCTTTCTTTAATAGTACGTTCCTGGGTGGGGATGTTTACTGCTGTTAGATTTAACCAGCATGGCGCCTTGTAGCATATACCTCTTTGCAACTGTGTCTCTTAGGTGAAGGCTCTCCCGGGAATGGGCACCACCATAGACGTGATATTGATCAATGGCCGTTTGAAGGAAGGAGATACAATTATTGTTCCCGGAGTGGAAGGGCCCATCGTAACTCAGATCCGAGGCCTCCTGTTGCCTCCACCTATGAAGGAGTTACGGGTGAAGGTAAGCCTCAGAGGCCAGCAGTGACCTGTGGGGGCTTGTCGAGTTGGGAAACTGCTGAGATCTCGTCCTCATTTTGGGGTGCTGCTTGGCTCACTACTTTTTAAGCAAGCGCGCGCGCGCACACACACACACACACACACACACACACCCCCCGCTTTATGTCAGAGGTCTTCATGTAGAAGGGACCAGTCATGTTGGCAAATAAGAATTTTATTGATAAAAATGGTAATGCACACCGCTAAGTAATTTTTCATCACCACTTTTATTGTTAAATAAGACATTCATACAGAAGAGAACACACGGGACATCGAAAAGCTTAATACATTTTAGGAAGCAGACAACCAGATCAAGGAGAAGAGCGCTGCTGACCCCAGGAGCCTGTGTCCCCTCCCGGGCTCAGCATCCTCGCCCCAGAAGGACCCGTGTGCTTCATTGTCACCATAGTGACGCGTACGCGTGTCCTTGCTCCGACTGCCAGCTCCATACCTGAGAACATGCCCTAAAAAGGACAGACTTTCTCTGCATCATGTCCTTCTCCTTTTTCCTTTGCATCCTGCTGCTTTCAGTCAAGAAACACAGATTTATGGGTGTTGCTGTACTTGTGACTCATTGCCGTGTGTGGCCATTGCACAAGGACCTCATGGTCAGTTAGATCTCCTGGTGATAACAGCACAGGCTGGCTCCAGTTCTCCAGTTCATCGCCACACTCGTGAACATGGTGTATTGTCTCCTGGGGCGGCTGCCAGGTTTCTCCTGGGTGTGCACAGGCGGGAACTGCAGGCTCATTGCTTAGGCTCAGCGCCGCCTTCAGCAGGGAAGGCCGCAGTGTCCAGTGAGTGTGCTGTTGCACTCCCAGCTGTGCCCATTGTTCACGCTTTCAGCTCTCGATGCAGATTCTTCTGCCTTTCCCATTCCAGTGGCTGGGTAGCTCTTGCTGTTCAGGTGGCACTTGTCTGCTTGAAACATGGTGGCCACTATTTTGTTTATAGCCATTTGGATTTCTTTGTGAAATGCCTACTGTGCCCTGGCATTCTCTCTCCTTAGCAGATTTCTTAATTGTTTAGTAGTCAGCTGATTGGTGGGTAGGTAGTGCTTCATCTTGCCCTATTCTCTAACTTTTTTTTCTCTTTCTCTGGCACCTTGAGAAACAGAGCTACTTAATTTTACTATCTATTTTATCAAGCTTTTATTTTGTGTATTGCTTTTTGTGTCTAGTTTAATAAATCTTTACCCCCAAATCATGAAAATACTATCTCTTACATCATCTCCTGGTGCTGAGCACTCTCCCGATGACAGTGGTAACGGCTTTGGTCTCTGCAGAACCAGTATGAGAAGCACAAAGAGGTGGAGGCAGCTCAGGGCGTGAAGATTCTCGGCAAAGACCTGGAGAAGACGCTGGCCGGCTTACCCCTGCTGGTGGCGCACAAGGAGGATGAGATTCCGGTCCTTAAAGTAAGTGGGTTTTTCCTCCAGAGCCACCCAACCCGGCGTGCAGAGAGGGATTCGCACCAGGAGTGGCGACTGAAGCCTTAGTCATGGCCGCTTTGCACACAGCTGACACTTGTTAAACACTCCAGTTGAAAAAAACTTTCCCCCAATTACTTCAGTTTGTATAATCTTATGAATTGGCATAACTAATATTTAAATGCCCTACAATTCTAAAGCACACATTTACTTAAGTAAAAAATAAGCCCAGAAGTTGTTTGATTTTAGATGCCCGAGTATATGAACAGACTAGGTCCTGGGAATCTTTCAAAGCCTGTGTACCTGTGTAGGAGCAGATGGCACATGAGCCCAGCAGTTTTCACAAAAGCGAATTGTGACCACAGCTCATGCACTATCCTGAGCACAGCTGGTCTGGTGAGCCGGGCCCAGCACTCGCTCCTCAGGCTGCACCAGCCCCCGGGCAGAGAGCGGCCCCTCAGGGCAGGGAGAAGAGGGCGGGTTGGCATGGACACCTGCTTCTTATTGGCATCAGCATGATTTTCCTTAGAATCTTATCTTCAGCTAAAACCGGTTTGGCTCAGTGGATAGAGCGTCGGCCTGCGGACTGAAAGGTCCCAGGTTCGATTCCAGTCAAGAGCATGTACCTTGGTTGTGGGCACATCCCCGGTGGGGGGTGTGCAAGAGGCAGCTGATCGATGATTCTTTCTCATCGATGTTTCTCTCTATCCCTCTCTGTTCCTCTCTGTAAAAAATCAAAATATATTTAAAAAGAAAAAATCTCCAGAGGAGCAGTGACGGAGCACAGGGCTGTGAAATTAGGTAACTTCAAAACTGAGACAGTTGAGCCGAGCCGCTGGGCCACCGAAAACACATTCCTGTGTGTTGTACTTTCAGCTTTTAAGATTGTTATCCGCATTCCTCTCACTGTCTGCCATATTTGCCAAGTTGAGCAGAGGTTAAACACATTTAAGGCGAGGGGAGGCGAAGTGGGACAGCTTGAGTGTGGTTCAGAGCCTCCACTCCTGCTCTGGTTCTGCAGTGCCAGCTCCTGATGGTTTTGTTTTCAGAGAATACTTAATGAGAAAGAGAGACACAGTAGAACTCTAGGCTGCTGCTGCTGGAGTTGTATGTACAGCCATGTAAATTCCAATTTCTTCAGGATGAATTGATCCATGAGTTAAAGCAGACACTAAATGCTATCAAATTAGAAGAAAAAGGAGTGTACGTGCAGGCGTCGACCCTGGGCTCTTTGGAAGCTCTGCTGGAATTCCTGAGGACTTCAGAAGTGCCGGTAAGTAACCAGTCCCGACCGCATCCGGGGCTCGGGTGGTGGGCTGCCTTTGCCGCCTGGCCCAGTAACGTGCGGACACCTGTCTCCAGTACGCAGGCATCAACATCGGCCCCGTCCATAAAAAAGACGTGATGAAGGCCTCGGTGATGTTGGAGCATGACCCCCAGTGAGTACCTGCCCTCCCGGGGGAGCTGCGCCCCCATATCTGTGCCTGCCCCTTGGGGTGCGCTCCTCCTTCTCACTGTCTCTCCTCTGACTTCCAGGTATGCAGTCATTTTGGCCTTTGATGTGAGAATCGAACGGGATGCACAAGAAATGGCTGATAGTTTAGGAGTTAGAATTTTTAGTGCAGAAATTATTTATCATTTATTTGATGCCTTTACAAAATATAGACAAGACTACAAGAAGCAGAAACAAGAGGAATTTAAGTAAGTTGGTGATTTTCCCTACTTTGGTCTTTGATGAAGTTGACTATTGGAAAATTGCTCAACAGCAGCAAGGGGTGTGGACAGCAGAAGCATGGCGTTCGCTGGAGGCTGTACCTGCAGTGCTGGCGCACGTGGCCCCGCCAGCCGTGTGGGGGACAAATCCTCGGGAGCCTTCCTGGGTTTGGTTTTCTATTTTCAGTTTGACAGACCGAAGTCTCCTTCAGGGGGCCTGTCTTCCTTCTCTGGGTTGCAGGGAATGGGGAACTAGGAGCTGAAACAAGGGAGGCATTCCAGGGAGCAAAGCCTGGGCTGCAGCACCTGTAGAGAGGTACTCCCTTCCTCTGGGAGCTCAGGAGACAAGCAATGAGCACAAGAAAAGCGGGGATAAGTGCTAAAAAGCAAAACAGAGCAGGATGAGGAGAGCTGCAGGCAGCTTATCTCTGAGACCTAGGCTGTGATCCAGCCACCCAGACACGAGTGCGGACAGCGCTGGGAGGAGGCCACACAAAACCCTTGGAGAGGTCAGAGGAGCTGGCAGGACCCAGAGCACGGGGTGGATTTTGGAGTCAGTGATGAGGGCCCATCGGGAGTCTCCCACAGTCCAAGCCAGACACCAGAGGCTCAGAGCAGTCACCCTCAGAGTGATGGCTCAATCGCGCATATTCTCAGTTCAGACTGTGAGGAGGATTTAGACGGTGAAACCTAACGGGACAAGGCTTAAGACTTAAGTTGTGAAAGCACTTGAAGCATTTGCTTCATGAGCAGGGAAACTGCTTTTGGATCGTTTGGTTTGGGAGCCTCATGTTCACCTGAACTTGCTTTTTAGTTTAAATGACTTTCTACTTAAGATCCTTTTTTCTTTCCTTTTAGGCACATAGCAGTATTTCCTTGTAAGATGAAAATCCTCCCCCAGTATATTTTCAATTCCCGAGACCCAATCGTGATGGGCGTGACTGTGGAAGCAGGTCAGGTGAAACAAGGGACCCCCATGTGTGTCCCTAGCAAAAACGTAAGTGCCAGCTGTGCTCTCACGGTAAATGCGAGTCCAGAAATGGTGACAAAACTCATACCAAGCCGACTGTGTCACTTTCTGTACTTTAGACTGCATTCCTTAGTCAGACTTGGTTTTAGCACCCGATACCAGTGCATCAGCTATGAAGACTGCAATTTTCAGTCCTCATTCGCTTCACCAACTGCCTAAGATCCCTTCGTGTGGCACTGCTTTTAGCCGTCAGTGTTGGTCTGCGTTAGGAGCAGCCTGAAAGTCCAGACAGACCATGCTTCCTAGGGCCTTTCTCCCTGGATTTGTCTGCCTTTGGGACTAAGGAGAGGATCCTGCGTGTACAGGTGCCCATGGGCCTCGTGCATCTCACACAGGCTGTCTCACTGTCGATGACTGACTGCTGGGGAGGTGTGCTGCCAGCTCAGCCACTGCATGAGAGACACTTTCCTGTTTGTAATGAACTACTAGGTGGTCTGTGGGTACTTTGAGTCCCTATGATCTCCTGTTCCTCAGCCTTTATCCCAGAAGCTTTCACCATTGGCATAAGTCTGTTATTACATCAATTGTTGCAAAATTGTGATTCTTTCACTCGCCCCGCTCTGTAAAGAACCCTCACCCCCCTGACCTTTTCATTGAGGATCCATACACCGCCTTCTGTAATCCATGACCAATACTTTGATCACCAAGCTACCCAGTTTGGTCTGTGGCAGCCACTTGCCCTGGAGCATCCTTCTCCCAAGTGCAGGCCGCCGCTCCAGGCATCCTTCCCTGCCCGGACCGTGCCTGTAGTTTCATGCCACTTCAGTGGCTGACCTAGGATGTTTATTTGCAGTTATTGTCTCCTGTATGACTGGCCAACCTCTATTTTCTCTCTTAATCTCCTGCATCTTCCCAAGCAGAGGATTCCCCCACCCCGTAAAGAGACCAGGTTGCTCATAAATCATCCTCAGAATGAAATGGGCCTGCAAGGCCGCCCTGACTCGGTCCGCTGCTCCTCACCCCTCGCTCACAGCAGCCTCTCGACGCTCATTCTTGATTCTGAGCTTTGGGCACCTATCCTGTGCAGGGTGGGACAGAATTAGAAAATAGCATACAGCACTTTCCAAGTTGTGGCCATCTCGGGAAGGGCAGAGAGGGCTGTGCTGTGTCACCCCCTATTTATCAAGAGAAAACTCCGCTGTGGAGATGGTGCCCATGGAGGGTCAACAGCCGAGGCTTTGGCGCTGGCCCAATGCTCAGACACTGGTTTTCCTCAGTGCTCATCTCTCGGTGCTGCAACAGGTAGGTTCCTGTGTTTACATTGTCCTTTGTTCTTATTATACAGTTTGTGGACATTGGAATAGTAACAAGTATTGAAATAAACCACAAGCAAGTGGATGTTGCAAAAAAAGGACAAGAAGTCTGTGTGAAAATAGAACCTATCCCTGGTGAATCCCCCAAAATGTACGGGAGACATTTTGAAGCCACAGACATTCTCGTCAGTAAGGTAAGTCCTTCCGCAGAGGGGACTCTGCAGAGGCGACTCTGCAGAGGCGGCGGCCCTGCTGGCTCCCTCCCTTGGCAGCCGGAGGGACTGGTGTGGGCAGGCTGACAGGGAGAGCGGCCCCTCGGGAAAGCTGCTCACAGCGAGGGCGCCGGTCTCCCGGGCCCCAGCAGCGCTGCCGTCGTGTCTGTCAGAGCGGCCGACGTCCGGGGGTTGCCTGCTTCTCTGGGCACTTGCTGGTTCCATTCTGTTCTGATGCCTCCTGTGCCTCGTCCTTTGCAGATCAGCCGGCAGTCCATCGATGCTCTGAAAGACTGGTTCAGAGATGAGATGCAGAAGAGTGACTGGCAGCTTATTGTGGAGCTGAAGAAAGTATTTGAAATCATCTAATTTTTCCACATGGGGCAAGAATTAGAGTAAATGCAAGAAAAACAAGATAAAAAGTGGAATGGACGTATCTGGACACTGATGCACTTAAGTATGGAAGGAAAAAAATAGATGTATAAAATGTTTTCCATGAGAAACCAAGAAACTTACACTGGTTTGACAGTGGTCAAATACATGTCCCACAGTTCCAAGGTGCCTGTCCACATGCCCGCTCCTTCCCCACCCTTCCTGCTGCTGTTTTAAAGTTTGCCCTTCCCCAAATTTGGATTTTTATTACAGATCTAAAGCTCTCTCGATTTTATACTGATTAAATCAGTACTGCGGTGTTTGATTAACCAAGCTTCTGCAGATTTTGTGATTCTTGGGACTTTTGATGTAAGAAATACTATTTTATTTATGCATCTTCTTCCCACAGTCATTTTTTCCAGCATTCTTCTGCCATATGCTCTGGATTTTTTAAAATAGGAAATTAGGTATTCTGGTATTTCTCTTATCTGCTTTGTGTGAAACCATGGTGTAGAGTGTAGCTGGCTGCTATTGACTGCTTGTCTAGTCTGAGTCCCCTGTAATCAGCACAATTCTGACTCCAGCAATGAGAGCATTCACTAGAAAGCTCTGCTAGGCCTTCATGGTAGCGTAGCTTCTCCCCCAGGAGCCTTCAGCTCTTGTGTACCAGTACGTGTTAACACTGAGATTTTTTATATAATAATCTTGGTCTATTTACTATTTGGGGCTTAGTGCTTCTAAATTGTCATGGAGACATCATATGATTCATGCATATTAGTAACTCTGATAGTAGCTACTTTTATGGTTTTCCTGGAAAGTGTGGGTGATAGGTCCACATGAGGATATACTCCTTTCCACAATATAAGGGTAATTCCTGTAACAGATCTCAAGGGTCTGTCTACCTATTTATAGCAGTGTCGAATGAAGTTAGTGTAGGTGTTTGAAGAAAATGTTCCCAAGTAAACTATATTTTTAAAGTGTTATGGCATAACATAGCATAAAAATACGTACATTTGAAAATCTGTACCACTCGTCATTATTGAAGTTTCTCTAAGGGCCAATAGAGGTAAGAAAAACACCTCCAAACACCTGTGGGGCATAATTTTCCCAGGAGAAACTTAATTGTGTGTGTGTTCTGATTCACCACATGTAAACTCCTCCACTTGGAAGAAGTGAAGATGTCCTTAACAGGCCCTTAACTTCCTTCCTGTGTGGGGGTGACTGTCCGGAAGCAGCAGACCCCCGCCTGGCCCTCTGGACTGCAGGTGGTTCCCGTGGTATGGACCTGGTCCCTAAAGGATTCACAAAAAGGAACCTGTACAAAATATACATCCAGTTCTTTATTAAACAACTGTAAACACCTCACTGTAAAAATCCATAAAACTTTATAAACAAACATTTTGTAAATAGAATCTATACTACAGTAAAAGAATTAACACATTTATTTACATGCAATACTGACAAATTTGGCACTTTTTGAAAAGAAATGTACAAAACACTTGCTCCAAAAGAAATTTGAAATTATGAAAACTCAGAGCATCACTACCATGCACTTTGTAGATACCTCACAAGCACTTATGGTGCAGCAGCGAGAGCTCCACGCTCCCTGCTCACACTATGTAACCTTCAGTGTGCTCCCATAAGTCTGTTGTAAAACCACCTGAACATTGTCAAGAATAAAGTCAAATGCCATATTCCAAACTGATTCCACCGACTGCTGCGTCAACCTACAGATGGGGAAAGAGGAATATCAGGAAAGATTCATGATTCCTTCAAGAATCAGTTTAACATTTTAATGTAAGTATCAAGAATTGATTTTGGCAAACTGGAGAACATTCCAAAGGACTTCCCTTGGTTTTAAACTATATGAAACGCCAAGGGGAACAATCTCATTCTGACTTTATTACCCAGCCAGTATTGCGGCATTCCTTCCTTTGCACTTTGCATTCTCACTGCCAGAAACGACACAACTTAGAGCCTTGCCTTCCTCCACTAGCCCCTGTGACATGCCATTTCCCCTGTGATGGCAGTACTAGTTACCTTTTCATGTATTTTATAACGAGGTCCAGTTTCTCCAAGTCCTTCTCCTCTATCAGGTCAGTGCAGTATTTCACAACTTGCAGAATGTCTTCTTCCATTGGATCTGGAGGGGAAAAACCTCAAATGAGGACCAGCCCACCTGTTTATAGGACAGGAAACTGCATTTTTACAACAGCACAGTCAAATGGGCTCCGAGAGAACCTTCCCAACCAGTGTAAGTGCTTTGGCTGACTGAAGCTTATTGGATTTAGAAAAGGAGCGCTATCGGCATAGTTGAAACCACAGGACCATTCGTTACACATCGTGTTCGGCGCTCTGCCCGGCCAGGCTGACCTGAGATGGTGGTGATCCACTCCTTGAGCAGTGTCTTCACGTCACTGAACTCCACGGCGCCGGCGAGGTTGGGTGCCGGGGGCCTGCCACAGCCCGGGGAGGCAGGCTGCACACCTGAAGCAGAAGCAGAGAGTTCTCCCTGTTAAGAAAACAAATGATAAAAGTGCTGTATTTACGTGACATCGAGTGCGTTAAGATTCGGTTTCAAAAGCATAAAGCTTACTAGTGGTTTCCCGGGAGCAGGATCTTCGTGTTTCAGAAACCCTTCAATTAGCTTCTGGGGACTCCCGCCGGCCCCTGGCGTGGCTTTGACGGGGCTGTTAAGCAGCTTGTTTTTCAAAGGGCTCTGAGCCTTTTTGGGGGAGCTGATGGGGTTTTTCTTGTTCCGTTTCTTTTCTTTCACTGAGGCTGGTTTCAGCTGAAGTAACTGATTCCTTGGCACTAAAAGATGAAAGTAAGATCCTCAACCAAGGTATCTGGATAGTAATATGGACACCCCCCCCCAATCCAACCCCTGTGCACACGCACCCCAACAAGCCTCTAGCTGAGCCTGGGAGGCAGTTAATGACACGGGCTGAGAGGTCAGGCTCGGCTGGCCCCCGCTTGTCTGTCTGTTGCACCACTGCTGACTGCTAACAGCTCACAGGAAGTGATGAAAACTCGGCAGGTGAAATATAAACGGCTCCTCAGCACTAGTCCGTTTTTAGCCTGCATCCTTTTATGTATCTGTTTCAAAGGACAATGGCCTTGGCAATTATGCGAAAAGATTTCTATCAATAGAAATACTTATGTAGGCCTCTTTGTTTTTTTAAAGGGCTTTATAAAAAAGTCAAGAATGGTGTTTGTAAGTCAAGAAGTTACAGACACAAATCTATTGTCTACTTGTTCTGCTCCCCCAATTTAAAGACTTCAACACGACTAAGAGCCGACACTGGCCATTATACCCCACGCTCCGCTTCCTTCCCGCGTGCTCACCGGCCGCGCTGGCTGGCTGCTGGTGCGCACTCTCGCCCTGCCGCTGCCTCTGCTCATAAGCTGCTTTCAGCTCCTTCTGAAGCTCAGCAGGAAGGGCAGCAAACACCTCTGGGTCCACCTAGTGGGAAAGAGGTTCAAAGTCAAAGGAGTTGATTATATATGGCAGCTGGCTTATACTTTTTTCACACAAGAGATTTTCAAATAATACTTTTGGATCTGTATGAATTCTTAACAGGTCCTCAATATTAAGGTTCATTAAATCCTCACGAGGTTTTAGGATGAGAATAAGGAATACAATTCTGAGCATGAACTGGACTTTTTTTTTTTTTTTTTTTTTTTAACAAACACTGAGCCCCCAGGGCCAGCAGCACAGGCTCGGCTGGTATGTCATGTTTTCTGAAACATGAGACTGGACTGTGTGACTGTGTTACTGTCCCAAGCTGCGCTTCTCCTGTTTCTCAAGCACAGCCCTGTCAGAGGTCTAAATGGGAACAGGATGTTCTGGGTTATGTGCCATAGTCTCCCTCTTCTCAGACCTCCGTTGTTTCTGAGTGGCTGCTGTTAGTCTGTCCTGCAGATGATGAGACAAACCAATCCCACCCTCCGCGCCCCCCCCCCCCCCATACGGACGTGGTGTAGACTAATGCGAGTTTCAGGTGCGAAGGGAAAGGAAAGACATGCCCTGAACTGGAGCAGGAGGTTGGGGCCATTTACACTGGCAGAAGGCCCCTCCATTTCACTCACCTGTGAGAATGCTGGGAGGGCTATTACATTAATTCCCATGTCGCTGCTAGATGCTTGAGGTTCTGGTATTTGTAACAAAACCGTCCCCACTGGCTGGGGCACAATCCCTGTATTACAGCCATTTACTGGCTCCTTCTTTTTGTCCCCGTGCTGCTCCCCTTGCTGGACAACTTGCTCTACTTGTTCCCGGAGATCGGGCGGGAGTGCTTCCAGAACAGACTGATCGAGCTGTAAGACAGGGTGCGAGGGTCCGATGCGTTTGGAGAGCTCATACTTCACTTGCACCTCAACGTTAACATCTCGGATAACGAAGAGAAGGTGACACAGATAACCAGGCCAGGAAAGCCGCCCCTGCCTCTGAAGGCTGAGCAGAAATGTGTGGTTCTGAAGGTGACACTCCACAACTGGCCGGTCCCACAGGAACAGGCCAGTACACACACAAGGAGCCTCCATTAAACTCAAATCTCCAATTTCTAAAGCCAGATGCTAGCCTTTCAGGCAGGAAACTATATGCCCCCGAGCACAATGCTAGGCTGAGAGCAGACAGACTGGCATCCCTGTTCCCAGGCCCGCTCCTTCCTCCGCCCCCGCACACGTCCTTGGGAAGCATGGCGCTCAGGAGCAGGGCAGGCCAATCTGACTTCGCTGGGAGCAGCTTTCTGGGTAACTCAGGCCACAAAGACCCCTTGCCCTAGCCTGCAGCCAGCGGCCACTGTTCTCAGCCTCTGCCGCCGAGTGCTACAGAGAAATCAACTTTCCACACCATCAGCGCGCACCAGCTCAGCGAGCAGCTGGGTCGGGGTTAGCCCTCCCAGGGAACGGCGCCGGCTGCAAGGAAAGCCCGTCACAGGCCTCTGACCGCCAGAGCTGGTGCTCGGCCAGGCAGCGCGCGTGTGACCTGTCACAGGCAGTGAAGGAACTGGCTCTCACCCAACATTTCACAACTTGCAAAGGTTGCAAATCCTTCACTTAACCGGTCATGTGGCATTTGGGATTCAATTCAGGAACAGAGTGGCCTTAAGGAGTCACCCTTTCTCTCGACTATACTGGCAAGGAAACTAAACATGTCATTCCTACTGTAAATCTACTTTTGCATTTTTATCATAATTATAGAAATATACCTGGGAAGGAGATGGGACCTCTATACTCAGGTTTAATTTTGATTTTACGCTGATGGGAGAATGTAGACCATTCCATTTCCCCGAAGGCTCGGCTTTGCTCACAACAGGGCTGACGGCAGATGTCAGATGTGTGGAGAGAGATGGCAGGAATGTGCAAGTTCTAGAGGCAGATGCGATTTCCAGATCCATGGCAGCCAGGAATACTGAAGCACAGAAAACACAAAAACTAGCCCCCAGCTCATTTGGGGACACGGGGGCACTCTGACCCAGCGTGTGCCTGAAGGGGCGCGCACAGCCCTCCCCGCCAGAGCACTCCCAATCAACGCTCTCCTGAGGCAGGACACCCACACCCACCTTCCTGGCACTCCTCCTCTGAGGACGCCTTTGCTCTCTGGGCCTGGAGGAGGTCCAGGACAGAGTGGGAGCCGCCGGGACAGTGGCCTGGCTGAACCGGCACGTGCCTGGGACATGCGGGAGGTCTCGAATGAGCGGGAACCAACTGGTTCACTTGAATCCCAACCTAGAATCAGAAGAAAGTATGTTTTTAGGAAAACTAAAGTGAAACATGAAGTCAACTGAGCAACATTCTCAGCCAGTCCTCTTTTTACATCTATTACTAGAATATGAAGTTTAAGTATTTAATCAGACTTCCACATGATTTTTACAAAAACGGCTTCTGTACTACCTGGTGAGCAGACTGCCCCTCCACTTCTTCTCATTTACAACAACCTTTTCACACAGAACGTCCAAAAAAGGGAGCTGTTGTATCTCGCCAAAGTTTTTGCCAGAAAAGTTTTAAAAATAAGATTCTAAAAATTTTTAAATAAAAAAAAAATCTACCTGCAAACTTCACATAAAATAAAAAAGTATTAAAAATGGGCTTGGGCTGACGCTGGTTTGGCTCAGTGGTAGAGCGTCGGACTGCGGACTGAAGGGTCCCGGGTTCGATTCCGGTCAAGGGCATGTACATTGATTGCGGGAACATCCCTGGTGGGGGGTGTGCATGAGACAGCTGGTCGTCTCTCTCATCGAGGTTTCTAGCTATCTCTCTCCCTTCCTCTCTGTAAAAAATCAATAAAATATATATTTTTAAAAAATGGGCTTGGGAGTGGACAGGCAGTACAGTACCTCTGGCATGTGACGGCCACCCTGGCCAGCAGAGCCAGCGCAGCGGGGAGGGAGAAGCTGAGTCCCAGCCGCTGCGGCTCCCAGGCCTTCCACACCGGCCGCTCCGGCCGGTCACCACGCTCTGCACGCTGAGCGCACAACGGGACCAGCGAGGCTCCCTTGCAGAGAGCTAGGTTTCCACCTTTCCCATGCTCCCATCTCTGCTCCAAAGGCACCTTCATGTGCCTGTGGTAAGTCTCCCTCATCAGACACACGTTTCTGATGAAAAGAACCTGGTAAGTACAAGCCCTGCAGACTCACACTCCTCCCAGTCCCATCTATTTCTCGAGGAACAAGAACAGGAAGCAAGACAATACATGTAAAATAGTCCTTGGTTCGTTAAAGAAAGGCACTGTAAGAACTTAAGGCATCAAATTATTATTCTAGGCAGAAAACAGAGTTCAGAACAAATCTAATTTTCTCTGAAAAAGGAGATCATCAGGTGAGAAAGTCGAGTTTTTCGGTTTTATCACAGGAGCTGAAACCTGCACACAAACCCCACACCGGCCCTGGTCAAGGGCATGTACATTGGTTGCGGGCACATCCCCGGACCAGGCCTCCAGCGGAAGCCACGTCACAGAAAGCATCCTAATGCTGTGCACTCACCCCTCTCATGTCCGCGATGCTCAGCTTCATGGTGTGGAACATGTTCAGCGCGGTCTTCCCAATGACTGCTGCGCTGTCCGTGGCCTGGTCCAGCGTCACGGTCCTGGAAGCAACAGAGGTGACTTTTTAGGGCAGGAGCTGCTCCCTGCGCCCCCGGGCGCTGCTGACAGAGTTGGAAGTTGTCGGGAAGCCACAGTCACGTACGTGTGGATGTAAGTAACTCCTAAAACCCCATGAGCTAGTTTACCTTCAAGGAAGCCAATGAATTAATTACATTGGCAGCAAGGGGAAAAGAACATTCATATAGAACATTGGAATTTTAAGATCATTCACAAAGAACCAGCCAACTAAAAGTAAGCTGGAACTTTAAAAAGAAGTACTCAGTACATTAACAAATGTAAACATATTGTGTTGCAACCAACGCATGAATATAAAGTACAATGCTCTTTAGATACTAAGAGAGGTTTTAGGTTCCAAGGACGATGGTGTTGCGGCAGAATGGCTACTATGAAGAAAGCAAAGATGAATCCCTTGTATGCTGGTTCCTGACTAGTTTTGTCGGTCTGAGGTGAGGCCATTGAAACATCTAAACATGTGGATATAAGCTCGTTACAATCCTCCTCCTCGGTCAGATCCGTGTGGACAGCCGTGACAAGGGGACCGGGTGGCACCCGCCTGCAGGCAGGGAGACCAGGAGGCTGAGGCCGGACCGGGGCACAGCCAGCATCTCCAGGTGCCCGACTGCGTCACTGTGCTCGCTTTCCCGTGCCCCGAGGGCATCGCGCACTCATCTGGACACGTGCCCATTTCTGCAGGAAACCATTTGGGAAAGTATTTCCACTGATTTGTTACCCAATAATAACCTTCAACATAGATAAATACAGAATAACTTAAAAGCATGATTTTAGTGGACTTCAGTGGATGAAACCTATGTTTATCTTAATTTCTTTCTAAAATACCAATAAAGTGACTTAAAATGATTTTTAAAAGGTATAAACTCTGATAGAAATGGGAGAGGGGATTAGAGAAGAAAAATGTTATCCATAGTTTAGAATACTAATAGCAAATCAGTAAATGGAAAGCTTCCAAATGCCTGCTTAACAGCCACAGGAAGGTACCAACTTGAGCAAGCACAGACCCCCAGAACAGCTCAGCAATTAGAGGTGCCAGGTGTGTAAGAAAGGAGGGGGAGGAAGGGGATGAGAACGAACACGAGAGAGCCCGCGCCGTCCACCACCTGAGGGCCTGTCACAGCTCAGGGAGGAGTGAGGCACTTCCCATCCCCTTCCCCATCCAGACCCTTCCTAAGGAGGAACCAGATCGAGCTGGAGGACTCCGCTCTGGGGAAACAGGGAAGCGAACAGACACTACCATGGGCTGGGACAACCCCGCAGACACTGCGAAAGCCGCCACTGATGCAGCCAGGACGGGAAAGGGACCTGGAGAAACTCACCCTGGGACTGGCCGAGTAGTTAAGAGGAGAGACGATGCCGAAACCGATTTGGCTCAGTGGATAGAGCCTCGGCTTGGGGACTGAAGGGTCCCGGGTTCGATTCCGGGCAAGGGCATGTACCTTGGTTGTGGGCACATCCCCAGTAGAGGGTGTGCAAGAGGCAGCTGATCGATGACTCTCTCTTATCGATGTTTCTAACTATCTCTCTCCCTTCCTCTCTGGTCAAAATCAATAAAATATATATTTTTTTTTAAAAGAGGAGAGACGATGCTGCAATGTGAAATACTAGGAACATTTAACAAGTCCAAAGAGCAAAACAAAGCACTCGAAATTTAAAATTACTGGAAACAAGTGACTTCTTACTCAAAGTTACGTTTATAGCCTTTAAGCCAGCAAAGCACCGAGCATCAGGGCAGACATACAGGTTCAAAAAGGCAATCTGACTCGCGCTCTTTCTCAGTGAGATCTGACGGACACACACACACACACACACGGATCCACAGAGTGAAGGCTTTGCAGGAGGGATTGAGATAAACCAATCCAGCCAGGAGCAGTAGGCTGGGGGACCCCAAAAGACAGGTCTCCCAGAAAAAGAGACCAGCAGATGGCTGATGTACTGAAACATCCTGGAAGGGCGTTTGGAAACGATCTCTGGTCAATTCACAAAAGAGCAAACGGTTCTCAGTAAACTGAGAAAAACCTGTTCAACAGGAGAGGAAATGTGGGTCAGCTCTGTACAGTATGTGCGTGGCTGGAACAATTTAACACTAGACCATGCCTGATCCAAAAACAACTTTATTGAGGCAAAGCATGCAGGGAAAACAGGCACTGGCGAGGGAAAGAAGCGAGAAGTAGCAGTTCCCGTGGCACCTGGAGGCGACACCAGGAGGTGCCCCGGGAGCGGAAGAACAGCCTGGAGCTGCAGCCCAGCGCGGGGAGCACCGCGCGGGGAGCACCGCGCGCGGCACCTTCTCACTCGGACGCAATCCTCTGGTAAAATTCCGATGCACAAACTTCAAACGGACCACATGTATAAAAGCACTCGAGGGGAGATTCTTTCTCCAAAAGGAAAGGGTTATAAGAAAAACTTTCCTAAGTGAAAATCAAGCCAGAACTCGGTCTCCACGTGCCTCTGACAGGTCAAGGCCAAGGAAAGAAATCACAGAATCACGGAATGTGGAGACCAGCTCTTAATCCACTCACTTGAACAGACTCAGTCAGCCTGCACGGGAGTCCACAGGCTGCTGAACACTGGTGCCTGGGGGGCCCCTTCGCAGCCTTCATGTCTCACAAGCCGCTATGAGAGGTCAGTGTCCCTCACACCAATCACATAAAAACAAGCACAGGCTGGCGTGGCCCACAGGGAGTAATGTATCAATCCCCCGATTAGAGGAAACAGTGGGCACTGGGGTATCCATAGTCCCCACCACAACACAGCATTCCCCGCAGTCAGGCACCCGCAGCGTAGGTGTCAGCGGCTGCCTCTTGGTGATGCTTATAAAATGGCACTGTTTCAATCATGTGCTTGTGCATCATCATGTGTCATACAAGTTAACATGTTAAGAGCACAGCAAAACGTATTTTATTACGGTGTGTACTGAGCAGAGTCCCTATCTTGTCCGAGGTGAACCCTGACTGCTGTGGAGGGAAGGCTACCGCTGAGATGAGCTTCAGTAACGGGGAGGGAGGATGCTGCAGGGGAAGCTGCCAGCAACCGCTGACAGGCCCATGGGGGTTCAAGGACTATTCTTCCTACTTCTGTGTTATGTTAAAGGTTTTCATAAAACACTTTTTTAAGGTTTAGGACAAAAAAGAAACAAATACCAAAAGCAGCAAACAGATAAGCGCTTATAAAAAAGCCAAATAAATATTATCCTGAGTCAGGGGGAATAAAGTATAATCAATTTCATTTTAAATGCTGTAATTAGATTTCTGGAGAACCTGGATTTTTCCAAAGAGAATGATAAAGAAGCTGTTTTCTTAATAAGATTGGACAGAGGGAGCCCTAGGCACTGCTGAATGTACCATAACACACAACGCTAAGAAACGAATAGACATTTAAAAGTGCATACATGCCGCCCTAACCGGTTTGGCTCAGTGGATAGAGTGCTGGCCTGTGGACTCAAGGGTCCCAGGTTCAATTCCAATCAAGGGCAAGTATCTTGATTGCGAGCACGTTCTCAGTAGGGAGTGTACAGGAGGCAGCTGATCGATGTTTCCTCGCTCATCGATGTTTCTAACTCTCTATCCCTCTCTCTTCCTCTCTGTAAAAAAAAAAAAATCAATAAAATATATTGAAATAAATAAATAAATGTGCATATATGCCAAGAGGAAACAAATTGCTACCAGTTCTCCTTTCAAAGAATTATATCAGTTTTGGATGTTCCTTTCCAGGTATCTTGAACAAATAAAGCTCCAGGTTACATTCCCAGAAAAGGTGTTATTATAAACTGGATTATCAGAAACCATGTTTAAAAAAAAATTATATCCAGAGTAGAGTCCTATAATCAACTTATTATAGAAATAATAACAAACTACCATTTGAAATAGGTAATTAAATGTTCATTAAAATAGATAAGAACAGCCGAGGCCGGTTTGGCTCAGTGGTAGAGCGTCGACCTGCGGACTGAAGGGTCCCAGGTTCGATTCCAGTCAAGGGCATGTACCTTGGTTGAGGGCATATCCCCAGTGGGGTGTATGCAGGAGGCAGCTGGTCGATGTTTCTCTCTCATCGATATTTCTAGCTCTCTAACTCTCCCTTCCTCTCTATAAAAAAATAAATAAAATATATTTTTTTTAAAAAATAGGTAAGAACAGAGATCAAAATTACCAACTGCATAAAAAAGTATTTTATGAATTATGTTCAATGTGTAATTTATAACCCGTTTTCCTGGTAAATCAAGACCTTCAATGATAGATAAAGCTGGAAGTTTTCTGTGTCTGACAGCATCCTCTCGTCACTCTCAGCAACATCACTATAAAATGTGACTGTGACCACGCTAACTCTTTCCTTACATGTGTGTGGCTTTCAGGAGCAAAGTCTTAAAGCTGTGGTTGCCCAGAAGATATAAAACAGTGTGCAGAGTGGCATAAAGTGATGTGCAGAAAACTAAGTATTTTCACACTAGTCTCAGCTCTTCACTGAAGTTTTGTATCTGTGGCTCCCACATTAAAACACATACTTTAAAATGCGTTCTACCAGTTTTCAGAGACTACAATGACTAATCTTTTCACAAACAGAAATGAGACCTCCCTGAATGAGGAACAGTCTCATTCAAATCATTAAATGATTATCCTGAAATTCCCCGGCGGCCCTTCTCCCAAGTCCACTTCCGTCTGTGGTGCAGGTGTTGACCTTTCCTGTCCTGCTGTCCCTGCACTGAAGCCAACAGCCTGCCCCCAAGGCTAGGCCACCAAAGGCCAGGAACACGTGGACAGGCTGACCCTGAGCGCAGCAACTTAACTCAAAGTGGCCCCGAGCTGAGCCTGCCTCCAAAGAATATCCCTACCATCGCAGTTTACAGATCCCTGTTCATTCTCTTCCTTGGTTTCTTATTAATTAGAACCACCTGACTGAAGTATTCACACCCAATAGCCCTTTAGATAAGCTTACCTGGCAATGTGGTCACAGATTCCATGGCCTCCAAATTTCGCAGTTTCCACAGGGGCCCCCGGCTTCCGCACCATTATTTTGAGAGTCAGGCGCTTCCCCTTCATGCCAGCAGCTTCCAGCCGTCTTTGAATTTCCTCGGAAAGGCTCAGCAGGAAAGCTTCTGCTTCTTTGGGCTACGGAAAGGCACACACAGGAACTCACGTTACTTTCCGATAGACCTAGCAATTCCAGCATTATGCATACACATTGACTATGTTGCTAAGCATTTGTTTAAAAAGATCCTACAAGCTCTGGGATTGCAAGTATTTGAAGACTTAATGCCAAGTACCCAGTCTGGTCTAGCTGACAAGACAAGACAAAGTGAAAACAAAGGACAGCATAAGGCAAAACCACTGAGCGATCAGTACCTGGGTAAACCTTATTCCATAGTTGATCTCAGCTGAAACCGATTTTCTTTCCTTTTCTGTTCGAACCGGTCTGTCATCCAAACCTCGGCAGAACCTGTACAGCATCTGTCCCGTCTTGGGACCAAATTCCCGCTGCAGCCTCGCCATGGTCATGTGCTGCAGGTCTCCGCACGTCTTAATGCCCAGAGAGGCCAGCTTGGCCTCCATGGACCGCCCCACTCCTAGGAAAGGGCACATATTGAGTTTCCTTCTTCACATAAACTACGAAAAACAATATATTTGAATGAAAAATTTCATATTGAAATTAATTTTCAATTATTACATTAATTTAACAATTTAAATATTAATTTAAAATAATTTTCCTTCAATTTTAAAAGAAGTGATCCTTTGTTTACTAACTGTATCATCAGTCTTTCCGTTTGTTTTGTTACTCCTTACCCGAGGATATGTTTCCCATTGATTTTTTTTTAGAGAGAGTAGAAGAAAAGGGTAAAGAGACAGAGAAGCATCAGCATGAGAGGGACACATCCATTGGTTGCCTCTCTAGTGCCATGGACCACCCCACTCCTAGGAAAGGGCACATATTGAGTTTCCTTCTTCACATAAACTACGAAAAACAATATATTTGAATGAAAAATTTCATATTGAAATTAATTTTCAATTATTACATTAATTTAACAATTTAAATATTAATTTAAAATAATTTTCCTTCAATTTTAAAAGAAGAAGTGATCCTTTGTTTACTAACTGTATCATCAGTCTTTCCGTTTGTTTTGTTACTCCTTACCCGAGGATATGTTTCCCATTGATTTTTTTTTAGAGAGAGTAGAAGAAAAGGGTAAAGAGACAGAGAAGCATCAGCATGAGAGGGACACATCCATTGGTTGCCTCTCTAGTGCCCTGACTGAGGTTGGAGATAGAGTCCTCAACCGAGATATGTGCTCCTGAGCAGAATCGAACCTGTGGGCCAATACTCTAACCATTTAGCAACACTGGCTAGGGATCCTTTTTGTAAAGTTGTTGACAGCATTACAGATGTCTCCCATTTTCTCCCTTTTTGCCCCACTCCCCCCACCTCCTGCCCCACCCAAGACCTTCTCCATACTATTGTCTGCGTCCATAGGTTATGTACATACGTTCCTCCGCTCTCCCCACTGAGATGTTATTCTTTTTTTTTTTTTAAATATATATTTTATTGATTTTTGTACAGAGAGGAAGGGAGAGAGAGAGAGAGAGTTAGAAACATCGATGAGAGAGCGTCATCGATCAGCTGCCTCTTGCACACCACCTACTGGGGATGTGCCCGCAACCAAGGTACATGCCCTTGACCGGAATCGAACCCGGGACCCTTCAGTCCCCAAGCCAACGCTCTATCCATTGAGCCAAACCGGTCTCGGCTGAGATGTTATTCTTTTCCATGCAGCCATACCTCTGGACCTGTGTTGTTCATCAGTTTATTTTTAAGTGACATAATCAAAGCATCTCATAGGTTAAAGAATTTTCCGGTGTAAATCATGCTAGAAGATGAGAATCATCTTCTCGATTTGGGATACATATATAGGTGAACCAGAATTTCTCAAATAGAGGTAAGGCCTCAAAAGAATGTAATTTTTACTTATTACTGAATAATGTCAAGATTTCTACCTTATTCACAGAATCAGCTAATTCAGCTATAGTATGATTTACAGACATATGAGGAAACTCATGAATGTTAGCATTCATCCCTAACATGCTCACCTACTGCAAGGGGAGCGGCCTGAAGCCCAGGGTGGGAAGGAGGCACGGAGTGGTCAGCCTCGAACCCTGTCACCTTCAGTGGGACGGGAAACTTAGCTTGGAGTCAGCACCAAATCGGCCTGCAGACTGAAGGGTTCTGGGTTCGATTCTGGTCAAAGGCATGTACTCGGTTGCAGGCTCAATCCCTGGCCCTGGTTGAGGCATGTGTGAAGGCAACCAATCAATGTGTCTCTTACAGATGTTTCTATCCCTTTCTCTCCCTTCCACTCTCTTTAAAATCAATGGGAAAATATCCTCAGGTGAGGATTAACAAAGAAAGTTTATGATATGGTTCCAATCACATTTTCTTTAAATGGGCAGTAGAACAAGAACTTACAACACAGGCCCAAACCTGGACAAGTGGCCTGGGGATGAAGGTTCCTAAGAAACCGAGAGGCAGAAGAGGGCTGGGGAAGAGACAAACTTCTTTTATAAACAAAGAGTATCTCCGGGAACAGGGAGTGCCTTTCTACGGCTGGGCAGCATGCACTAGTCCCTATGTCACCCCGTCCAAAGCAAGGTGGACCTTCACCCACAGGAAGCGGGTGGGATCTGTTGCTTTCAATTTGCCTGAAAGCTTAACAAAGGTATACACATCTAGGAAATGTGTTTGAGAGTAACCAAGGAGAACTAAAATTCTTATTGAAATGGCCTCCAAAACACCAAATCAGTATTTTTTCACCAATAAGGAAAAGACTGCATTCCTGGTCTTCCGCAGGATCCTATCAGAGACTCGGGGAGCAATCTGACATCAGCTGGTCACTGTCACGTGGCCCCTCTGAGCGGCGTCAGCAGAAGGAACACCCGCCTTGTCCAACTCCTCCAGGTGCACTTCTGAAGCAGTAACCCAAGGTCAGGAGGCCTTCACCCTCACAAGAGGCCTATGGCCATGGAGGGGGCTGGACAAGATTAAACCAAGAGAACTGATTCCCTGATGGAAGCTACATAAAAGATGGCGAGGGTGCTCCCTCCCACTTTGAAGTTCATGTCAGATGGAGGAAAGTAAGAATACCAGAGTCTGAGTTAACAAAAACAACAAATCTTCCAGGGGAACACCGTTCGGAAAAGGTGAAGTTCCAGGTGAAACTCTTGAGTATTCTCATACACTAGGTTGGCCAAAGACAGAGACAAGTCAGATAGGCACTTTCCTATTCAGGTTCAGAGAAGGCTCTGTGTTTCAGTTTCTTCCTTCTCATCACTGCCCTGCTCCCCACTCTCAAAACGTAACCACGCTCTTCCCCTTACAGATGTGGGAGCCAGTCTGTTCTCGGTGACTTGCCAACTCATGAGGTGATATTCAAGTGTGCGTGCTGGGGAGGAGAGAGGGAGGAAACCTATAGTTTTTTAGAGTATCTTCAGTATACCAAACAGAATTATTATTCACTAGTAGGTACAAAAGAAAGGCCATTCTATTAAACTATCCAATTAGCCACAATCAACTGAAACTAACTGAACTGTCCTGTAAGGAAGCAGAAAGGATTCTCTCTATTGCATGCACTACTGCAAGGGGAGCGGCCTGAAGCCCAGGGTGGGAGGGAGGCACGGAGTGGTCAGCCTCGAACCCTGTCACCTTCAGTGGGGCGGGAAACTTAAGCTTGGAATCAGCACCAAAACCTGAGAGGGCAGCTAGTTTCACTGACTGCATTCTATACGTGTTCATAATGAAAGGAGGTGTGGCTGAGGAGAAAGCAACAGGGTCTTAAGACTCACACAGAGTACAGTCACCGAGAAAGAAAAAAGTGCAGAGAAATATGCTAGCTTAGAACCAGATCCTGGAGTCTCAGGAGAGAAGAAAATCAGACGTGGAAGCTCCTGGTCAAGCCGCTGGGACAAAGCCTTGGTGCCTGTCCTTGAATGAGAACCATTACTTTAGATTAGAAACGGCCACCAACGCCTCCCAACAGAGCTGCAGGAGAGTAGTCTGGAGAATAGTCTCACCATCTGTGAGCGCTGTCCAACAGAAGTGTCTGTGATACTAGACACATTCTGTACCTGCGTTGTTCAACCCAAGAGGCACCTTTCACATGTGGCTAGTACACAGCTGCAATCTGGCTGGTACACCCGAGGAACTGGCTTTGTTTTACTTCACTTTAAGGCGTGTTGCTAGTTCCCTTTGGCTACCACATCAGGACAGCGTGGATCTTTCTGCACAGCTACATGTTCATGCAATCCTGAGAACAGAGGTGGGACACAGACAGTGCACAGCCCAGAGTTAGCTGCACAGGTAGAGGCGGCCCTTAAATTGGGCACATGCACAAGATGAAGAGCCTTGCAAAAATCCACAGAACACACAGAAACCCCTATTGCATTTACATAGTTCTTAGGACAGTCCTGTCTTTCATCAGATAAACAGATCTCACTAAGTAATGTATTTTTTAGCCTAACATGTAATTGTTAATCTGTGGAGCTCCCTAAAGTAAATGTAACTAGTGTGTTTTTCCTTCTTATGTAGCTGCAATAACTGTGTATTATTGTACGAGAAACACTATGTGCTAATAAAAATTTAGGGCCAAAGAAAGCTTGTGGAAAACAAGGAGTGAGGTGTGAAAACACTGAATTTCTTCTGGTTATTGGTCAGAGAGCATAATTTCCTCAAAGCTTGTTCCGCAAGATATTAATTATTACATATCCATCTTCAAATATTTTTGGGAGATGACCAGTTTTTAACAAACATAAACAAGTGTCTTTCTGGTGAGAATTCCCAGAACCTTGACTGTGTGGGCCCTCCCTGCAAAGTCCCCACGCTGCTTGAACTCTTTCTTAAAGCAGCAGCGTGTACTCTGTAGAGCCATCTGCAGGACAGGTAGCAGAAGGCTGGCATTCCGCATACCTGAAATGTTCTAAATACAGAATTTGGAAATTTTATAAAAGTCGACAGTTTAAACACGTGACCAGCACCACTCCGGGTGGACACAAGCGGTCCCTGAAGTAGACGATGTGCATGAGAAGGCGCTGGGCAGAGGCCGCCAGCTCTGCTGCCTGTTCAGAGCTCCACAAGGAACTCAAGGCCGTGCCGAAGAACCTCACACTTGCCCTTCAAGGAATAAAGAGATGTCCCTCCAGCCAGGAAGCCAGTAAAGGTGAAGGGTAAGATTGCTGGGCCAAGGAACTAAAATTCTCTGTAAAAACACCAATAGCAAGCATTTTGTATACAACTACAAAAATGATTCATTTCACGATGGCGTTATGGACTGAAATGTGTCTCCTCAAAATTATTAAGTATTGAAATAAATGTAAGCTCTACATACATTTAAGGAAGAGTAACAAAAACACGGTCATTGTTTTCCAACCCACTGGTTCCAGTCCAGCGGTGGCCAGAGCCCACCCAGCAGCTCAGAGCACCAGGCGGGCCCCCCTGGGCAGGGCGCTCTTCCATTGCGAGGCCACCCACCCTCATTCAGACCAGGGACAATTAGGCGCCTGATTCCTCTCACACGGCATCTTTAAGGTGCAGGAGGGAACCGGAGACCCTCGAAAAAACCCACACAGAGTGGGGAAGGGAGAACGTGCCGACTCCCATGGGAATCGACTTTTTTCTCTTCAACAACATACACAAAATGACACTAAACCAAACGATATCATTCAAGGATCTGCCTGTATTTGCTAGCTTAATTTTATAAAATTAATTATTCAAAATAAACATCAAATGAACCATCAAAATGTCATATTTCACACCCCTGACATTATTTTTTTAATAAGTTTTTCTTCACATTTTCTTTTTAAAAAAATATATTTTATTTATTTATTTTAAAAATATATTTATTGATTTTTTTACAGAGAGGAAGGGAGAGAGATGAAGAGCCAGAAACATCGATGAGAGAGAAACATCGACCAGCTGCCTCCTGCACACCCCTTACCAGGGATGTACCTGCAACCAATGTACATGCCCTTGATCAGAATCGAACCTGAGACCTCTCAGTCCACAGACCGACGCTCTACGCTGAGCCAAACTGGCTTCGGCTCATACCCGACATTAAATACATTCTTTTAAGTTATTTAATATGGGATCAGGAAGCTTTAAAATTAACCCATCATAAAATGGCATTTGGGTCATTTAGTATGTTGTGGCCTATAACAGAAATTTCTTAGTTTAGATATACTTTTATTAGACTTAATATACATCTACAAATATCACTAAAGCAATTTTTATTTTTTATTACTTCAGAGAGGAAAGAATAAAATTTTGAGACTGAAGTCACCTACTTATAAAATTATCCTCCTGGACTAATGACAGTTTTCTGATTTTAGTGAGCAAATAGTTTTAATTAAAAGGATAAAGTGTATGAACCATTAACTCAAAGATTGAAGTAAAACTTGCATCTCCATCTTTCTTGCCAAAGGGGCAACATGTTTTCGTGTAGGACTGTGTGGCCGACCTTATATGTAAAATCTTCTTGTGGAGAATCATCAAATAGAGGGAAAGGGAAAAACATCAATGATAAGAAACATTGACTGGAGGGGAAAAGGCAGCGGCTGGCAGGACGGAGGAGGCGGGGGAGGAAGTGAGTGAGTGAAGGTATGAAGTGAGAGTGTGTGATGTGCGTGGTGTGTGTGTGTGACTGAGGGAGGGAAAGTTAAATCTCGCAGGAGCAGCAGGGGCTGGCAGACAGGCTCTCCTCCACAAGGAGAGACTACCACTGGTGCGGGCACTCACCGGACTGCGGGACTCCAGCACGGAACCCACACCATCTTGAAGGGGAGAACGGCCCTTTATAGAAACCCATCAACATGACCAACCAGACAGGCCTTGGAACTGCCCTGCAACCCAGCACCCACTCCAACCAATATCTGCTGCCCCAGCTGCAGACCTTCGGATCCTGGGACTGCCATCTCCAGCTAAAATAACTCCCAAGACATGTGGATTCCTGCAACAGAGAGGAATTGACAGGACTGCTCCAGCCATAAAGACAGAAGAGACGCAGTCCAGAGATGGAAGACGCTGACAACGCCTTGCCATACCAGCAGACAGCAGCTGTGCGTCGCTGAAGGATGCCCAGGACCAAATCAGAGACGGTCACCACCATTTGTCCACCATGCAGAACTGAAACATCAGTGCTGATATGTACACATAAGGAACTGTTTGACATTGAAATTGGGACTCAATGTCCCAATTTCTTTCTGCTGGCCCAGAAAGAAATTCACTACAGACTGATTCATTTGCCTCTCAGCATAACCATTATGGCTTGTCTCATTTTCGGTTCTTATAAGTGTATTTCTTGTATCACATGATCTCACGCATATAGGGGAAATAATGAACAACATAAACTGATGAACAAAAACAGACCCGGAGACAGGGAAGCATTGATCAGACTGTCAAACCTCAGAGGAAAGGTAGGGGAGGGTGGGGAAAAGGGAGAGAGAGCAACCAAAAAACTTGTATGCATGCATATAAGCCTAATCAGTGGTCATGGTCTACAAGGGGGAGGGGCATTTATGGGGAGGGGTTTGGGGTGGGAATGGGGGGATGAGGACAATTATGTGATACCACAATCAATAAAGAAATAATAATAAAAAAAGAATCATTGACTGCCTAGACAGCATGGCTCAGCGATTGAGTGTCCACTTATGAACTAGGAGGTCAGGGTTCGATTCCCGTTCAAGGCACATGCCCAGGCTGCAGGCTCAATCCACAGTGGGGAGCGTGCAGGAGGTGTGATCCATGATTCTCTCTCATCATTGATGTTTCTCTCTCTCTGTCTCCCTTTCTCTCTGAAATCAATAAAAATACATATTAAAATAAAAAGAAGCATTGACTGACTGCTTCTTGCACCTCCTCCACTGGGGATCAAGCCTGCAACCCAGGCAGACTCCCTGACCATATGTACCCTGACAGGGAATCGAATTGTGACTCCTTCCTGGTTCATGGTCAATGCTCAGTCATTGAGCCACACAGCCTGGGCTCACTAAATCCATTTTTAATAACCAAATGAATTAAGACAACTTTCATAAAAAATATGCTACTTTGAACTTTCCCACCACAAACCCACAGGAGCATGGTGAAGCTCTGACAGGCTGCTTTATAACAAAGAGTTGAGATTATCCTACCTAATAAAAGAGTAATATGCAAATTAACCATCACTCCACTACACCCATCAGCCACGCCCATCAGCCAATAAGAGTGAGTATGCAAATAAACCCAACCAAGATGGCTACAGCCACAGAGAATAGAAGGGAGGCTTGGGTTTCCCAGTCAACAGAAGAAGCCAAGCTTTCCACCTGCCCTTGCTGGCCTAGGCTTCCACTCAAGGCTACAAAATTTCAATTATAGAAGGTAAACAAATCCAAACAGAAATGGCGGCAGCCACAGAGTAAGCAGGAGACTTGGCTCCGCTCCAGGCTACAAAATTTCAGTTGTAGAAGGTAAATAAATCTTAGATACCAGGGCCTTAGCTTGGACCGCCAGGGGGCATGACTGCCTGCAAACAACCACAGGCCCCTCGCCCAGGCCGCCCCATGCCTCAAGGGAACCCCCACCCTGATCCAGGACACCCTTCAGGGCAAACCAGCTGGCTCTCACCAGTGCACTACGCCTCTATCCTATATAATAAAAAGAGTAATATGCAGATTGACCATCACTCCAACACACAAGATCAAGATAGCTGCCCCCATGTGGTCAAAGATCCTGCTCCCATGCGGACACAAGATGGCCAGCAGTGGAGGGCAGTTGAGATGCATAAGGCCTGCAAAGGAGGGCAGTTGGAGGCAATCAACCCTGCAGGGGAGGGCAGTTAGGGGTGACCAGGCCAGCAGAGGAGGGAAGTTGGGGCAAACAGACTGGCAGAGGAGCAGTTAGACATCAATCAGGCTGGCATGGGAGTGGTTAGGGGGTGATCAGGGTGGCAGGCAGAAGCAGTTAGGGACAATCAGGAAGGCAGGCAAAGCGAGCAGTTGGGAGCCAGCAGTCCTGGATTGTGAGAGGGATGTCCGACTGCCTGTTTAGGCCCGATCCCACCGGGTTCAGGTCTAAACGGCAGTTGGACATCCCTTGAGCGGTCCCAGATTGGAGAGGGTGCAGACTGGGCTGAGGGACCCTCCTCCCCCCCATGCACGAATTTTGTGCACCGGGACTCTAGTCTGAGATAATAAAGGATTGATGCATGGATTAGAGAAATTCCTTAGAAAGAGGCATCTACCATAGAAAGCAAGTTTAAATATTTAATAATTATAAAAGGAATTGTCCTACCCACACCCTCAAAAAAAACCCCACATCCATTTAAGGCCCTTTAAAAGGCAACCATTTTCCAGTTGTAATGAATTCTAATTGATGATTCTCCATGGATAGATTTTACATACAAGGTTGGCCACACAGTCCTACACAAAATGTAAAAGTAAACATGCTGTCCCTTGGCAAGACAGATGGAGATGCAAGTTGTACTTCAATCTTTGAGTTAACGGTTCATACACCTTATCTTTTAATTAAAATTATTTGCTCACTAAAATCAGAAAACTGTCATTAGTCCAGGAGGATAATTTTATAAGTAGGTGACTTGAGTCTCAAAATTTTATCTTTCACCTAGAAGTACATCATTTCAGTTATGATTTATTTAAAGAACCAAAATTCAACTTCATCATATCCACTTTAAATGATTTCTTAGAATTCCTTATCTTGCTGCTTGAGAAATACTTAAAATAAAACACATTAAAAGAAAATTAAATGTAACATTAAGATCCTGATAATCAACTGAGGTAGTGACTGTGAAATGAAATTCTAAATTTTTCTCATGGCACTGAAAAATAAATACTTAGTTCATGTTTTGGAAAAGAGATATTATACATTATAAAACTTTTAGCACTAATAAATGTTTATAGTGAATTGATGTTAAAAAGAAAAGGTCTGCACTCACCTGGGAGGTTAGTAACTAGCTGACCTCTGATGAAATCATCGACCTCTTCTGGTTTTAAGTGGTACTGGCCGTCGGGCTTTGCTTTTCTAGTGGCCATTCTAGCCAGGAGAATGTTAGAACCTACAAAGCAAAAACAAACAAAGCAGAAGTTCTTCAAGAAATATTCACCACAATTATTTTTAAAATTTCTTAACAAAGACATCTATAGACAGGTTACTGAGCAAATTTCTATAAATAATGAAAGTAAATTATTTACAATTTTGATCATTTCAAATACAATATAAAATCAGCAAAATTTTGTTTTTACAGATTATAACTGGCATGGTTACTGAACAGAGGTAACCATGTTCTTTGTTCCAAAATAAGTATTTCAACATCTCCTACTCAGGTAAGGGAATAGAGAAAGCAGTCCAAACGGCAGTGGTTTATAGGAAGTTGAGGGCAGTGATCAAAAATTAGTTCACTTTACCAATGAGTAGATCCAGGCTAGGCAGAGCAATCAGGCCACTGCACTCTACTGGACTTGGGAAAAGAAAGCCAAAGAACCAGAAGTTTCACTCTACGATCAGGACACATGTAGTAAAAACAAGACGGACCTGGCAGTGAGGCCCCAAGTGTGGATGTGAACAGGAACCTAGAGCAGAGCAAGGGCTCCTGGGAAGGTGCCAGGGACCTGAGAAACAACATGTCAGGTGAACTTGTTTGTGGAAAATGACACCTCCAAAAATGATGGAAGGCTTACATGTCTTAATTTTAGGGTAGACTTCTGTAACAACCGTGTGTTTCCCAGGGTCCTAGAAAGTCACACCAAAATGGTAAATATGGTGAGTTCTGAAGAAGAAAAGAGGGCTGAGGAGAGGAAATATTGTGGGGGAATTTTAATTATATGCTTGTATTTAAAAGAATTTTTCATATCATCATACTTGTACATTAAAAATACGTCCAATAAAAAACACACCAAAGCTTGTGCCTAATACCGACCTGCACCAGGTGAGCCCTAAGTGAAAGATGAGAGGATCTCAGGCCCAAAACCAGGCAGGCTAGCTAGTAAGAGAGGGATGCTGTTTTACTTTCTATGTCTTATGAAATTTTGACATTAAAAATCTTACTGGGCAGTGAGAAACTGCCCTCCTGAGGCTAGTTAATTTTTAAAGAGTAAACACTTCCTAGCGAACATGCCTCCCACAGGCCAGCCAGCCAGCCAGCCACCCCAACCATTTCCTTATCCAACTCACACACAAAGCCAGTATGTTCCTGCTCTCCCTCACCCCACAGCCAGGTCCCGGTGTAAGAGTGAGAATGTTGGCGCATGCTTCCAGAGAGGCCGTGGACTGTAGAGTTGTCAGTGCTGACACCAGTCCAGGCCTTGAGACACGGTCTCATGGCCCCGTCCCAGCACATAGGCCTTATTCAAGGGCAGAACAGGACTGACTCCGTTTTATACTGTGTAACTGTCTTGTATAACTAACCCTAACCCTAACCACATAAAGACCACAAAATGTATCAATTACCCAACCCACCCTTAAATCAGCCAAGAGAAATACAGAGGGAAGTAACCCAGTGTAACTGGACCCTGGCCCTCACCCCACCAATCAGAACCAGCCAACTCAGTGGTCCGAGCATCACCCCAATACCCAACCCTAAACCCTATAAAAAGACCACACTTTCCGAGCTCGGGGCTCTCTGCATTCTGCCGCTGCGTCAGTAGAGGCAGGAAGACCAGTCTTGAGTTTGAATAAAGGCTCTTTTGTTTTTTGCATTGGACTCAGCTCCCTGGTGGTCCTTGGGAATCTTGAAATCTGGGCATAACACGGGCAACCAAAGACCACTCTTATAGCCCTAAGGTCAATGAAGTACCCAAAGCAGCCAGTCCTGAGCTGCTGACTCTTGCTCTGCCTTGCCTGGCCTTTCCTGCAGAAATCCCAGTAAAGACTCAGGACTAGGATTCCTCTCTCTCCTGCTTCCTCCTCCTGACCGACCCCTGATGCTCCCCCACGGGTCCTGTGTGGTACTGCATGCCCTGTGGTCCTCTTCCTTCACCAGCACTGGCTCTTTTATCTGCATTAGTTAAAAGGCCTCGGTACAGATGAGGCAGGAAGTCAGAGGAAGAAGGGTTTCGGAATGAGAATGGAGAAGTAATGACTGGAAGTGACAAGGAAGCCAAGAGAGTTGTCCCTCCCGCTCTAGCCTGTGGCAGAGCATGGCAGGGCAAACTGGATCCCCGTGAGCATGGCAAGAAGACAGGTGCTGTGGAGGTGGCTCTGGGAGGGTAGGCATGAAGAGCGGGTTCCAGAGGGCACAGCGGACGGGTCCACAAAAGGAAAATGGTGGGAGTTAATGAGGAAACCAAGGACAAGACTTAAGATCAACCAGGCCAGCCGAAACCCGTTTGGCTCCGTGGATAGAGCGTCGGCCCCGGGTACGATTCTGGTCAAGGGCATGTACCTTGGATGCCGGCACATCCCCAGTAGGGGGTGTGCAAGAGGCAGCTGATAGATGTTTCTCTCTTATTGATGTTTCTAACGCTCTATCCCTCTCTCTTCCTCTCCATTAAAAAAAATAAATAAATAAAATAAAAAAAAAAAAAAAATATATATATATATATATATATATATATATATATATATATTAAAAAAAAAAAAGATCAACCAGGTCATGGGTGAGAGGCGTCGCTGAGGGCACCGTCATGAGGTGCTTCCTGGAACTGCGTGTGGAGACGGGACGGCCCGCAGTCCAGGAGGCTGGAGTTCAGAAAGTAGCTGATTACAACAGGCCTGGACCTTCACACTGAACTCCGAACCCTCACCACCCACTGTAACCATGGCTTCTGCCCGCACCTGACAGGAAGTACACCGTTCACACACACTGACTTCAACTCTCCCATTTCTGAAGGACATGTGAGAAACACTCCAACTTGGTTATTCCAAAGGTATTACCAACCACTGATTTGCACTTCCCACACTTTTACCTCGTTTACTGCACAATTTGAGCAATGATAAGAATTGTTTTAGAAGAGGCCTATCCAGTAAGGTAATAAAAACAAAACCAAAAATCACTCCTAAAAATTAAGTGATATTCAATGAGCCAAAGTAATATTTTAAGAAAAGAGAACAGTAGGAGAGAAGCTGGATACTAACCAATCCCAACAGAAGCAGCACAGTGAGTCTGGTCTCTGATTTCCATGCGGACAGCGCTTGCAAATTCATCAGGCGTAAGCTTGGTCTCCGCTAGGATTTCCGTGATGTCTACCAGCGCCTCATCACAGCTGACTGCTTCGATGTTGTGTGTGTAGCTGTCAACACAAAGCACAGGCGACGAGGCACAGCTACAACCGCATCCGTCACCACAAACGTGGAAAATACAGTCTTTCCCTGGTACCCCCTCCAACACATCCTTACAAGACTTAAGGTGATAAAAAAAACAAACAAAAAACATGAGCATTTGCATTAAACTGGCCCAAGTGCAAACTTAAAATGCTTTCTCTTTTTCCATATTATCTACCAAAAAACAGCAGGAATTATCATTCCAGTTTCTCTATACTCAGAACACCTTTATAAACCTCTGAATAGTTGAAAAGTAGTAGGTGAGTTAGAACAGTCCACATTTAATCTAAAACATTTTTAGACATTGTTTACCAGAATTCTTTTTTTTTTTTTTTAAATATATTTTCATCGATTTTTTACAGAGAGGAAGGGAGAAAGATAGAGAGCTAGAAACGTTGATGAGAGAGAAACATCAACCAGCTGCCTCTTGCACACCCCCCACTGGGGATGTACCCGCAACCAATGTACATGCTCTTGACCAGAATCGAACCTGGGACCCTTCAGTCCGCAGACTGACACTCTACCACTGAGCCAAACCAGTTTCGGCAGTTTACCAGAATTCTTAAAGAATAGAAAAATCATACATCTGTCACGTAGGTAATCAATGCTGCTCTAAACAAAAATGCCACAATGCCACACCATTCACAGCAGCAGGCCTAAGACACAATAACAGTATACAATGGCCAATCACCCGAAACGCCCATCTAAAAGGACACCCTACGGTCCCAGCATGAGAACTACTTTAGGTTTTGTTTTCGGTTATGAAATATCCACACCAAAAAACGTGTTTTAACTGCTAGTATCCTGCCATGTGCTCCGATGCCATTAAATGCATGAACCATGAGTGGGGGCAAGCAGAGGCCTTAGGACCAAAACATATCTTCAGGAGCCCAGCTGGTAAGGTGCATCAGGAGGCAACGCTTATCCTTCGTCTACACCTTACTGTAGGCAACACAACTTGTCAGACTAATAAGTGTCTGTACCTATTCAGGAATGAATGAACATTCTGTTTATGCCTAAGTAAAGGGTGACATCTGTAAGAGCAGAAGGGCATGCTTGACTTGAAGAATCTGTTCCGAGTGAAAGCTGCCTGGAGGCATGGTAACTAGGAAGCGAAGGCAGGATTCCCAAAGGGCGGTAGGAGAATATCACGGACTTTACCCCCAAAGAATACTAGTGGGCATAGGCCACTGAAAATGTCTCAACAGACTAAAAGTCTATCAGGACTAATATGTGCATGTGCATAGCTGGCAGTTGGCTCTGGGACCCAGAGCACATGAGGACCAATACTTAGCTCAGTCAGCCACTCCCTACCCTCAATCAGACTCTACTATTTACAGCTTCAGAACAGGATTTAAAAAGCACACCTTTCACTCGGCCATACCAACGTTCCCGCATTTGGGTCTTATCAGTCAGCACTCAGGCGTACAAACTGATGCCAGGCAACGTCATCTGCCCCTTGTATTTTCGCTCCTGTTAAAGCACGCTCCCACAAAGGCTGCAATTGGACCGTATTCTTCTCTGTAGGACTAGCAGTATCAACAACTGTCCATATAAATAAGTACTCAATAAACAGGAGTTCAAAATAATGCATACCAAAGTCAAGGAAGAGGTGAACAGAGGCCAAACATCTATCTCCTAGAACACCCACACAGCCCAGGGTGGGCACACCTTGGCTCACTATCCAGATGCCTGTTTTGGTAATAAATGTAGTAGGATAAGATACTTTTGGGTGGCTGCTTTCTTGCTAAACAGAGGTGAGTGGCTGAGACCTACACAATAATTAGAGAGAAAATGTGCTTATTTCTGCTTTAGAGCACACATGGTCTGGAAATATACTTATTTTAAATTTTGAGTTCTGAATTGATATGAAATATACCTACACTGTAAACATTTTAAAAATTAATCTCCTGCTGAAACCGGTTTGGCTCAGTGGTAGAGCGTCGGTCTGCGGACTGAAAGGTCCCGGGTTCTTTTCCGGTCAAGGGCATGTTGATTGCGGGCACATCCCTGGTAGAGGGTGTGCAAGAGGCAGCTGGTCGATGTTTCTCTCTCATAGACGTTTCTAGCTCTCTATCCCTCTCTCCTCCTCTCTGTAAAAAAACAATAAAAATATATTTTTTTAAAAATTAATCTCCTTTTCTCAAGCCAACTAATCAAGCACCTTGAAACTATATCTACAACTAACTTTTACAGAAACTAACTTTTGGCATATCCACTAATTTTAGAAGACAAAGGGTTTTAAAGAGCCTCTACTTGTTCACACTCAGTTCCAATTTGAAACAAAAAAAATAATTCCAATGAAATAAGAGGGAATAACCAGGTTAGAAGCGTGTGTGTGTGTGTGTGTGTGTGTGTGTGTGTGTGGGCGGGCAGAGGCTCTTGCACGAGTTTCGTGCACCAGGCCTCTAGTATACTTATAAAATCGGATTCTGACCAAGTTTAGCAGCACAAAAAGATGGAGCTACCAATAACTGGAGTTGCTCAAAGAAAGGAGGGCAGGCTGCCATACTGGGATGCCGAGGAAAAGGTTCCTGAGAGAAAAGTCTAGCAAAAGCAATGAACACCCCTGCAGCGTGGTTCAGTGGGTGAGCATTGACCTATGAACCAGGAGGTCACGGCCCCATTCCCAGTCAGGGCACATGCCCGGATTGAGGGCTCCATCCCCAGTGGGGGGTGTGAAGGAGGCAGCCGATCAGTGATTCTCTTTCATGATTGATGTTTCTATCTCTTTCTCTTGGAGTGTCCTTTCATCTCAGAAATCAATAAAAATACATTAAGAAAAAAAAAAAGCAATTCTGATCATCTGAAAGCAATTGGACTCATATCAGACACAACAAGCAGAACAGACACACAGTGACGCTATCATATACTATACCTTGCCAATGTCTCATACATCGTGCGTGCAACTTCCTTATATGCATGAAAATCATATGGAACAGCTTGAAGATTAGGACAAAGTTGTTTAGCGTACCCAAAAAACATTCCATTCTTAATACCAACTTGTCTAGAGAGAGAGAGAGAGGAAAAAAAAAAGACATAATGAAAGTTATACTAAAAAATATTAAATGCAAAAAAAGTATCAAATACATGATACCATATCCCAAGCCACTAATATACTAATTTTCATTCGACTCCATTCTCATTAGGGGTAAAAATAAGCATCAAAACCTTACATCAGGTTTGTCTTCGCCCTAAAGGAGAATTCCACCACTGTCTCATTAGTGTAAGTGACACAGGGAGATGTGCCAAAATGCGTGGCTCCTGCCGGCAATGGAAGATTTCTCCTAAGACTCAGCCTTTGGCCCCTCTGCAGAGACACCAGCTGCCATGTACTGGAGATATCTCAACCATAGGGAGCAGGGATCAAAGAGAGGCTTTCTTCCTCACACAGGAACCATTTGGCCAGGGCTCAGGCCCCAGACAAAATATACACAAAAGTCTATACAAAGCAGTGCTATGTGACAAGCAGACAAAATGTACCCATCCTGCTCCCACCTGGCTCCCACGGCCCAGTGCCATGCTCCGCAGGTGCCTCCAGTGGCTGAGATGCCACTAATTTAACATAACAGCACTGTGTATGGCAGGACATCAGTCTGGGCAGGAGCCAGGGTTCTAGAACTTTGAGGGACCTAATTGAAAATAGTAAATTTTAAATCTTGTTGTGTGCCTCAATGCCCCCACACATTACCTCTGATATCTGTAGCATTCGGCACAAAAGTATAACTGTGGACTTATACATAATTAGTAAAATCCCATTTTACTACTTTGTAATGAATCAAGGAAAAAAGGTAAAAACATAAGCAAAATAATAATGAGTGACATTTTCACCAGATTATCTACTCTTATGGAAATACATCAAGTGGTTATTCTATACATACACTCAATAAATATTTACTAAGTGCTTACTCCGTATGGAGTGTGCCCTGTTTTAAGAAAACTAGTCTTTTAATTACTGAGAGGCCTCTGGCACCCTCCCCATCTGAGACCAACAGCGAGAGCCAAGAATGAAAAGAATCCTCCAACTTATTCAGGAAAAAAAAAAGAAGCAAAATCACACGCATTCCTCATATATACAAAAAAAGCTATAATTATTTAACTGTGAAGCCCCTAGTAGATGAGAAAGATCTAACAGAAACGAAAAAATGACCATAAAGGAAGTGATGACAGGCAAAACAGAAGGTAAAACAAATTATTTTATTCACTCCACAAAATTTTATGTCTCAGATATTTTGGGAGGTGGTAGATAAGAAAAGTGAATGAAACTAGTTTCAGGATGATCATGAGGATGTCTGCCTTCATCCTCCAAGAATGGGTAGAATCAATGGGCCTTGATTAGCGCGGTAGGGCAGTATATATACAGGGGTGCGGCAAAAGTAGGTGTACAGCCCCGCCTGTGGGCTCCATTCCCAGTGAGGGGGTGTGCAGGAGGCAGCGGATCTATGTTTCTCATTTTTGATATTTTTATCTCCCTCTCCCTTCCTCTGAAGTCAATAAAAATATATTAAAAACAAAAAGTTGTTCACTTGTGAGTACATGAAACGTGTTTATTCTTGTATTATTACCAGGTATTGTAATATTTTCCATATGAACAACAGTAAACTTACTTTTGTCATAATATTTAGAAATCCAAATATTTTACCCACTAAGTGTAAAATATTTCCAATGCTAGGTATATAGGTTCAGCATGTAAAAGCTAAATTTACAAAGTATTTAGGAGCCACTAGACACTGTAAGGAAGCTACAATCAAAAAAGGAAAACCAAGAGGTTCCCATAACCACAGGAAGCAGAATATCTTGAGTACATGGCTGAGAAGTGTGGTTTTTTTTTTCACGTAAAATTATGAAACAGTCTAAAGCAGTGGTTCTCAACCTTCCTAACGCCGTGACCCTTTAATTCAGTTCATGTTGTGGTGACCCCCAACCATAAAATTATTTTCATTGCCACTTCATAACTGTAATTTTGCTACTGTTAATGAATCGTAATATAATATCTGTATTTTCCGATGGTCTTAGGCTCTACAGCAGCAGTTCTCAACCTGTGGGTCGTGACCCACAGGTTGAGAACCACTAGTAGGGTCGCCTAAGACCATCGGAAAACAGATATTTACACAGTAGCAAAATTACAGTTACGAAGTAGCAACGAAAATAATTTTATGGTTGGGGGTCACCACAACATAAGGAACTGTATTAAAGGGTCGCGGCATGAGAAAGGTTGAAAACCACTGGTTTTCACTCTCCACTACAGTGACGGCTCTCCACTACAGTGACGGCTATCTTATTCCTCCTGCTGAAATCCCACGCAGGATACACACCAATACTTCCCGAACGTGTGTGGCAGAAATAGTTTTTCCCAGTTTGCACTGCAGAGAACATGCTCTTTCTGGTCACATGCTACACTCAGACAATTATTTATTTATTTATTTATTTATTTATTTATTTATTTATTTATTTTAAATATATTTTATTGATTTTTCACAGAGGAAGAGAGAGGGATAGAGAGTTGGAAACATCAATGAGAGAGAATCATCATCGATCAGCTGCCTCTTGCACACCCCCTACTGGGGATGTGCCCGCAACCAAGGTACATGACCTTGACCAGAATCGAACCCGGGACCTTTCAGTCCCCAGGCTGACGCTCTATCCACTGAGCCAAACCGGTCCGGCCAGATAATTATTTTTGATGATAAATGATATTTAAAAAATTAACACTAACTCACTGCCATGGTCCATTTAGTATACAAAAGACATCTATGTCACTGAGAGGAGCAAAGTGTCCTTACAAAAGCCCATGAGAGCAGGTTTAGAAATTATCTGATCTTAAAAATCTATGATCGTAGGGTATTTGTATATCATCTATTCATCTACATATCTCACTTACAGACAAAGCGTGTTCTTTCTGTAAGTATGGGTAAAACTACTAACAATAATGCATATTCTGACCTACATTTACACAGCCTCCTTTCTGTGACTTCCACCAGCTGGTATTCACATTCCATCCTTTACTAGCTCCATTATTAATCTGTCTACTGAAAACTCACCAGTGCATAAAGCTGGGCTAACCCTCCCCACAGTCCAGTCTCCACTCCCTACCCAGAAATAGCTCTGATATAATTGTGAATATATTATTTTAAAACATTTTCCCACTTAAAGAAAATATAACTATTAGATAGTCACAACCAAAGGGTATCCAAAATTGTTTTCTGGAGACCTTCATTAGCAATGAGCCATCTAGAAAATGGAAAATTACAATTAAAAGACCAAAATTCCACTACTGTGGTTTTTGTGAGGTTTCCCCCAACTTAAACTCAAATTCATGTTCATCATTTCTGCATCTCCTTAAAATAAACATCTGCCATGTAAGTAGCATTTAAATGGCTTGCTACATACCATTTGGCCCTCATACACCATCAGCCCAATTGTTCTGTAATAACTCAGCTTGACAACCACCATCTGTGATACAAGTGCACCATCCAAACCCCAATAGAAGCCTGGAGTCTAGACACAGGTGTGGCTCTGGGGATCCAGACCCACCAGGAGCTGGGACACTTCTACCTTGGAGGCAGCCTCATGCACTGGCAATTTAAAAATAAACATTGACTCACTCATGCATGAATGCAGCCAATCCAGCACTCAGCTTGGGGGCACTGAGTGAGAAGAGAGATCCCAAAGAGGAGCACAGAAAGACAGAGCTTTCACTTCATCACCCAGCAAAACCCAAAGTCTGAGAGAGTATCTGGGCTTCATCACACCCTCCAGATCTGGGACACAACTGTCCAGTCATCAGATGCACAAGTCACCACCGTTCAATAACTCAGTGTGTTTGTGGGGGGGGAGGGGGGGAGAGGGAGGTTGGGGGAGAGAGGGGGACACCAGCCTATTGGGCACAACATGAGATCAGCTCAAACTTGCCTGTGCTAACAAAAATAGACTAGTCCAAAAGGCATCGGTAGTTATTTTTTACTAAAGTAAGTTTTAACTCAGTTACATTATCAACAAACAATGAAAGAAATTACAACAATTTTGTCAACAAAGGCAAAGTTAGTTTAGGAGTAAAAGTTTGACATGTTACAAGTGGAAAATAATTTAAAATATTTCATAATTATACACAGATGATGCTTTTTCCTTAAATAGCCTCTTATAAAACAATTAGTGGCCCGGTGCATGGATTCGTGCACATTAAAAGGAAATTAATTAGAAGAAATATTTTTATATCACTGTTCACCCTTTCTCTATAATGGAAGTGTCAGGGATGGAAGAAAATTAGTAAAATGTATATGAAAATAAAATATAAATTGATTATAACAACATGATATAACAACAGACATGATATAACAACAGACATGATATAAAAACAACAAAAACATGATATAAAAACATTGATAAAAACAATGTTTGATAAATTGATTAAACTTATTCTAATATCTCCCTGTGATTGGTACCAGTGAGAGCTTTATATGTATCGTGCATGCATGAGCCAATGTTTATTTTTAAATTGCCAGTGCATGCCATATGTACCAGTCGGTAGGTTGGTTGGTCAGATGACCAGTCACTTAGCCTTTTATATATATAGATTGGAAAATTTTAAATAAACTATTTTAGTTAGATGATGTTGAGTTGAAATTTTTGTTCAGATTAGACTTGCTTTAATAACCCCAACTTTTAACTGAGACTAAAATATATTACATATATCAAATCATTATGTAGACCTGAAATTATATATCAATTTTTTAAAAGTATGAATGACAAAGCCACAAGATGCTATCTACTACTCTCTCAAAAAAAAACACAAAAAAACTAAAAATGTAATTGATGTAAGACTGTTTTTATAAATTTTAAGTTAAATACTTTAACACTTGCCAACAATGTGTATATGCCTGATGTTATATAAGTAAAAATGTCCATGTGTAGTTGTCAGAAAAGAAAAAAAAAAAAAGACTGCTCTTTTTAATTAATCAATTCATCGTTACTCCTACTTTCACAACTATTACAATAGATTATTTTTTAATGACTCTTTTTTTTAAGTATGAGAAACATATATATAATTTGTCTGTTTCTTCTTATATTGAGACAGCCAATAGTAATTAAGGCATAAGCTTACTATACGATAAAGATCAACAAAGCTGGTGCTAAAAAGTGGACAACACTGCAACCATAAATGAGAGTATTGGGTAGGCCAGTACGGCATTATTTACTTTTAACTTAATAGGTAATCAAGTTTTAACATTCTTTTTAAAAGATACTGAGTATTAAGGGTTAATATCACAAAGGATTTTTCTTAGCTGTTAAGGGAATAATTAGAGTAGATGAACACTAAAGTCTCTCCCATTCAAAAGTATCTAAATTCTTTAATTTCCTGCTTCAGAAGACAGTTTAAAAAATTCTAGTGTCCAATTTCTTTTCCTTTCACAGTAGAACTTACAGGTTTCTCAGGAAACTATCAAAAGTTTTCTACAGTCCTAGCTGGTTTTCCTCAGTTAGAGAGTCGGCCCATGGACTGAGTTGAATGGTCACAGGTTCAATTCCAGTCAACGACATGTACCTTAGGTTGCAGGCTCAATCCCCGGCCTGATTGAGGCATGTAAGGGAAGCAACCAATTGATGTCTCTCTCTCACACTGATGTTTCTCTCTCTGTCTCCCCCCTTTCCTTCCACTCTCTCTAAAAAAACAACGAAACAAAACCCAAAACTATAGGAAAAATACAACTTGGGTGAAGATCAACAATAACAACAAGAAATCTACATTTATAAGGTGGGGGGAAAGAAATTGAAAGAATTAAGGCTAGAAACATTTCTTTCCATAACATGTCTGTACATTTTTAAATCACAGGCCTGACTAGCATGGCTGAATCCACTTCCAAAGATTATATGAAAATTAATCAAATGAACCCTCCCTAAATATTACAACACAGTTAATTTCCACATACCTGGCTTCATAACTGCAAGATGCAATTTCAGCCTTTGACAAAACAGAATCGATTCCATTAATGTGTTCAGAATCTTGATTCTCCCACAGTGATGAATCTGGTATACCTGCTTTAAAAACAATAAAATTTAATGATTATATGTTAAAAACTGATTTTCCTTAACTTCCATTCAAGAAGTATATTTTCCATTCATTTCTTATACAAATAAATTATAAATAAAAAATAAATGTATATATAAGTTGAATAAATACCAAATATAGTTTATCTCCATTAGTATTTATCTTATTTAATAAAAGGAAATCTGTAATTCTAAAATGGTTTGTTTCCATTAAGTTTTCTACTAGCAATCAGAAAAAACACGGAGAAGTGGAAAGTATTTTGTTTTAATAATACTATGTAAAAAATGATCAAAAGCTAAATATGAAATATCCTATAAACCCAGTCTCTGGGATAGACAAGGATGAAAAGTGACCAGGATGATGAACCCCTCCTATAGCCTCAGAGGATTAAGCAGCGCTGTCTCTCAGGGGAAACAGTGAAGGGAAAATATAAACCTCTCTATATGTTGTTTGCTGTTTCCTAAAAGAACTAACTGCAATACTCACAGCTAATTAACAACATGTTCAACAAAGATCAAATTCCTACAAGTCATTTAATCAAATAATAATTTAGTAGGTCATATACCATCAAGAAATTTCATCCTAAACTTTAGACTTTTCTTTTGAACATGTCAGGAAAAAGAGCTACATATTTCAGAAAATTCGACTTTTGATTAACAATGCAGGTTCAAATTAGTAAACAGAAAGTGTGGTCAGAATACCAACTGCTTAATGGAAGACAACTCTAGCCTAAATAGTACAGCTCACCAGTATCTCTTCCTATCCAAACTGCCAGCTTCACACACGAGTTAGGAGTCTGTGAACTAAGGACACTTCACTTCCTGTGGACCACCTTCAGCCTCCCTCATAACTGAGAAGCAGATGAAAACACAGCTTCAGTTGCAGTCTTGCATAATGCTATAGGCTCCAAGAAGAATATGCTTTAAAAGCATAAATCTAAAAACAGTCTCAGCTATAGTTCTATTGTGAACAAAAATACCATTAGTTAGTAAAACCATATACACCACTTCAGCTAATTCTAGACAAACCTATTCTGAGTATAATGTAGCAACGCAACTCAAAACTCAGCATTTCTCTTCAACCTTTTTCAGAGACATAATTTCCACTAAAAAAATCAGCCAACTTAAAGCACTACCAGGAAAACATGGCTAGGTGTCTGGCTTTCTGGGCTAAAATAACTGTTCCTGGTTTGACTCCAACAGTCAACATCTTTTTATGAACTATGCAACCCATATAAGCATTTCTGGATTCAGCACCCATACACACAAAGCATAAATGCAAACAAAATTCTGAGGACTGGCATCTTAATGAGGTCTAATCCCACTTACATAAAAAATAAAAACAGCAGAGTATATGATTTAGAGCTATGCTTTTTGATATATTGTGACTAATATGTGTTAGAGCATGACAAATTAAGGACAGAATGCAAAACAGACTACTTCTGTAGCATCTGAGAAGACTACATAGCAGCTTTAGTAGTTCATTACTCTAAGCTGAAAATCCTTAAGAATTTCAGGATTGTGAGTATCACAGTTCAAGAGGCTACAACTAAACAACAATAACAAAAAGTTGAAGCTTGAACAGCAACAACCAGCTGCCTTTCAAACGTATAATCCATGAGTTACGCATCAAAAGTTGGGGAGTTAGATGACTTATATTTGAAGGGCTAGTTAAATAGTCTAAGATACCCGTCTTAAGAATTACAGAAACCATGCTGAGAAGAGAACAGTATCTGAGGTCCCTGTGCTCCAAGGCCCTGCCTGAGAGGCAGCGCCTGGGGTTCCCCTGGGCTGGGCTGGCTGACCTTTTCCACGTGCAGCAGAGTGCGTGGATCCCTCCACCAGCGGAGTGAGTTGCTTCAAGGGAGATTCGGGGAAATGCAGGGACACACTGTCCTCACTGGAGGGCAAAGTAGAGAACTGCTCATCAAAACTTGACAAACTAGACGGGCACATGGAGAATGTGGAGGAACGGTTGGAGAAATCAGAGGCCAGGACCCAAGTCTGTGAAAAAGAAATCGCTGAGAATAAATCTATGGCTAGTACGAATTTTAAAACTGTTGTTCTTTAGAATGAACACTGAAGTTGTTGAAAGGACAGGAAACATCTGCATCATGGAATCCCAGGAGGGATAAAAAGGCCCAACCATGATATCTTTGGTATAAAGGGATTCCTGATAATGAGGGTCATCAATGAGAAGTGTCACCGCTGAGCATCGCTCAGGAGGCAGCTAACCAAAGGAAGCCACGATGGAGAGTCCTGTGTACACTGTCTGTTAGACAAGAGTTTCTGAATATGACCAATAAGAAAATAAAGCTTTTACAAAGAGCTAAAGATGCTACTTATACTCTGCCTAGACATAAAAGTCAAAACATTAGAAATGAATTTGTTTTTAAGGTTAGTGCGCAGAAGCCAAAGAATCTCATTCCTAATTTTATCCTCAAAATTTTATAATTTAGTATCATATCTAATAAGGACCCAGAGAAAGATAGGAAATAAAAAGTAAGGAGGAACAAAGGCATTGATAAAACAAGTTCTAAGTGCAAACTTAGTTGCAATCAAACTTTATAATAAAGGGCAACCTATCCATTTTATATGTGACAAATATTTTGATAAGCTCTTAATGGTTCGTCAAAGGGCTAACACAAAAGTGAATGACATGAAGTTAAGAGAAAGAGTATAAAGTATAAAGTATCATATTCATCTCTTTTAGTGATAAAAAATCTACTTTTGACAGTTTTCAATGGCAAGTGAAATTTCAGTATTTCTCCTAATATTTACCTTCCAGTTTACCATCCACACAAGAAGTGGAGGGATGTGAATTAGAAAAGGCCATTACAAAGTCATGAAAATCCAGTGGCTAAACTGATGAAGACCAATTGACAGTAAGTCTTATTAACAAACTGTTTATGGTCAGATCATTTGTGAATGAAAGGAAAGAGTAAGAGGACTGTCTCGGCTACTTCTAAGGAAAGCTTGCTTGACAAGGTCAAAATTCCAGATGCAGACTGTTGAAATAAGAATGCATGTGACAAACACAACAGTTTACTCACAGAAGAAACTCTGAGCGCTGAGTAACTGAGAAATGTTACTGACCAGTATGCACACAGTATTTTTTCCTTCTTTCAACATTCATTCGGTAACTTTTTATTAATGTCCAATATGTGACAAGTGTTGTGTATTTCCTTAAGCTACCTGGCTTCTAATACCACACAGAAAATACAAAAAGAAAACCACAAAACCATACTACCAATACTTAAGAAACTGCCCATATTGTCAAATTCCGCAATACAACTAAATCTCAGTATGCTCAAAATATTTGCTACCTCAAGATCTACTCATGACACTCAAAATATTAGAATCTTAAAAATTTCTGAAAAGATTTAAAGACCGATAAAAGCTTAAGGTAATCTGGAAAGTACAGACACACATGAAGCATAAAGATGTATGTACCTACAATTATTTTCCTTTATACCTGAACTATATAAACAGATGAACACAACCAACAAAAAGACTAATAAAAATAAATAAATAAAAGGCCTTAGTGATGTCAACTAGCCTTCCTGTGGCCTTAATTTCATTGAGATCATTGCTAAAACAAACCCTAGGTCTCATAACTGAAAATTTAGGGACCTGAAAGAATTGGGACGAAACTGAACTGAACACTTTCTGACTGCTTTCTGATGAGCATTTTTCTGACAAAAATTTTTTTTTCTGACAAACTAAAAGATTATTTGGCTTTACAAACATCGGTGAAGAAACTGATTAATGTTAAAGAATTTAATTTCTAAACAAATATTTCTCAGGGAATATACTCAAGGAGGAAAAAAACCCCACAGGAAAATATTAATAGTATTTCGATAAGTTTATGATTTTTATTTTATTAATAGCCAACATTTAAAAGCCACAGAGACAAGAAAATATTCTCAATGAAATAGGTTCAACAAAGATATGAGGAATGATTGCTGGTATTTATCTTCTTATTCTAGTAATCTGAAGTCCTACTCTATATTATTCCACTGCCTCATACAAATCTGTAGTAGCATAAACTTTAGCGTCTTTACTGTAATCAGTGATCAAACAACTAGCAATGAACTTGCGAGTGTAGAGGCTTCCACAAAATATTGCCCATGATTTTTAACCTCAGTCTAAATTTATACAAAGCAAACTAATAATCACAACTTTTAAAAACATTTTCACTCTCTGTCCCAGGAAAATATCATCATCCAATTCAACCAGGCAAAACTATAAACCAGTCGTAGATATTATTACATTTTAATTTTGCTTTAAGGTATCACTGACACCTTAGAACACCTGAATGAAAAAGCTAATTCAACTGCTTTTGTTGCTGTAACGACAATACCAACAGCAAAAGCCCGAAGTCTTCAACAGGAGCACTGTGACTTCAAAGAGAGCTCATGATCTGTACCTGCTCTGCCTTTTAGGATTTTATTCTGGTAGTACTGCCACTCCAGCTGGGGGTTAGCTCCTGGACGCAGAGGTGCCTTCCCTGTGCCTCTGTTACTTGTTACAGCCACGGGTTTTCCTGTGAGGAAAAGGATAAAATTATTTTAAAAATCTAAGTACAGGGAAGTTTAGAACACTAACAATATGTAAAGGAAAAGTTTTCAAAAGATTTTAAAAACATGACATTTTTTTCTTTAGCTTTAGTTAGGCATTAATCTATAATATTATTATCTTTGAATATTATCAATCACCATGTACAAATCATTTAAGTTTCTCAGCACACCCCAGAAAAGTAAACCACTGACAATTTGGATGCATTTATGCAACTTTGAAACAACATTAGCATCTAGCTTTCCAAGGTTTTTGTTTGTTTTTTACAGTTGGAAACGGGCAACTCAGATCCTAGATTCCGAGGGGCTAAGGAGAGAAGGAACTAAGAGATTTTTAATATTTCTGGTATCAGAAAAGTAGAGTAGTATCTAAACAAACCGTCCAATTTTACAGCAAGAGACACAACATATATGCAGAGGAATCACAACCTTACCTACTCTTTAATCAAATGTTGAGAATATAATCCTATTTTGGTTTATTTATAAAAATGATTCAGTATCATTTCCTTGTATATGTGTGTTGTTACAAGATAACCATAACTTCTAAAGCTACAGAATATTTTACTGAATGCATTTGTTGTGGGAATATTAAATAATAAAAAAGTCACTAATGGGATAAATCAAATTTTTTTTAACACTGAAATACTCCTTTCAGAGGTGAAGCAGCAACTTGTGACAAAAATAAAGCTCTGGAATCAATCCCAATAGCTCTGTGCTGTCCATACGGGAAGAAGCGATTCTCCGAAGAAAATGCTACGTCTCTCAGACACAGATAAAACCACTGAAAAATCCAGAATAAGTATATTATAAAGTACAGGATAGCTAACAAATATTTGAAATTCCATTAAAATAATGACAACATATTTTAGTGCTACTCAGTAACACAAAATTAAAATATAAAGTTGGAATGTTCACTTGTACAGAATAGTATTTATTCAAAAGGAAGCATAGTGACCCAAGTCATAAAGACATATGCTACCATAAAAATTCCCATTTACTAACAAAGTAATAGTAAATATAAATAAAAATAGGGAAAATGCCCAATGCAGGTCCCTGCCTACATTAGCCTAAGATGACAGAGCCTTCAGTTGAAGAGGTCTTCCCTAAAAAAAGTTACTATTGTTCTTAGTAATGGAATCCAGAAAATTTAGAAGCAGGAATGGATTCTGCGAAGGAAAATTATAAATACTTCTAAAAAAATATTTTGTGGCCCAGGATGGCTGAGCGTCGACCTATTAGGTCTAGTAATAATTAATGTCGTTTTCTAATACTTTTTTAAATCGAATTTATTTAAACAATACAACAAAATTTAATCAACAATATAGTTGCCATTGTTTTCTACTACTTGTGCCCAACGCTCAGGAAGCATTTTAATCCCTCTGTTGTAAAATTCTTGTGATTTTGATGCAAAAAATTCGGTCAATGCATTTTTGAGGCATTCTTCATTATTAAATTTTTTTCCAAGAAGAAAGTTTTGCAAAGAACGAAACAAATGGTAATCGGAAGGGGCAATATCAGGAGAATATGCAGGTTGAGGGAGAACTTCCCATTCCAACTGGCGCAGTTTTTCAGCAGTGATTCTTGCAGTATGCGGTCGTGCATTATCGTGGTGAAGAATTACGCCCTTCCGATTAATCAGCGCGGGTTCTTTTCCTCTTAAAGCTTGGGCTAACCTTTCCAATTGGGCACTAGACACTGCACTTGTAATGGTGTGGTTAGATGGTAAAAGTTCATAATGAAGAATTCCTTTAAAATTCCACCAAACACACAACATCACTTTTTTCGCATGCAAGTCAGGTTTTGGCGTGGGCTGCGGAGCCTCATTTTTGTCCAACCATTGAGGCCGCCTTTTCAAATTAACATACAGCACCCATTTTTCATCTTCGGTAACAATTTTCTCTAAAAACGGCAAACGGTTTTGACGAGAGAGGAGCGAACTGCAAATTGTGACTCTTTGATTACGGTTGTTGTCGGTCAACTCATGAGGAACCCATTTTCCAAACTTTTGGACTTTGCCAAGTGCACGCAATTGATTGGAAATTGTTTTTTGTGAACAATTTAAAGTTGTCGTAAGCTCTTGTTGGGTAATTTGAGGATTTTGCACCAAAAGAGCTTGAAGAGCTTCTTGATCAAAATTGGACACATGGCTCGACCACTCTTGGCATCTAACGAAAAATTTCCCTCGCGAAATTTCTTAAACCAATGCTGGCATTTTCTGGCGCTAACTGCATCTTGACCAAGAGCACTACAGATGTTTTTTGCAGCCTCACTTGCTTTTCTTCCTAATTGGAACTCGTAAAGCATGCAGTGCCGAATACGCTCTTCATCCGCCATCTTCTTAGCCCTAGTTTTGCAACAAAAACCAAACCAAACACAAACTTTTTCAAGCAAAACTTGTTAATTGCACTTCACACGTTCTGTAGATACCACGTGTTTGAAGGTTATGTCAATACAAGTCAACGCCAAGCAAGATTTTAAACGAATGTTTCAAAACGACATTAATTATTACTAGACCCGATATAAACCAGGAAAGAGGTCATAGTTCCATTCCCGGTTAGGGCACATGCCCAGGCTGCAAGCTCAATCCCTAGTGGGATTGTGTGCAGGAGGCAGCTGATCAATGATTCTCTCTCATCGGTGATATTTCTATTTCTCTCTCCCTCTCCCTTACTCTCTGAAATCAATAAAAATATATTTAAAAATATATATTTTGTGATGCTTAGAATATATATTTATTTATAATAACATATGAAGTTTCTGAAAACATAAAAAAGAATACAGACCTTTGAGATCTGGCCTATTTCGTATACCCACTGATACAAAGAAGCAATCCATATCAACATGCATTATACAGCTCTGATGTCTGGGTGAACTCAATACTGACATATTTCCTAGAAGGAAAAAGAGAATGTTCAAAACCCAAATTAATTTTTAATATAAAAATAACAGGTCTAGTTAATTTTACATGTTATATTTTTAAATGCTTACAAGTAGAAGTTTTAAAAAAATATATAGAATCTATTATAGATTATTTCTATCATCTCAAGAAAAGGCAAATTTCAGTTTCTTTAGCTCTAAAAGTAATTCAGATACAGACTGAGCTTACCAATAATTAAAATCAATTGTGAAAATATCATTTCCCCTTCTAGGCTATATTCTAATAAAGTCTCAAATTAACAGTTTGTCTAAATGCTTAACATTTCTGTGTGCTATTTTATAAAAATGTATAAAAGTGCTTTCATATATTTAGTTACATAGAGCTAAATAACTTTAATGAACACTAATGCATGTAGCCTACAAACATTCTTTAATAAAATAAAAATTGCTATTATTGAGTGCTTGGGTAGGTGTCAACCACTGTTGTAGGTTTACATGTGAGAATTTCAACACTACAACAGGCAATTTTATTATCCTTATTTTACAGAAAATAAATTGCTTATTAAGTCACATAGCCAGTAGGAGACTGAGCTGGCATTCAATCCCAAGCAGTCTGATTTCAGAGCCCTCAAGCCACGATAAAGTTGTTCTAAACAGACATACTTAAAAAAAATAACTTAAGCAAAATCTACGAATAAATTCTCCTCATGCATTTAAACCATATTAAAAGTCAGCTCTAACGCTTACATGAGTGTTCTCTCCTCATGTCTCTGGCTTCTAATCATCCAGAGCAACAGAGAGACCATCGGAGTTAGTTTAACTCTCATCCAGCCACAACCAGAGCTTCCCTCCACACCAGTCTCACCCTACCCTTCCCCCTAGCCCTGTAGATGGACAGCCTTGGAAATATGACCCTTGAGCTTGAATAAAGGAGTTTTCCTCTGGTAGATTTAAGGTTTACTGAAGGTTCCTCTTCACAACAGGCTTCCGTAAACTTACATCTACTGGCCAGATGTTCAGGCCACTCCAGTTACGAAATTCTGACTGCAAAGCATTTACCTAGCTCTATATGCAAGGCATTGAGCCTTTGTTCACGTTATTTTCCTTAGGTCCCTAACCCCAGCAGGTGAGCATGATGGAGCAGCACTCCACTGCAGAGAGGAAACTGAGACTCAGAGAGGGGAACTGATGTGCCCATGGTCTTGCTTCGTGTAAGAGAGTCAGGGTTTGCGTCAGAGTATGTTATCTAACTCCAAAGCCACGCAATTCCTTGCTGCCCTCTATATTACCTTCAAAATTGATTTATACATCTTAACAATATTAATTCTGCTGCATTAAAGTATTATATAAACAATGTAAACAACCCAAAATGGCTTTAAATATTCAAGTAGTACAGAATGCATATATCAAATACCTATTGAGTACTTTCATACAAAATCTCCCATTTTATTCCCATTCAATGGAACTAATTCATATGAATTCTTTGAAGCTTTCAAAATTAAATGACCTTTAGGTTACAAGGCCAAGTCATGATGTCAAGATAATCTAATACCTATAACAATATTCTGCAATATTTTAGAAATAACGAAAAGCATTTAAGAAAACATCAACCAGCAAAACACAATAAAAAGAGTTCCCTCACTTTCTAGGGCAGAACCATGAGCTTCTCTCTGTACCTCAGTTTCCACAGCTAGAAATTAAAGGGAAATAGCAGATGTTCTCAGAGATCCCTGGGGGACAGGGAGATGTATAATCTGTAAAAAGCAACTAAAACTCAAACCAGATACTAATTTATAATAAATGGTACAGAAATACAGCTTGTTATTTTTGGTTTTGATAAATAAATAAAAAACAATTAATCAATCTACTTATATGTGAAAATACTTAATCCTTCTAAAAGTTCACCACTGCAATTATAACAACTATGCCAAAGTTATTTAATTATTTAAAAATCATTATGATGCAAGCCTTTAGAAATTAACAGTTACTCTTACCAAACCAATTCATTCTTACAGGACTTTAAGCACTGAATATAATATATTATATTTTACATAGTTCAAAACTTAAACAACTGGTAAGGCCTACAGGACGAATGAATGTTGAAAACCTTGTTAGTATTTAAATTAGCTAGAAAGTATCAGCCACACTAAAACGTAATTTTATAAAAAATATTCCAATAAATAAGCTTTCTATAATGTTATTCTTTCTATAAACTATTTAACTTGATGTTGCCAAAGACTTTTAAGCTTAGTATTGCTCAGAATACCAATGATAGCTTAAGAATAAAATGATCAAGCAAAGCTGTTTATTAAGAAAACAATTTTAGTATCTACCTGTGTCAGTTACAACAAGGGCAGACCTGCCTGTTTTCATTTTTTTTAACTTTTCCCTTCCTGGGAAGATACCATTACTTTGTCTTTGTAGGCTATTGACAAACTCAGTCAGTTCACACTTCCACATTGATATGTGATGCAGTCTTGAACGAGAATAGAAGTCTGAAATAAAACTGCAGTCTGAGGGTCTGGAGGGCACTGAAGGTGCTGCCTTGCTAAGAGTAGGTCCTGAAGTGCTTTTTGTGCTTGAAGGCCCCTGAACAGTGGAGTAGTGAGCACCATTTACTTTAGTGTTAGTGTGCAAAGATGAGAACGAGAAGGAATTAGTTCTGTGTGGATTCCGCACGGCATCTGTGTTCCTGGTGCTTTGTTGCGACAGCTGCACGCTGCAGTCTCTGAAGTCAGTGCTGCTATTCTCAGCCTCCTCCTCCCTCTGGGCAGAGTCTGGGGAAAGCCTGCTGGCAGCACTGGTGCCCACGGGCACCCAGCAGTCCTGTGTCTTTAAGGCACCATTAGAGCCCTGAGAGTGGCCATTGAAAATGGCAGGGCTGTCTCTGGGAGGCGGAATCCCGTTTTGTCTCCTTTCTGGAAGGATCTGCTCCAGCTCCGCAAAACTAAAATCACTACTTGCATCTTCTTCATTCCAACTGTTCATCCCATTGGCTTTGATTTCTTTTTCTGTCTCAAGCTTCTTAATTACGTGATTTCTAAAGCAGGGAAAAAGTGTTCTTAAATTAATAATGTCTTACTTTCAAACTAAAATAATTTTTCACTTAAACATTGTCTTGGTAATACACACTTTGATATCCTCTATCCCCCCAAAACTGAAAAATTAAGCCACAAGTTTTATATTCTTTTTCTTCCAACAAAAATTTTGCTAAACCGAAATAGCAAGATAACTAGGAAAACTCTAGAACATTCACAGCCTCTTAGTTTTTATTAAGCTTCAGACACCACCAGACATACAATTGCACCTTATAAGGTTAAGAAAAATCCAAAAAATATTTTCAACTACTCTTCCTACCAAATATTAATTGGAATATGTAAGCTCTAAATTATACCCAGTTTGTCTGGCATATACAAGGCAGTCAATAAATATTTCCGGAATTATTGCAATATGAATAACTCCCATAAAATAGGTAAGAAAGTTCAAGTTCTTAATTTCTACTTTTAATTTCAGTTTTATGTAAGGCATTTTTTAGCACATTAAATCTAGTATGCCACAACACTGAGGCCAGTATTAGTTTCACTGAGGACAACTGACAACCCATATTCATTAATCCATTAATGGGGCCAACTGTTATACAAATGGATAAAAAAGAAAGAACCAGGTCAATGTGCATAGCTCAGTAAGATTTGTACCTAGAAAAATGAGGACACTTGCCCTAGTAATGAGGAAAATGGCACTTCATTTATAAAAAAGCGTATTTAAATACCAAGGTGGTCCAAAATAATCTGGACCAAGTCTCCTGAAAACAAGTTTATAAATGTAGGACCAATGGCAATTGTTATGCTAAATTTACTTTAATGTTTGCCTGGTAATGCTCTATAATAAAGACAAAATTCATCTGCATTCAAGAATCACCTAAGTAACTAAAGCAAAAAACGAATTATGGAGCAAATAATTCATTTTTAGAAACAACCAAAGTGTTAATCTAATTACATTTCAAACTTCAGATGAGGGTGCCGTAGTCATAGCTCAGATTACCACAGTATTATCAGGTTTAATCTTAAGTCCCTCATTCTAATACTAACATGATATATCAGTAATGACAGTCTGAATACACAGAAAAGCCACATGCATGAGAACATTACCACCCATTTCTGGGTTGGCTCAGGCTCAGGCTGATCATCTCATGGAATAGGACAGCCAACTCTGAGTAGGTCCAATCCTCACAAGTGATCACACCAGTGGCAAGGGGAAAAGAAAACCAACTGAAAACAATTAAAAGAGGGAGGAAAGGAAACCTAATTTGTTACATGTCAGAGAAAGTCTGTCTTTGAAATAAAGAGAAAGCTATTGAGCAAAACACAAAAGAATTACAAAGAAATTTGTAAAATGTACTGAACATACCGAAAAACAAAGATTATAGTAACAAAAAGTGAAGTTAGAAGTCTTAACATCTATTTTTCTATCACAAATAAGATTCTTCACATGTTTACTAACAACACATGCAACAAAAATGCATATATTAGCAGAAAACACCTTGCAAATACACATTCTTTTTGTTTTTCAGTCTAGACAATGGATATTTACAAAGCAGCTATACAGGAAATGTAAAATCAGTAAACATACATTTACTATGCAATAGTGTAAAAGTATTAAGAAATAAAATCTAATAGGTAAATTTTCCCTAAAATTGACACAGGAATTTAAAAAAGTACATATAGTCCCCCTTATCTGCAGTTTCCTGTCCTGCAATCGGCTGTAGTCTGAAAATATTAGATATAAAATTCCAGAAAGAAACAATTTGTAAGTTTTAAATTGTGCGCCTTCCTGAGTAGCCTCGTTACAAAGGCATTTCATCATCTCCTATCATAAGGGCGCATACAGTACAATACGTTATTTTAGAGACTTTATTCATTTAATTTTTACTACGTATTATTTTAACTGTTCTATTTTACTTTGTTATTATTGTCAATCTCTTACTGTGCCTAATTTATAAATTACATTTTGTCATAGGTGTGTATGCATAGGAAAAAACACTGTATATATAGTATTTGTGCTATCCAGGTTTCAGTCATCTACTGGGGTCTTGGAACATAATCTCCTGTGCATAGGGGGAACTACTGTATCTATTTTCCTACTTTTATTAGTGTGAGAAAAAAATACGAAGTTATGTATTCAAATGTTTTCTGGTATGACTTGTACATTAAAAGTTTTAGGTAACGTGAAAACACCTGAATATGTTTATAAATGAATACAAATGAAATAACAACAAAACTACAGAAGGCAGTGATATTGGATACTCCCAGTTTAGATTCCTGGTCTTTGAGAAAAGATATATCCAATTCCCAAAGCAAGCAACTTAATAACAAAGAAGGCTGATGATAATAATGAACCACCTAATATACAAGTTAAGGTAACACAGCAATTAATTTAAAATCAACTCACCCAGGATTATTGCAATTAAAGCTTAAACAAGTATATGTTTAAAAATCAGTCACATGGAATAAACTCTAGATTCACCTCTAACTCTATAACATTAAGGGTCACCAACTAAATTTTTATTAATATCAAATACTTACATATTTAGAATTGTTATGAATTTGGAATTTTTCAAAAATAACCTGGAAATATTAACATTTTTGTTATTTGACTTTCTACGCATGCCATATAACAAAAGTATAGTTGGCACAGTTAATTCAGTTTTTGAGAAAGCAACATTCTTAGCAAATTTCTTTTATGGAAATAATTACTATTAGAAAAACCTATAGAAAATTTTACCTACTGATTTAAGATCCATTAGTTTAACATAGGAATTTATAAAGACTGAAAAACCTTCCCTGTTTACATTTTATTTATGAAACTTTCATGATAAAAACTATTTTTTGGTAAGACACCCACACACCTATTTCCGCATGTGTAGCACAGCTGAATGGCCAGGTTATATTAGCTATTTCTATCTGCAGCAGAGCAGGAACCATACCCAGTGCTAAAAGCAAGCCTTGCAGCATTTACCACCTAGACAAACTTACACCCTGTTGTTGAGCTGTTTGGCTCCATTGCTTGGACCAGGCGCCAGGTCCTCAGGTTTGCAGACAGGGTTGAAGTTGAGACTTTTCTGCACAGGTGACTGCTTGCTGTACAGCTGATAGGGAATGTAGGACAGGAGCCGTCCAGCTTTGATGCTGCAACAAAAAGTAACAGCAACGTAAGAATTCAATACTTGGGGGAAATGAGCCTTCCAGGAAAAAGCAATGTTCTTAATGATGAGAGTATTTCACTAGCAAGTCATCTTTCCTATTAGCCCTCTCTCTCTGTCTTTGCGATTCTAATATACTAGTACTTTAAAGAATGACATTCCACCCATGAAAAGACACACATCTGAGATCTTAAAAATCAGTAGCCAACAATCCTACAGGCAAAAACAAACTACAGAGTAAGATGAGAAAAGCACGGAGTTGGACTAGCTAATATTTTTATCCTGACTTTAATATTGACCAGTTTCCCCTCAAATAACGTACAATCATCAACACCTTCTCAAATCCCATCTTGCATATTAAGTTTTCCCAGAATAAGTAAAATAGGTAAGGAATCCCAATTTCCATAATTCATGCTAGGTCTATTAAATGTGAAAATTTCTAAAATAGCCCTGGCCGGCATGGTTCAGTGGTTAGAGTATTAGCCTACGCACCACGGCTCTCCAGGTACCTGCGTTTGCAGGTTTGATTCCTGCCTCCAGGTGGACATGTGCAGGAGGCAGTCTATCCATGTGTCTTTCCTCACACTGACGTCCCATTCCTTCCCACCCATGCCCTTCCCCAAACCTCTCCCTTCCATTCTCTCTAAAAAAAAAAAATAATAATAGAAAAAATATTCTTTCTGTGGGTAAGGATAAAAAAAAAGAGACAAAATGAAGGACCAAAACTTTAAGAGTAATAAACTATTTTAATGGAAGAGTGACATTTGAGGATATGAACTCTATGAGGGCAGAAGCTATTGCAATAACATCTTCCAAATGTTTATTACCTGCTAAACATAACCAGTAAAAACCAGAGTGACACCAGTATTATTAAAATACTAGGTAGTACTAGCACATTAACACTCCCAAACAACTATTGTTTTGTTCTGCAGAACTAAAACTAATTTGATTGCTGTCTTAATCTGATTTTTGCTTTCTAATAAATTAAGTTATATATGGTTATTATACCATTAAAATAGCCAACCAATATACTATGCTTATGCTAACATCCAATTTTTACAAAAGGCTCTTTAAATATCAGAAAATGTTTCCAAAAACATGTCTGACTTTAAACCTAAAATGAATAGTAAGAAAATAATATTTTAATTATTTAGGAAAAATTAATAAGTAACAGACTAAATATACTTTATTATGTCATAGATCCAAGAGCTTGACATTTAATTTTCTCAAAGGACACTACAAAACATGTAAGAAATGACTAAATTACCTAATAAAAAAATAATTTAAAATACTGAGTCAACTCTGAACATAGGAAAAGTGATGATATATGCCAAAAATGGAACTGTAAAATGTTAGTCTATATGTCCTTTATGTAATTATATCAATAATAGAGGCCTGGTGCATGAAATATGTGCATGGGGGTTGGGGGAGGTGTCCCTCAGCCCAGCCTGCATCCTCTCCAATCTGAGATCCCTCTCACAATCCAGGACTGCTGGCTGCCAACCGCTTGCTTGCTTGCCTGCCTGCCTGATTGCCCCTAACCGTTTCTGCTTGCCAGCCTGATCACCCCCTAACCATTCCCCTGCCAGCCTGATTGACACCTAACTGCTTCCCTGCCGGCCCGATTGCCCTTAACTGCCCTCCCCTGCCATCCTGGTCGTCTCTAATTGCCTTCCCTTGCAGGCCTGGTCACCCCCAGCTGCCCTCCCCTGCAGGCCTGGTTCTCCCCAACTGCCCTCCCCTGCAGGCTTAGTCCCCCCCCAACTGCCCTCCAATGAAGGCTTGGTAGTCCTCCATAACCCCCCACCGGGCAGGCCTGGTTACCCACAACTACCATCCCCTGCAATTCTGAGTTCCCTCCCTGTCCTTCTCTGCAGGCCTGGTTGTTCCCAAACTGTCCTCCCTTGTAGGCCTGGTCCCTCCCAATTTCCCTCCCCTGCTGGCCTGATCACCCACAACTGCCCTCCCCTGCTGGCCATCTTGTGACGGCCATCTTATGTCCACATGGGGGAAGCCATCTTTGACCACATGGGAGTGGCTATCTTGTGTGTTGGAGTGACCGCCAATTTGCATATTACTCTTTTATTAGATAGAATGAATTTAGTAATTCTACCTAAAGCACCTACTGTATCCAAATGCTATAAGGTCTACATTATGATGTCAAAAAACATACCAGTGACATTTCAATTTTCACTTACCTAAATACTTATTATCAGGCTAAGTTACTTTTATTTTATTTTTAAATTTACTTTTATCAAGTTTAAAGATTTCAATTGAATATCAGAATCAAAATCCTAAAATTAGATCATTTATTAAATATTTTTATAAGCTAAGGTTTATATTGTTTTATTTTATAAATCTTAATTGTTGAAAGTATTACATATGTCCTGCTTTCCCTCCCCATTATTTACTATTGTTTATCAAACTTTTTTTCTTCCTTTAACAGTTGGTCTCAACTGCCTATGGATGCTCTTCTTATGGTATTATGTATTTCACCTGCTTCCCCCACGTCAGATGCAGAGGCAGTTAATATGTGCCACAGAATCCTAACCTTAGCCTCCAACTTTTAATTACATATAGCTGAGCCACATCAGCCAGGCTTCTTTGAGGAGCCTTAATTCTTTTTTTTTTTTTTTTTTTTTTTTTTTTTTAATTTGAGGAGTCTTAATTCTTGCCCAGCCTCACTGAAGTTATATCTAAAACAGAACTTTGTATCTAACAGTTCTCAAAATCATTTACTATTTCTGTTAACTGAGAATGACTTTACACTGACAGTTATAACCAGATTTGGGAAAATTTTACAAAAATTAATATACAACAAAATCATCACTACACTATTAATAATTGCTATTCTGAACTTTTTCTTCTAGCTTATAGTATCAGCACTTTATATGAAACACTTCTGCACATCAAAAGTGTTTATGGTTCCAGTCAATCTCTCGGTTATCCTGTATTACAGAAATGGTATCTAACACTGGTCTACATGGATTCAGGCTTCTGTCTTCTTCCTTACTCAAAAGTGGATTTAAGGCAAGAAAGGGTCTACTGATATGCTGAGGAAAAACTGAGCTGTTTTTGCCCATTCCACCATTAAGCAAAAATCATCTTTATGCACCAAAATTAACATTCCTTTTGCCCCACCCCACTATCTAAACTTCCCAACCACTCACTAAGACACTATGAGCTAAGAAAAGGAAATAAACAGGTATAAAAATATGTGTAAGATTCCTTGCCCTTACACACATACTGAAAGTTAGGCTATTCATTTTTTTGGGTGGGGAAGGAGGAAGCTAATAATTTTTTAGCTCATAAAGACAGAGAACTAATTTTCTAATAAAATGTTACCTACAACAAGTCAGTGGGGTGTAGTCTAAAATATGTGTGTTGGTTAGTTAGATAAAAATATTATTAGAAGAATTCTGTAGTGCTATGTGAGAAAAATGTAATGACACCAAGATTAAATTTTTTAAAAAGTCAAATCTACACCAGAAACTGGAGTCATGCACATTTTCTTTAAAGAATAAATTGAAGCAAGACACAAAATCACAAGGAAAATGAAAAAAGTCATGAGATAAGGTTGCAATCAAGTTTTAGTTGAGTTTAAATAAGCACTCTGACACATTGAATATAATTAGAAACAGAGTTTTAGCCCATATGAAGTATGAGATCTTCGGAGTCTCTGAGTATATGACAAATGGGCTAACGTATTAGAATTTGAGAGCTTAAAAAGAAAGGACAAACTCCCACCAGAAGACCCAGTGAGTGGCATGAACTGGACAATGGAGACCACACTCTCCACTCATAGCAGAGCCATGAGACCTAACCACAGGAGGGGCAGCTTCCCAGGCTAAAAACACTGAGACAGTGAGCACAACAAAAACTACAGTGGCCTGCCATTAGGACAATGCTTTTAAACTGCGTTCCATGGGTCTCACTGCTTAGTGAGGAGCGGGGTGGATCACAGCAGCTTCTTGTTAACTATTCCAAACTTCAAATCTCAATATAAAACTTCTGAAGAAAAAAGAATAGGCAAAAATTTGAAAATCACTGACTTAGACTATAAGCAAGTGTAGGATTTTCTAGGCAGAGGGTTCACAGCTCACACACACGCACACAGGTGTCTCCTTACAGGATCCTCCTGCCCCTTAGCAGTCCTGGCCTATAATCATGTGCACGTTCACTGACTCAGGTTGCATGGCACAGACACAGACACCAGGGAATTCTAATCAAAGCCCAGTAGTCACCCACACACTTAGAAGTGGTAACTGCTATTTAAACTGCCCAAACTAAAAACAAGAAAGCTAATTATACAAGAGAATATCATGTATCATCCACTAAGTAGCTAATACAATGTTTAAAAGTTTAAGTATAACAAAACATCATTAAAACACCACTGAGGAGTAGCCCTGGCTGAGTAGTTCAGTTAATTAGTGTGTCATCTAATACACCTAAGTTGAGGGTTCAATTCCCGGTCAGGGCACATATAAGCTACAAGAAACAACCAATGAGTGCTTAAATAAGTGGAACAACAAAACGATGTTTCCTTCCCTCCCTCCCTCATCCCTCTCTCTAAAGACAATAAAATAAAATAAATATGCCAACACTGAGGAAGGGAAGAAATCAACAAGATTGGGATTAGAGTGTAAAAAGAAACAGTAATGTGCTTTAAGACACAATAGACACTGATATTTATTTTATATATTATTTTATATATTAAGATATGTGCCTAGACTGATCTATTTGCACATGGACCAATTCACCTACAACAAGCTTAATTAAATGGCAGAGCAGACACAACAGGAGTCTGCTGGACTGAATCCTGCTGTTTTTAGGCAAAGTAGTTAACCTTATTAGCCCTGCCTTCTCATATATAAAATGAAGCAAACACGTCCTAGACAGTGGCTCAATGGTTAGAGCATTGACCTGAGTATGGAAAGATTAAGGGCACATACCTCGGTTGTGGGCTCGATTCCTGGCCCAGTCAGGGCAAGCTCAGTAGGCAACCAGTTGATGTCTGTCTGTCTGTCTCTCTCTCTCTCTCTCTCTCTCTCACATTGATGTTTCTCTCTGTTTCTCACCATACATTCCACTCTCTCTAAAAACCAATGGAAAAAATATCCCAGGATGAGGATTACCAAAAATAAAATTTAAAAAAAAAAAAAAAAAAAAAAAAAACAGGCCACATAATCATGGTATCCAAAGTCACTTTAATCATTTATCAAGAGATGATCAGGCTTGACTTCAAACTGAAATGCTATCCATTAAAGTGAATTTTAAAACTTACAAGGGCCACACTTTTTCTGTTTTATTACTGCTAGCTGCATTCAGGGCAAGAAAGAGCAGGTATAAATAAAACAGCAGTCATAAAACTCACCTTTTTCTCAGCAAATCAAGTCCTACCTGTTAAGAGCCCTTTTCACTTCCTCTCTTACTGTCCATGGAGCTATCCCATACCCTCCAAAGCCAAACCAAATATCCCCAGATCAAAATTCTAGCCCTAGCACAAGGAGAGGACTGGAATGTCTGTATGCAACAACATACACCTGATTCTGGAACGATTCTAACTTCTTATACTGAAAATGTCACAATTCCTTTTTGAAACACACAGCTAAAGGCCATGTTCACTGACCTTCTATAATGAACTGACACTGACTAAGTCATTGAGAACAAAGCACAAAGAACCGGTGAGATGTTACAGGAATCCTCAAAGATTGAAAAAATGCTTAATTTATAAAATACACTTGGCTTTCTGGAAGCACTTTAAAAATATATATTCTTTTATTTTTTTAAATTGATTTCAGAGAGGAAGGCAGAGGGAGAGAGAAACATCAATGACAAGGAAGAATCTTTGATCAGCTGCCTCCTGCATGCCCCACATGGGAATCGAGCCCACAACCCGGGCATTTGTCCTGACTGGGTATTGCGTTGTGACTACCTGGTTCATAGGTCGATTCTCAATACTGATTATGCCACCTTGACTTAATGCACTTAAAAAAAAAAATGCTCTTTTGACTTTTTGGACTTTATTAACTAGAGGCCCGGTGCACAAAATTCGTGCTCAGGGAGGGGAGGTGTCCCTCAGTCCAGCCTGCATCCTCTCCAATTCGGGACCCCTCGAGAGTAGTAGTCACGGAGGACTATTGGCTCCTTCTCCCAATCCAGGACTTCTGGCTCCCAACTGCTCACCTGCCTGCCTTCCTGATTGCCCCTAACCACTGCCCTGCCAGCCTGATTGATGTCTAACTGCCCCCTGCCAGCCTGTTTGCCCCCAACTTCCCTCCTCTGCTGGCCTGGCCACCCCTAACTGCCCTCCCCTGCAGGGTTGATCACCTCAAATTGCCCTGCCTTGCAGGCCTGGTCACCCTCCTCTGCTGGCCATCTTGTGGTGGCCATCTTGTGTCTACATGGGTGCAGGATCTTTGACCACATGGGGCAGCTATCTTGTTCTTGTGTTGGAGTGATGGTCAATCTGCATATTACTCTTTTATTAGATAGGATAAAGGCCTGGTGCATGGGTGGGGGCCAGCTGGTTTGCCTGAAGGGTGTCCCTGATAAGAGTGGAGGTTCCCTTGGGGCTGGGCAGCCTGGGCGAGGGGCCTGTGGTGGTTTGCAGGTCAGCCACGGCCCCCAGCGACCCAAGTGGAGGCCCTGGTATCTGGGATATATTTATCTTCTGCAACTGAAACTTTGTAGCCTAGAGCGAAGCCAAGCCTTCTGCTTGCTCTGTGGTGGCAACTATTTTTGTTGTGGTTTATTCACCTTCTGTAATTGAAACTTTGTAGCCTGGAGGCCTAGGCCAGCCAGGGCAGATGGAAAGCTTGGCTTCCTCCGTTGCCGGGGGCAACCCTAGCCTGCTCTCTCCAGCTCTGTGACTACTACCATTTTTCTTGGATTTATCTTCTATAATTAAAACTTTGTATCCTTGAGTAGAGGCCTGGGTGTGTGGAAAGCTCGGCTTCCTCCATCGCCAGAGAAACCCAAGCCTCCCGCCTGCTCTCTGTGGTGACAGCATTCTTTTTGGGGGTTAATTTGCATATTACTCTTTTATTAGGTAGGATACTTGCTAATGTTTTTAGAATTAAAAAACAAACAGTTTCTCCTTATGTTACTGGAGGCAAGGTGCACAATATCCATGCACAGGAGGGGGTGTTCCTCACAACCCCAAACCCCTAGGGGAGGGTCCCTAGGCTTGGCTGGTGATCAGGGCCTATTGGGGCTTTCCTTCCCTCAGCTGCTGGCAGCTGGCCCTGCCCCCACCACTGCCACTTGCCATCTGTGCAGCGCTGCCTTCCCTCCCCCACCACCGGTCACCTCCCTCTGTGGCTGACAGGTGTGGGGTGCAACTGCTTGGCTGGCCTGGGCCACCCTCTGTGGGGGATGGCATGGCCCCCCAAACAATGGCATTGTACAGGCCTTGGTTGGCCTGTGGCGCCAGTGCGTGTCACAGCATGGTCATCTAGAAGGTCATCCGAATGGTCTTTCTGCTGTTTGGTCGTTAGGTATTTGTGCTTATTAGGCCTTTATTATACCTTTCAATGTTCTAGTTTACACAAATTATTTCTAGTTCTCATATAACCATAGCAGGCAAGTATCTGCCTTCTTTTACAAGCGGTTTCTCTAAAGTTCAGAATGACTGCAGAACTCTTCCCCAAGTCACACAAGATGACAGGCATGCAATTCCTTCCTTCAGATGTGAGCCCAGGGTGTGTCCAGAGCCCAGGCAGTGTCCAGAGCCCAGGCAAGGCTTTCCCACTATGCTATGTTGCCTCCCACTGAATCTGTGCTGCTACACCTGCAACACAAAGAAACTGAGCACAACTCAATCTGCTGAATAACTTTATCGAAAGTGTCAAAATTAGTGAAGCTTTGGATTTTCCCAAAAGCTTGAAATTGACTTTAAAAAAAAAAACACCCTAAATTTGTTTCATTTGCACTCCATAATTTAATCTGACCATTCTTTTATAGATTAACTGGAGGCCTGGTACATGAAATTCATGCACATGTGGGGTCCCTAGGCCGGGCCAGTGATCAGGACCTATTGGGGCCGTCTCACCCAGTCCCAACTGGGGCCAGACGTGGCCTGCCAGATGGGGCCTGGTGAATGGGGGTAGGGAATGAGGAGAGGGAACACGGAGGTTTGCTGGATGGGGGAGGGATCAGGGGAGGTTGGCTATGGGAGCACACTCACCTTGAGGGGGCAGCTCCTTCAGTGAGTGTCTGCCCCCTGGTGATCAGCGTGCATCATAGTGACTGGTTGAACAGTTGTTCAGTTTTAACAGTTGCTTAGGCTTTTATATATTGAGATCAGAGGCCTGATGTACGAAATTGGTGCAAGGGGCTTGGCCTCAGTTTTGGTAACTTGCCTCAGCCCTTGCAGCCCCAGCTTCATCAGGAAGGTCATTCGGCTGTCCATTATAATTAGCATTATTATGATTTATTATTATAGACAGATTATAATATATTTATAGGTAAAATTATTATTTTAATCTTTCAATTTTCATAAATCTAGCAATCACTCATATATGATATTGTTTTAAAATATAAACCACCTAAGTATGGCTCATTACCAAAAATCCAGATGATATATTTAAACTTAAGAAGTTAATATAAACAGCCATCACTGATTTACAGCACACCAATTCCAAACAAACAGGGAACACTGCCTAGCCCATAATAGGTGCATAAATATTTGCCAATGAATAGCTTGCTTAGTCAACCTTCTCCTATGACCACCTCCTTCTGCTTACCGGCTGATTGCCCCTAATTCCTAGTAGCTGAGGTTCCAAGAACATGAATGTAGTACTTTTAATAGGATGTAAATTCTAGGCCACCTGAATTATCAAAGTGAAGTTAAGAGTAAGTAGTGTTGTTTAAGACATTAATTACTTTTCACCCTTAAGGGGTAATGTATCTATAATAGAAATAAAATGTATTCCAATTTTTAAACCTTATTAAAAATTACACTTACCTTTCCACAATCCATTCCGGCCGAATTACTTTTTGCCCCTTCAATTCTTTAATTTTGGCAGTGGGAAGATTTGTGGCAATAATGTGTGTTGTTTTGGATCTGGAGTAATACACATGGTACTGGCCTCCATGCAACATCATTAGCTTTCTCAATTCCTCAGCAGAAGGATCTGTAAAGTTAATAAATATACTATGAGTTTTACATATAACTAAGTAGTGTTCTAGCTGAATAACCCCTAGAACAAGCCATTCAAAGAGTATATCACTGGTTCACTTTGTCCTTGGCTGTGTTGCCAGTAAACAAAGTTGGGAGGTAAATCACAGGTGATAAAGCTATTTGCCTTAGCACATCCTCTTCCCCTGGTTAGTAGAGACAGTCAATCAACACAAAAACATCTACTGCTAAGAGGTGCCTTGAAGAGCAAATAGGGACCAAGTAATGAATAATAGAGCAAATATTTTTAAAATTTTGATCCTATTTAGCTGTATGACCTTGATACAATATCTCTTTTTAAACTGACAAATATAAAGTTATTTATAAATCAGTTTACAGAGATTCCAATTAATTTTACAGCAGGTCCTCAAATAGCAACATTTTGTTATTGCATTAATGAGATGCCATAGGAACTGAACTTTCGTTTATATCAATCAGCCTATTGTAAAACTGGTTATGTTATATGTCATTTCACTGAAAGTCAACAGAGCCTATCAATAACTTTCAGTGATGACTTACTATAATACAATAGTCAGAAGTCCATCTTTACAGAAGATAAACACTGTAGGCTGAGAAACAGTGTATATTTTTCAACTGTTTCAAAATATTTTATTCTCAATACAACTATTAAAAATATTTTAAAACAGGTGCAACCACTGTGGAAAACAGTATGGAGTTTCCTCAAAAAACTGAAAATGGAACTCCCATTTGACCCAGTAATCCCACTCATAGGAATATATCCCAAGAAACTAGAAACACCAATCAGAAAGGATATATGCACCCCTTTGTTCATAGCAGCACAATCTACAATAGCTAGGATTTGGAAACAGCCTAGGTGCCCGTCAGCAGATGATTGGATCAAAAAACTATGGTACATCTACACAATGGAATATGCTGCCATAAAAAACGAAGGAATTCTTATCATTTACAGCAACCTGGATGGAATTGGAGAATATCATGCTGCGTGAAATAAGCCAGTCAATGAAAGAGAAATACCACATGACCTCACTCATGGATAATAAAGAACATTATAAACTGATGAACCAAAAGATAGATATAGAGCCAGTAAAGCAACAAGTAGACTGTCAAATTACAGCGGGGAGGGTAGGGAGATCTGGGGGAGATAAGAGATCAACCAAAGGACTTGTATACATGGTAAATACAACCAATAGACACAAAACTCTGGGAAGGGAGGGCATGGCTGGGAGGGGGGGCAATGTTAAAATATGTACACAGATAATAATTTAATTTAAAAAATGGGGAAAAAATAAAAAAATAAAAATATCTTAAAACAAAAATCAATGTAGTTTATGTTTTCCCATTAAAAAAATGTCTAATTCACTATAGTTCTGTTATAGCTGGCATTTAATACTAGCAATTAAACTAATTATTTTCAATAGCTTTTCTATTTCTTTCACCTATTATCCTAATGAAAGCTCTAAATCACACCTCCCTTAGCAACAGTTAGGCCCCGGGTGGTGGTGGGGGAGGAGAGGCACAAGAGGCTTACTTTGTTGCTCAAGCAACAGATTTTCCAAACAATATAGGTCCAAGTATTTAGATGAACACTTTTCTTTATTAAAAAAAATTTTTTTAAATTCATTTCAAAGAGTAAGGGAGAGGAAAGGGAGAGATGAGAATCAACAATCAGCTGCCTCCTGCACGTCCCCAATCGGGTACGAGCCCATAACCCAGGCATGTGCCTTTGACCGGAATCAAACTCAGGACCCTTCAGTTCACAGGCCAATGCTCTATCCACTGAGCCAAACCCACTAGGGTTAGATGAACACTTTTATAATAACTATCTAATTAGATGAATTTTAGATGAAAAAAAATTTAAAACTAAAAAAGCAAATACAGATATGCCAGGTTAAATTCATGGTAAATTCTACTGTGTAGATGTCATTTGATGTTACTGACCATACACACTGACATTGCCTGCTAAGTGCAAGTCACATATATTAAGATTTCTTGCCCTGACCAGTTTGGCTCAGTGGATAGAATGTCAGCCTGCGAACTAAAAGATCCCAGATTCTATTCCAGTCAAGCACATGCACCTGGGTTGCGGGCACATCCCCAGTAGAAGGTGTGCAGGAAGCAACTAATTGATGTTTCCCTCTCCCTTCCTCTCTGTAACAAAACAAAACAAAACAAAACAAACAAACAAACAAAAATATATATATATATATATTTTTTTTTTTAAAAAAAGATTTCTAGCCGAAGCCGGTTTAGCTCAGTGGTAGAGCGTCGGTCTGCAGACTGAAAGGTCCCAGGTTCGATTCCAGTCAAGGGCATGTACATTGGTTGCAGGCACATCCCCAGTAGGGGGTGTGCAGGAGGCAGCTGGTCAATGTTTCTCTCTCATCGATGTTTCTAGCTCTCTATCTCTCTCCCTTCCTCTCTATAAAAAAAATCAATAAAATATATTAAAAAGAATAAAAGAAAAAAAAAGATTTCTAAAAAAAAAAAAAAAAAGATTTTTAGTACCATAAGTCATGAAATCATTTTAATAATACTTAATTTAACCCAAAAGTTCCAAAACATTATCACTTCATCATGTAATCAATATAAAAAATTGAGATATTTCATATTTTTTTTTCATACTGAGCCTCCAAAATCATGTACATTTTATATTTACAGCACATGTCAATTTAGACTAATCCCATTTCAAGTGTTTTTTTGTGAAAAATATATTTTATTGATTTTTTTTTTTTTTACAGAGAAGAAGGGAAAGGGATAGAGGGTTAAAAACACTGATGAGAGAGAAATATCAATCAGCTGTCTCCTGCACATCTCCTACTGGGGATATGCCTACAACCAAGGTACATGCCCTTGACTGAATCGAAACCGGACCCTTCAGTTCGAAGGCCGACACTCTATACACCGAGCTAAACAGTTAAGTCTATTTCAAGTGTTTAAAACATGTGGCTAAAGGCTACCAAATTGGACATTGCATTAGAAAAATAAATGAAAACAATGTTTAAATAAAATTAGTTCAACATTCATAATTGAAAATTTACAGGGGTTGGGATCACAAAAAACAAGCTAGAGCATCACAATGATTTAATGAAAAATTGTGTAAATGAAGTAGCTTGCCAGTCAGGAATTTATAGTTTACTTAGTTTCTTTCCCTAAGATTAAAGAACTTGGCTCACCTTATTAAAAACCAATGAAGAATACTAAATAATGGATAGATACAATGCAACTATTTGGACAGACACCAAATCTAATAAAAAGCACAAAAATGTAAAAAAATCATTTTACGAATTAATCATAATTTTCCTAAACCAACTATATATAGTGACTACAACAGAAAGCAAGGTGGCTGCCAGGAACACATTGCCTTTGCATACACTACTTGTTGCTCTTTGAAATCTAATTATTACAGAAATTTGGAACTGGAAACCCTGGAGAGTTTACTGTCCTTGTTTTCTTCATTGTCCTTTCATGGGATGAAGTTAAGAGGGCTCCTTAAAGTTCAATTTTGAAGACTCTCAAATATTCTTCAGTGTGAGTGAACCATGAAACCTATCTATTAAAGATAAGAGCCATAAACTATGTGATATCACTGAAATGGGCTTACTCTTGGCTTTAACATGCTTTACTGTGTGACTCTGGACAAGTACCAGACTCCTTTAAGCTTTCTCCCCTTTCTTTAAAAATAAACAAATAAGGCCATAATGATTAAGTCAGGCACATCAGAAGTACACAATATAAAAACTGCTATTATAATAAAGTATGGAGACATCAGAACTCCTTTCAAGTAATGTATATGCCTTCGTACCCCTGCCCTAAACTCACATATACTGACACATGGTGGTTCCAACTTGCAAACAAAACTGGAATATCAACAGAGCACAATTGACGGCAGTCAGGAACACTCCATCAGCCCAAACAGCTGGTGGTCACCCTTATTATGACTTGTTTTTTGAAATTTTTAAAATAGTATTTCTTTTTGACTTTTATTTCTTCAGCAACAGCACATATTCCCAAATTATAAGTTCAAAAGAATATAATAGCTCTAAAGATTTGCATAATAAATTTAATTTTGTATTTAATACCCTTGTTTAATTCAGCAGATGTGTACTAATTAGAGGAAAATGTTTGTGAGATAATATTCAACAGTATGAAATCTATGTGACACTAAAAGTTGTGTGACGGCCCAGCCAGTGTGGCTCAGTGATTGAGCGTTGACCTCTGAACCAAAAAAGTCAGAGTTCGATTCCCAGTCAGGGCACATGCCCAGGTTGCGGGCTCAATGTGCAAAAGGCAGCTGATCAATGATTTTCTCTCATCCTTAATGTTTCTAACTCTTTCCCTCTCTGAAATAAAAAAAACAACAACTATTTTTTAAAAAGTTGTATGACACACACAAGGGACCCCTACACAATCTACTACACAAGTAACTTTTCTTCATAGTACTGATAATCTAAAATTACCTTATCTACTCATTTACTTATTGTCAGATTTCATTCCAGAACATATATATGTTCCTTGAGGACAGGAACCTTGTCTGTCTTACTTCCATGTATCTGGCTCAAAGCAGGTGCTAAGTATCTATTGAATTAACTGAGATCCACAATGCATCAGACTCCTGCCTAAAATATTTACTCAGTCTCATAAAAATTAGGCCAGACAGCTGACTCCAAAGTGAGACTGGATTAAAATCCTAGCAATCATTTGCTAGGCATATGGACCTTAAGCAAGTTATTTAACTTCCTAGGCCTTGGTTTTCTCATATGTAAATTGAAAATAGTGACAGACAGCTGTTGGTATCTAAAAGAGCCAAAAATTATAAATTGCTAAAAAAGGGACATGCACATAATAAGAATTACATGTCAGTTATCAACAGTATTATTATAACTAGAAGCCCAGTGCACAAATTTGTGCACATGTGGGGTCCCTTGGCCTGGCCAGGGATTGAGGCCTATCGTCCTGCCAGGGAGTGGGACCGTG